CTTTTTCTGGAATTGGTTTTCTAGAACATTGAGGAAACAACTTACTCTACAGTTTTATATTTATGTTATTTTTTGTCATCCTTATTTTTGGTAGTAAAACCATTACCTACTTTTGATTTTCAAATGACAAACATATTTTATCCGGAAAAATGGCTAAATCAGAAATCATTTTTCGATAATTAGGTAAAGTTGGCAAAGTCGGAATAAAAAAAAATAAATGTAACAATTTTCAAAAAATATACGATTCATTATCTTCAAATTTCGTTAATTTTGTACTTTGACATTTTAAATATGCGTGATATAATAAGATTTACAACTATTTGTCTTTTTAACCCTGCATTCATTTTAAACATTTGTTCAAAATAATATTATCTTATTGACAGTCAGTGCCTAATGAAATAAATTGAGACCTGAAGCTGTAGTTTCAAAGGGTGGGATGTAATATGGTATTACCCTCCCTTCTGTACATATAATAATAATTTAAAACAAATAAAAATTACAATTAGTAACCAGTACATATAGCCCTATGAAATAAGACTCAAATTGGTATTGGACAAGTGAGTTAATGTTGATGGAACACTTTGAATAATTACTGAATCTACCACTGATTGAGACGAATTCATAATTTTTATAAATACGTTTTTATAATTTATAAATAGTTCAAAATTCTAATGCGTTGTATGAAAATAAGTCAACTCTATTTATTGGATTGTTTGGCACTCGTTACTATTATTGCACAGTTTAATACTTCATTGTTAAAAAATAGAAATAAACGCTCTAGAAATAAACAATACTTATTAACTTGCTCAAAAATTAGGTATATAGTCACATAATAATAATAACAATAATAATAAAAATAACGTTTATGTATTCAAACAGTATAAATATTATTTCGAGTGAAGATGAGTAAAACCAGTTTTAAAATCTAAGTAAAAATTAATTTAAGTCTTGTTAATAAATCGGTTTGTACGAATTTTCTCCCAAATCAAAGTATTCCACATTCATCTTGTCTTACTCGAATTTTCTCCCGGGTATTTCACATCCATAATTAGTTATTAGTCATTAATTTATTTCACCTAAATAGTAAAACAAATCAATATATCCATACATATAAAGACGATCGAATCTACTAAATCTAGATTTTAATTTGGGAATAATGTAGTCTAAAAATAATATAAAATATAAAAAGACGTCCTAGGATAATGGAGATAGATACAGTCACTGATATATGTAATTGAATGTATACCTATAAGCAACGATTAATTATTTCTAACAAAAAAACGATTCTGAGTTCAGTTGATAGTGATGCTTTGCCAACATTATATGTATGTCATATGGTGAAATAATGAAATAGGTATTATATATTTTCTTTAATAATATTTGTTTAATGTACTGATTTTCCTACGTTTTTTCCGATTTTTTTCGGTTTTTTCCCGGATTTTTCTCAATAAATAGGACACTCAAAAAATGACTTCCCTAAAGTACCTTCCCAGTCATATTTTCTTTCAAAAAAGTTCTATTATTGTACATTGGAGCAAAATGACATGTATATTGTTACGAGCGATATTTTGTTGACAAAGCAACACTATCAACTGAACTCCGCTCAGAATTGTTTTTTCGTTAACAATGGTTTATCGTTGCTTATAGGTATACATTAAATTTCCTCTTGCGGGTATCTCTTAATACATTTAATAAAAATATATAATTATTATTTTCAGACTGAAAATGTAGACTTAAATTAATATTTCGAATTAATAAGTAATCCGCCATCAACATATAATTTGTTTTTTTTTTTTTTATCAAAAATCTAATAGGCTTAGGTTACATATTGTAGTAACTCGGTGAAATATTACATGGTCTACATGATCCACATGGCACAAGTCTTTGAAATTGAGGCATCATCTTTATGAGATGTATTATTAAATTAGATTTATTTGGTGACACTAATATACTATATTCATATTTTTTTATTTGTGCACGTACTGTATTTACATTTTTAAAAACACAAGAATCAAACGTTTTTCTAATATTCGAAGTCATTGTAAAATAATTAGATGTCGTGATTATACAAATTATATTAATAGGATCCAAAATTCAGTTAAAATCAATCTTAAACATTTTGGAATTTTTACATTTCAAAAAAATCAAATAATGAATTACCAGAATCTGTATCCAATTTTGATATAGAGGCTACTTCTGGTCTAGAAATTGTTAATTTACATAAGGCCCATTTTTCTAATAAATATAAATTAAATCCATTAATGAAGAATAACATTGATAATACACACAAATTGGATAACTCTATTTTGTCTTAACTCTATAAATATATCTGGAATGGATGTTTTCAACGAATTATGGTCTATTAATTAAAACCAATCAATAGGTCCAAAGGCATCTCAGCAAGGATTTTAAAAGAATGCATATTTATATTGTCACCTATTATGACATTTTTAATTAACAAATCTTTAAAAATTGGTATTTTTTTCCTTACGTATGTAAATATTCATTTTAAACACCAACTTATAAAAAAGGAAATTAATTATTAGTTACAAATTACAGGCCAATTTCTAAAATCTCAATATTCCCAAAAATATTCTCCAAGTTAGTTAAAAATCAACTATTTTCTTTATGCGAACGTATAATTTCAAATCTAACCGAACACCATAGTTTTCTTATAGACATTTTAGTTTTGCTAGCTTTTTACGTAAATTTTATTTGGTAGGTACTCTGTAGATAAAATGTTTAGACTAAACAGAAATGCTTGAGAATTTGATAGGATGTGCATTACAAGTTGTGCTTGTTGGTTCAAAAAAAAAAAAATTAAGTCTAATGTACTATATTTAATTTTTTTATAAGAGATTTAAAATCAAATTTTGACGAACGTCGTAAATATTAGGACCTTTCAAAACATGTATAACCGAATTTCGCTCCAAATCGTTTTTCGTTATCAATAATTTATCGTTGCTTACAGATAAATGCTTAGGTAACTTTATGTATCCCACCTTTCTAACTACCCACCTACAACTGTGATCACATCCGTCACCAGCTATCAGAGTATCAGCTCTTTTTTTTATTTGGCCTCTTTTGTATGTAGTTCGCTAGTCCAAAATCTATTAATTTACAGGGAAACAAATGAATTAATTACGATTATATTTACTATATTAAATCTGAATTAAGGGAGGAAGCAGTTGGGTCATGTTCCCTCAGACATAAAGAACCCGTTGTGTCATCGTTTTTGTGTATACAATATTCGTTCAATATTTTATGGTAGGTACACAAATATATACATAAAGAGGGCCCATTTTGAATTTCATTAACCGTTCCCAATAGACTCTAATCTACTTGCTAGGTAGGTCTAATATATTAGCTTGAAATAATTTTTACTTTAGAACGAAATATTTCAAAATATAATGTGTAGATTTAGACAGTAGTTTAATTGGGAAAATCGTTGAAGGGGACTTTATTTACCGAAAATTGAGGGGCATTTCCGAGAACTAACTAATTTTACCAAACTTCGATGAAACTCAACAAGGACAGAAGACTTCCAAAATGTTTTTTTCTCACACACATATTTTGTTCATAAAAATGTTATAGGTATTAATAGGGCTTAAAAATAAACTGCCCCTCCTCAAATATTATCCTACGCGTATAATAAACGCGCTGACTTAGTAAAAATAAATTTAAACAAAGTCTTATAAGTTACAATCGTATAATCTAATAGGTATTAAAAAATTAATTTGTAATAAAACTAATTTGAGTTTTTAAAATTGCATTAAAAATATCTCGGTGATAATAACTAAAGCATCTCCCCGAATTTCGAAGACATAAAACTAAAGGGGACTAATAATTTTACCTTAAATAAGAAGGTAGATTCCGGTCCCCAATTTTCCCAATTCAAGACAAACAACAATAATAATTATTTTAAATTTTTACAAACTACTCGTAGTAAGTAAACTTATTACAGTATAGTTGAAGAATCTATGAAGGAATTTTGTTAACTACATTATTGTTTAGGTAATTTGAGTATTCAGAATCGCTTCGATGGAAAAAAAAATTCTTAATCATTAGTCATTAAACTATAGGTTTACTTTATACGTAGAATTATTTGTATAGAAAATTATGAAATGCCCAGGTATAAGCATTAAAATATATATTTTGTTTAGGTACTTATAGAAATATAATAATTATTATACCTATATTTTATAATTATATTTCAAAGTATAACCTTCAGGAATGTGTTAGTCTGTTAATAATAATTATTATTATCAACATGGACGTAATATGGTGAATTATCGTATCAGTATATCACTGATGAAATTGTTTTTAACTTTTCCAATTCTACACATTAAACTTCCAATATAGGTATTAAAAAACGGTATAGGTATAATGTTGTATTTTAGCATTGATCATTTTAATATTACCTATTTATCCCTCCTCAAACCGTTGACCTGCCGCGATAACTTTTGAGGAGTTATTGATGGCTTTGAACGCCTGTGCGGTACCACCAGAGCACTAGACAAATTATAATTATTTAAAAAATTTTAACACGACCAACCGTTATGTATAAATAGGTACTTGTAAGGTTTTTGGCGGTGTGCGTTTTTCTAAAATAAATTACCACGAAAACCGTATTATGAAACATGTCTGCAAAAGTTTTCAAATTTGTAATGTTTTTTTTTTTACGATTTTCGATTTTCTTAAATTTGTTGTAATAGATTACAAAATAGTTGTTAATGCACGTTGGAAGAAGAGTGTACTATTTTTAAATCGATTTACAATAATTCTGAGATCGAAGAGTCTTACGGGAAAATTTGTCAATTTTACTTTTTTACTTTTATTGGATAATGATATTGTTGAAAACCATCAAACCAGTGAGAGTTTTTCGTGCGAAACGCGTAAAGGTGACAAATGAGCACGATATTTTATGTTGAGTACAACGAGATATTTTACTGTTAAAAAGTGTAGCCGCACAAAATCGACGCCGCCGCCGCCGCCGCCGTCGGTGATTCACGATGCGACGAAAATGCCACGCCGCGTCTACGTGTTATGAAACGTAGACGCGGTTTCCCTACACGCACGCCAGGGGCCGCCAGCCACACCGTCGACCCGATAGAGTAAAACATTTACTCTATGGCCGACGCACGCTGCAGATTAGGTATACCGGCCTCACGACAACGCATCGGCTATGTGTGCAAACCGATGACATAGCCCGGGCGGCCTCGTGACGTCACGGGCCGGCAGCCGCAGCAGTAGTAGACGTAGTAGCAGTGGTAGTACAGCTGCTGCTCTCGATCCAACCGCCGACCGCGCGCGCGTCAATGTTCTGTACACGACAATAAATAATAATTCAGTTTATACGTTGTCGGCATTCAACCACTGCACGCAACGCGGGCGCACGGTTATTCTCACTTCAATTTCGTTCCAGCCGCGTATCGGGACGGTCGTTCGCGTCCTCCGTGTTTTTACACTCGTTTCCTCGGAAAAATTACAGCGATTGATCGCGTGTAATAATCAATAATATTTTAATTTGTGTTAATTACGCGATAGTTTACAAAAGAAAAAAAGTTTTCTTGTTGTACTTGTATTTGTTCCCCGCCACACACTTCGGACGGTATAGTCGGACCGTCGCGATCACGGCGTTTCCAAAGGCCACATACTAAGATCTGTACAATAATCTATCGTAACAGTATTCTCGTATTATAAAACGTCGTCGACTCGTTGTCTGTCTGTCCGGTTTCAGGTACTTATTTACCTACACTAGCCTATCGGGAGTCTACTGATTTACCGGCGGCGTCACCGTACGCGTTTTGCTGTTTGATGTTCGACAGGTCAAAGCGTTTCGTGGCCAACGTATCGTTCGTCCGACGGATGAACATCGTCAAGACCAAGAATTTCGTCATCTCCGCGGCCGTACGCTTGTACAAAGTGGTCGCGGCCAAGATGGGTGTAAACAACGTCGACAAACAGGTACGTGTAATGTGGCGGCGCGGCATGCTGGCCGAGGGCGGACGTTTCGCGGGCAAAATGTTCCCGTTCGACACTCGGCGCGAATTTTGAGAACCTTCGGCTCCGTGCTCCCACCCCCCGATATTGTAAAATTGCCGGCGTTGTCCATTGGTTATCAATGGACAACGGCACTGCAATTGTAGACGTGCGTGCGCCTTTCCGCACGTCAACGGTCTCGTTTCTCGTCGAATTATCTTCGATGTTTTTTTGTTTTTACTTTCGGTTTAGTACTCCGATATAGTCGGGTTTATTTATTTATTACTTATTAGTTATTATTAGGAACTGTTGATAACTTATCGATTCGTGGAGTTGCTACGGGACGGCAGCGGCTGCGTAATCAGGTCCACTGAGATATGTAGGTAATAAATTAGGCTGACGATAAAAAAAAAAAAAAAAACACGTCATTATGACCCTAGATTGTTTGTCGACATTTTTCCATTCGTACGTACGTCGTCTCTATGCCAATCCGTTGATTTTTATGTGAAAGTGTCATTCAAAACTATGTGACCTAATTTCGATTGAAAATTCCAATATATTCGCTAATCACGCGTAGACGTCAAACGTCAAAACTTGCATTATGTCGTATTACCCATGTGTGCGCAGTGCGGATAATCCAATAATATTTTAAAATGCATTTTTAAATCTATAGGTAGTACAGGCATAGATTTAATATTTAATTTACGGTATATATAGGTATTCTTTTCGGATTTCCTTTTTTTTTTTTCACAACAGCAATACTAGGTCTAATATTTATACCGTTTGTTGGAATTTACGTACATTTAAAGTATAAAAAATCCCCTCGATCCCCGGTGTGTATACAAATTTTAATACCTAGTTTCCTATAAGTACTTATTGGTAGGTAGATATATTTAAACGATCATTGATTCATTTTATTACCTATCTACGGATTAAACGGCTGAACATAATATTTGATTACCTTATCGAATAGGTAGTATAAGTAACCACTTAGGTCGTAACAAAATTCCCGAGTTCAACTATCGTAACGAGGAAATAATAAATATGATTAGGTATTATGACTGACGTGTTTATTGATGTAAAATATGCGTGTATTTTTACATTTTAATATTTTGACAGTTTTGTATTATTATTTATGTATTACTTATTACGTCGAACGCGAATTCGATGACATGCAATATAAATTTAAACTATTTCATTCGCTGTAAATAGTCTCGCTCTGCGCTTTCTCATTGTTATTATCGTTGCCGATAGACGTTTGCTGTTGGCACTTTCAATACGTCTGGCAAGACTTTTTAAGTAGGTAGCGTTTAATAGGTACTAATTTCGATTTGCTGCAAGGCCGCTGTTATGGTATAGGTACTGCGGATAACTGTAGGTCAGTTATATAAGCGGAAAATCAATTACTTTCTAGTGTGAATTTAATGTGTTAAAAGAAAAAAAAACCAACTTTGACAAATATATACATATATATATAAAAAAAATAACTAATGCTCTTAACAAATTTGATAACAATACACACATATTATATGGAATACCCTCATTGCCCCTCCCCACATGTACGCCGCTGTAGCTAACATTATCATAATACTTATCTATTGATAATCATTTCGTGTCGAAAATTTACGAAAAAATAAAGTACCTAATTAAAAACGCCAAGAGTTATTTAATATTTCACTCGATATTTATTATTGAAAAATGAAATAGAAAAAAAATCGAACATATAATTAATAATAATTCTGAATATAATAATATTTGTATTGTCGTAAATTTGTCCGTTATTCCTACAAGTTTTATCGTTCCGTTCAGAGTTTTAAAAAAAATGCATCCGCTCTAAATTCATTTAAAATTAAAAAAAAAAAAAAAAATAAACACATACGTTTAAATTACACCTGTATGTTTATAGATGTAATCACCTATAATATTATATTATCATGAACTAGGTCGAAGGCTTTTTTGTTATTTAACTGTACACTACAATAATTCATAATATTTACCTAAGCACGGTTTTGACAGGGAAATTAGAAGGGAGGATGTATACTATGAAGTAATTCGATTTATATCTGTATGCAATAATAAACCGTTGCTATCGAATAACGATTCTCAGTAGAGTATAATTAGTCGCATTTTAGATTCTAAGCACAAAATACTTATTATTTCACATTTTTTCGATTTGGTTTTTCTAACAGAAATCTTACACCGAAAGTCAAATTTAGCATCTTTTTCGAAATGACAAAAATAACAGAAAATGTTTTTCTTTAGTTTTCCGTGAAGTTATCTTAATAATCGGAAAAAAAAAACGTATAACCGGGTAACGTTAAGTGAACCTCGTGCAAGTTGTATTTGGTAATCGATAAAAAAAAAGTTAAGCGTAATGTAGTTTTTTTCATAACCGTGTTATAAGTTTAAATTTTGACAAAAATCATAAAAATTACGGCACTTCAAAACTTATTTAACCGAACTAAGTTCAGAGTGTTATTTCATCCGCAATGATTTATTTGTTTTACAAGAACAAATAAATGGATTAACATTATTGATAGGTATTTTCAAATAATTTTTATTATCGATAGTTTATTCAAACTACCTAATATTTTTTTCCATGACCAAATATAAAATATTCGGGAACACAATCAAATATTTCGAATAGTTTTTCTCTTAAAGAATCCTTCTTCGACTTTACGTCTTTCTTCTATAGTCTCTTTTAGTTTAGTCAAACTATTCTAATACGTTTTAATCTGCCTATAGAATAGATAGAAAATGTCCAATCATTGAATAGTTTGATACTAACTATTCGGTTGTGTCCTTCACTACTCGTAGTTAATATTATAATAAATTATAAGTTATTACGGATATTATTGTGCATAATACTGAAAAATCAAAATAAAAAGTGTTAACGAATCGTCGTAAATAAAGTGGCTGATACTGCTGACAACGATTGACACGTCCGCAGTTAATTCCAATATTAATTCTTAATTATTACATTATCTAATAATGTTATGTTCAATACGCCAATCAAAATAGTTTTAAATTTATCCATTGAAATTTTATTGAACTTTCAGTTTGTTATACGTATATACGGAATGAATTTGTTTCTTAAAATAGACCCGTAATACATTTATTACCATTACACATATTATTCGTAATTTTAGAGTGATTACTATGATGAGTGAAAATGTTGTCTAGTTCGTATGAAAAAAGAAAATCAAAAATGATAAAATCATTATACTTGATATTATTTATTTGATTGCTCTAACGCACGTCAAGTCCACAACACGAGATAATAACAACGTTTTTAAATGTATGCGGTGTAATAATAAATTTAATTAATAATAATAATATTAATATTATTATTATTATAACACATAATTTATTTAAACAAATGATTGTTAAAATATAATAACAATACAATATTAATCACGAGTAAAAATTATTAATATACGTTTATTTTATTTTGACAACCAAATTATAAAAATAATATGAATAACTATGTAATAACTATTAACTATGTAATAACATAATAAATAAAAACAAAATTATTAAAATGATTAATACTCATAAATAAATTAAATAAATATATAAATGAAAAATAAAATTAATTAATTAATGAATGTGTCACCTGAACAATAATATAAATAATATAAAAATCGCTTTTAAGACTAACAATAATTTAATCAAACATACAAATAATAGAACTAAAAACTTATCTTCCTTTTTAAAAATGCAGGTATATATAAAATTAACTATAACTGTAATAAATTTTACATAGGTAAATAGAAATTTTAAAATAAAATTTAAAAAAGACTGCCTCTAATTCAAATTTCGCTAAACATGTTTTAGAAAACAACTATAGTATAAGTTTTGATATTAATACCGAAACCGATCGTATAATACTTCACACGATGCATTTGATTCATTTATTTATTTTATTTTTTATTTATATATTTATTAACTATATTTACTTATTTTATATAATAACTATGTTTCGTACTATAGAAATAGTTTAATATGTTTTTGTAGAAATTAATTTCATTTTTTTTATTCTGATTGTAGCAAAAAAGGTATTAATTTTATGAAGATGTATGTGTTTTTTTCTCATATATTTCTCACATCTTTGGTATAAATGCTCCGGTTTTATTTCACGGTATAGCTTAAAATATGCAGATTATTCGCCTGGTGGTACTTTTTTTAACACTATTAGTTACAAACATTAATTATCCACTAAGAAATAATAGTTAATATTATGAATAAAACTATAGCGAACAAAGAAAGAAGAAAAATAAAATATTAAATCATTAACCCAGTATAATTGGTGAATAAAATAATTGATAAGACTATAGGAGGTAGTTTTAAAAAAGAATCAATTGTGTATTATAGGAGATATATAAGGCATATTTAAAAATGATTTACTAAGGCAGAGAGAGCATTACGTTGGGTTAGGAGAAGAACAATGAAATAGAATGTGGGAAATATCACAAATCGCGATTCGGAGGTGTGGAGAATATAAATAGAAGAGTTATTAAGGGAAAGTTGGTAAGAATAGAATGGGATTATGGTATGGCCTAGTCTAAGGTGAGAGAAAGAGGAAATTGTTTTCCTACTAAGATTTAATTGTGAAACCAAGGTTTGGGTGTTATAGTAGGGAAAATGTTCCTATACCAGGTATCAAAATTAGAAGGCAAAACTCGACCATTGATTAAACTATATTCGGTCAATGTGAGATTTGAATATTAAACAAAAATTATTCCAAGGAATAAGAGAGGGTGATGGGCTGAGTAGAAAGGAGGTAGATTTAGTCAAAGAATCAATTGAACAATTATTCAAAATTCTCGATACTTTTTTCAAAAAATTGCATTCAAAATGTTGTAAACACTTTTTGGTTATGCAAATGCTTTATTGTTTTACATTGTTCATTTAAAAGATGCGGAATTTCTGCCGAATAGTACTAATTACCTATCTACAACAGTGGCCAGTACCAAGAGCCTACCTATGTATATGTGTTATTTGTATAGTAAATAGATGTTATTAATGGAAATCAAAAATCATTTTTTTTCTATTCAAAGTTTAAATTTTAAATTTATTCCCTTAAGGGAATTCAAAATTTAAAAGTTTAGCTTCGAGATCATGTCAATCCTTCATCAATGTCGATAGGTGACCTAACATGGGTGTTTGGAATAATTCGATTTTTTACGTGCCATAGATTTGGCTGTATAACACATAGTATATACATTTTTTTTTACTCTCTTCATTATCATAATTTTAAAAAATTATCCTTTTTAGTTTATAAATTATTCGACTAATATGAGGAACATGGGAGACGAGAAAACTTTGGAAAATCAAGAATCGGGAAGGTAAAACTTGGAAAATAAAAACTAGGAAAGCAAAATTTAGAAAATCAAATTTATAAATCAATTAAAAATTTAGTCGCTGTCATGCAAAAAGTGACCAAGTGCTGCCGAAACATGTTTAAATTTCATATTTAATACCTGTATGTCTTATAAAAAGTGTCCCAGGTGATGTCATACATAGTTTAGGAAATTTTTCTAAGTTTTTAAGTACATAATTCATGATTAATATCAAAATTTAAATTTCTTAGAATTAAAACACTATATTCGGTAATGATACCCATATTATTACCGTTAACGGGACATTATTGTTGCTTTCGTGTTTTTCTGATCTTTAATTTTCCATTTTATTCCACGAGTTGTGCGAAATACGTTTAAAATTTTCAATTTTTTCGTGATAAACTGTTAACTACACAGATAGATCTATCCTGAGTGTTAAAATAATGTTTTTTTTTTTTTCACTGCGTTTTGATTTTACTCAAAGATTTCCTGTACTTTTCGCACAAGGTGTTTATCTTTTTGAATAATTTATCAGCTAACAAAAGGGGTTCAGGATTTTAAACGGGTTTTAGGAAGAGCGAGTATTATTTTATTTATTGGTAAAAATCGATTGTTTTTGTACTCTTTCTGTTATGCTTTCTATGATTCATAATACTGCGACTCTTTATTTATAGAAATAATCTAAATTATCTTTACTCGTATTAATTATTATAATAGGTGTATAGTATAATGGAATCGCTTCAAATTAATTTTAATTTTTGTTTTTAAATAATAGGTAAAAAAAAAATAATAATAATAAAGTAGTGTGACGTGGATTTTATAATTACTAAGATATTTAAATATTATCCATTGATTTTATTGTATCGACTTATTTATATTGCATTTGCATTAATCTATTAATAATATTATAATTCAATATTTTACGTATATAAAAACCGTATCTATTAATCAAAGTGTACCCTGTTAACTTATACGATGTTCTTTATTTTAATATATTTATGCCATTTTCTAATTATACATCTGCCCGTGAAATTCAAAACTTTTATAGAAAGATTATAAATAACAGTTAATTTATATAAATATATTTGTAAGCATATAATTTGTTTAGTATAATATTTGGTTCATATTCTCGGTGTTCAAAAACTATTTTCTATAATTCATGGAATCTAGTAATAGTTCTCCGAATTTCAACATGACGTATATAAAATGTAGATAAATTTTGTAGTTTGGCCATTAATTATTTATTCCCATGCCTATTTATCATAGATAATTTACATAGTATTAATTTGTCACCTATTTGCTATTATATAAGTCATCTATATTGTTATTATGCATTGTATTTCTAGTTTTGATAAATTATTTATTTTCGATCTATTTCTTAAAATATTTAGTTGACATGTATTTATGAAGAAAATAATAAAACCTGGTTATTAGTTTAAAATGCCCAAATTGGGTAAACAATATAATACGTTTGGAGTTCATTCAGAATTTATTTTTGGACTTGCTCCAATAATTTTCTTCCTCTTACGAATAATAGTAGATACGCAGCTCAGATACGATTAATTTTTTGAATTATGTTTTTTTTTCTATCAACAACTTTTCTACCAGAAATCTTTCTCCGATATTCAAGTGTAAAATTTTTCTGAAAGCAAATTTCATCTAGTTGATGCGTTAAGAAAATAATTTTTTTCATAGTTTTCTTAATAATTGGGAAAACAGAACGAATTAAGCAATAAAAGTTATTGTTATTTTCCATTTTTTTTTTTTTTTTTTGTTTTATTCAGTTAAACATAATTTTAAACACTAAATGTTTATAAAATACTTATATTAGCCTTTTTTAAACGCGGAAAAATGTTCAAAACAATCTGACTATTTTAAAGCGTTTTATAATTATTTGTCATTTTTGAGAAATTTGTTTGCTTTATGTGAATATAATTGTAATATAATCTAAACGATTAGAAATGCCTGAAAATTTAAGAAAAAGTTTATCATAGGTTGTACTTAGTGACAAAATAGAAATTGAGCGTATGTACCTTTTTATGTAGTTTTTTTTCATAAACGTTTTAAGTTCAAATTTTGACGAAAAATCCTAACTCAAGGCATTTCAAAACATGTTTAGCAGTATTAGTAATGATTTATCGTATGTTATACTGATGCTAATTGAGTAATTTTATATTATTTTGACATACACGTCTGGTCATTCTACATCATGATGCAATATTTTAAATTATTAACAATATTGATATATTTTTATTTCCTAAAATGGCAATGGTCTTTTGCATAAATACGGCATTTTTCAATAATATTATAACAAGTAAGTAACATAATATACCAATTTATACTTATACTATCAGATAAAAAAAAAAAAATTTCGTTTACAATTAATGGTAAATTTTTGAAAACAATTATACAATATACCTACTTAATTGCATGTACAACTCAATATTTCTATTACCTACGTGATAAATGATATTATAGTTATTTAATTATATATTTTACAAAATACAATTGTCTCATGGTACATTGCCAAATTTATGTAACTATTATACGTGTAATTATTAAGAAAGAATCGAAATAATTTTAAATTTTATTTTATGCCGTCAATTAAGTTTGCTTATAACACTGATGAAAATGAATTATTTCGTTAATAGGTGAACATACTATAAATAGCCTTTGAACTATATATTTTTTATCTTGGTTTTTCATTTAAAACCTACTTTGGTAGTAACCTAACAGTGATAGACCTTAATATGTTATAGGTACCTATCTATTTTTTCAAAGTAGGCGTTTAAATTTAAAATTATTATTAATTATAATATATTTACAATATTTCACCGGGATATATTATCTAGTCCAAATCAATTTTCGTTAATTATTATAAAATATTATGCATGATATTTTACAAAATTCGTATTATTTTTGTTTTTATTACCTATAATCGCGGTTTATCTATATTATTTAACTGAAAAAATAACTACATGAGTAGTGCGTCTATTTGTATTATAATAATTATACCTTTATTTTTTAATAAACTTCATAAAATATGATATTTTTGTTTTATAGAATCTTGTGCAGTATAACGACATGTTTGAGATGGCGACTAGACTGTGCCGGGGATATTTACAAGGCCCCTGGAAGAAAATTACTGTTAAGGATATATCTGTGAAACGAATCAGGTAAATAATTGTAGCATACAATTATAGTAGTATAAGAATATAGTTTTTCGAATAGGTTTCGTTTTAAACAATAAAATGTATACGTTTAAGTTGTTGGTATATTAAATTTAGTTACCATCGTTCATCAATAACACATTATTGATTTTTCCAATTAAAAAGTAAAGAAATTTGAATTTAAAAATAAGTAGTCATATAAATAATAGATACTAAAAAAAATTAAAGGCAAATCTTTCTGATCTCCCCTCTTAAATACGCCACTGTTAGTGTACATATAGACGGGGTTGAATTTATGTGTTATAGTTTTTACTTGTATTTTATTTTTCGTAAATTCAATAACTTCTTAATAAATCTATATAAAATATTATGGTAATTACGTTTAAAAATTAAATTAAAAGTATTGCAGTTTTTAATGAAGTAATTTTAATATTATTACATTATCGTAAAAATTTAGTAAATCGTTGATTTTATATAGTGATGTGTCCAGGAATTTTCAGTAAGATAGGATGTAGCAAATATTATTTATAAGTAAATCGTAGAATCTTATTCTTCTTTATCCAACTCGACAAATGGGAATTAAAAAGCCGGAACCAAATAAAACAATTATTTAATAAATAAATCAAGCTTTTCCTTTTCCTCGTAACTTGACTGAAATTTATGTATATGTTTTAAGATTAAATTATTAAATAAATAGTTACTCGGAGTTGTATTAAAAAGCTAACTAGTGTAGGATTTGTCTCCTAACTTTCCTCCCCATTTGCACGTCACTGATTTTATAAATTACAAATGAGCTATATTCTGTTGTTGAGATTGGAATTGAACGAAGATGGTTTAACCGTATCTAGTCTAATAAAATCAATGGGTTTATTTTTTAAAATATATGAAGTGATATTTATTTGTTATTACGCATCGTCTAATATTTATACAAAATATGCATGTTTGTTTTTAATAATATAATACAGTGAATTGTAATAAATTTGTTTTGTTTTTTTAATATACTTAAACATTTTTCGAAGGTTAATGCAATTTCATGTTTGAATATATATGAAAAAACAATTACGGTTATGAATATTTACCACGCGAGTTTTTGGCCGAAATTGTAGTTACCCAAAACAGTATTATATGAGTTTTAATATACAAATGAAAATTGTTGCTTGGCACGGGTAGTAAATTTTGTTTGCCCGGCGGCGAGTATGTAGACGACGGTGGATATTCACGAGGTTTCCGTCCTTCGTCCACGTGGTTTTCGTGTAGTTATCGATTGGGGAGGAAGATTATGAGCCCGAAGCCGAGCGATTTGCCCGAGACGCAATAACCGGCGCGCCGCAATAACAATACTGCGTTTTTGTGTGTCGTGACGTTCCGAATAAATTACGACAAAAACAAAAAATATTTTTGTCCAACGATCGTTGAACACGCCAACATACAATTTTCAAATATGTATGCGTCATATACAAAATTATACGAATGAATAATGTTATTTTATAATAGTGAAATACCGTTTGGACTGCGTATTTAGCTTTTTACGTTCCTTAGACTAATTTTTTTTTAGTCACTCCCTCTAGAATAGTAGTTCTCAATTTTGTTTTATGTATGGTTCTTTAATTCAATAATTTTTTTTTTTATATATAAATACAATAGATATCAATATTATTCATTAATTCGTTATTATTTTTTTCCAAATTTGCCACCCCTTCCCCGAAATTTTCGCCCTAGGCCTACATAGCTTGACGTTAAACACGTTACTGATTATTATTATATGCAGCTCAACGGTTGACAAACTGGGTTTTAAAATATTTTTTTTTAAATGCGATCAATAAAAAAAAAAGTCGTGAAATATTATTGCGTTAGATTAGGAAACCGTATCGTTGTTGAAACATGTGATGGATCACGTGAACAGCAATAAATTTTATACGATTTTCATTTACCTATTTCTCTTCAATAATTGTGCTTGTTAACCGCGTGCAGTACCATTTAAAAATTAATTTTATTATACATAAATACTTAAAAAATCAAAAGAACATCTATTAATATTATTAAATTTACATCGAGCAGTTAAAATGAAAAAAATACGTTCAAAATCGAAATAACAATTTTAACTACAATTTGTATTATTAAAAAATTAATGTATTACATGTGAACTGTTTTAGCTTGTATTTTATTAATGATAAATACAAATACCAGATTAGAAAAAAACAATTGATAAATTTAATTGACCCTAATGACGAACCGAACAGTGTTCCAGAACTCGTAATTGTTATAATATATTAGAGGCAGTAAATTAATAAAAATAAAAATATTACATATTAAGTTTGAACAACTAAAAAATTACTTAAATATTCGTTAAATAGTTAAATTATATATTTTCGTTTCTATTCGATTGTAAAAACCGATATTATATTTATATGTATATATATTAGCGATTTTAATTTTAAATAATGAAAAATGGAGGGAATTACAAACTGAGTAAATCGTATTATCATATTATACCATTGTTTTTTTTTTTTTTAGAAAACTTAAATTATTATTACTCTTAAATGTATTATATTAAAAGTTACATTTTAATGACCAGATTGAAAAAAGAAGAATTTTAGTATTTTTAAGGATATTATGAAATAACTATTTACGTTTTTTTAGTATGTTAATGTAGGACTTGGGTACTTGAATGTTCGAAATGTATTGTATCTAAAATTCTAAACTATAAAACAAAACACAGGAATAAAAATAAAACAATGTTCAAACTTTATCTTTTTAGTTATTCATAATACAATATCAAATATAAAGGCGAACAAGTATTTAAAAAAAACCCAAGTAAGATTGTACCTCTTATTGATTTATAACTTTATATTTTTTAAAACTAAAGATCTTGTATCACACATAAATGGTATATGAACAAATTAGGTTTATTTTTTTAGTCTATAATTATTGCAAACAACGTGCATTTCATAAAAAATTATTTTATAGAATAATTTTGTTTTTTCCAGTGGTGGGTTGAGTAATTGGCTTTATCGAGTAACATTGCTAAAAGGTAATGCTGAACCCCGTGATGTTTTAATGAGACTATATGGTCAAACACACGGCGAGAATGCTATTGAAAATATAATCACAGAGTCTGTAATATTCACATTGTTGTCAGAACGAGGTTTGGGGCCTAAGTTACATGGAATATTCCCTGGAGGTCGTCTTGAAGAATACATTCCGGTAAGCTCATTCACCTTCAATAACATATTTTGTAGATATGTGATTTTTAATTGAACTGGATCATTTAATTGTATACCTATGCATTTTGCCATGAAAAAAAAAAAAAAATATATATATATATATCCACTACCTCGTCTTCATTATAAAACTTAAATTATTGCTATATTTTCCTTTTTTTTTTATTATTAAAAATTATTTTGTTTTTTACAAAAAATTATATCAGTATCTATTTATTATTATTTAAATTTTGATTAATATCTAACACGGATGTAAAACTTATTTTTAAAATGTATACAAATATAATAATTTTCAATTGTCACAGTTCTGATTTCATTACAGTGAGCAGAAACAACATTACATTTGTATAGCTTTAGATTTAAGTATATTCTATTTCTACTCCCCCTTAAACATTAGAAAATTAATTATTAGTAATTTCCACAATGATATTAATGTGGAACAGCTTAAAAGTAAAATTTTAAGTATTCTAAGTCATCATTAATTCAACTATAATAAACTTTTTTATTATCCATGTATTTAATAATTATTTTTTTTATTTAAATTAAAATTAATATTAAAAATATAACAAATAAGCAAAATAAATATTTTTCAGTTAATACAAATTAATTCTTAGTTGTCATATTTATTATACATGTATATATTAAAATTGACAACAATATAAATACCACTAGTAATTTTTTTATTAAATATTTTTAAAAATTGAATACGTTATAAAATAAAAAGGTTTATAAAAACATATTTAATTTATTTCAAGTAAACTCTCAAGATAAAGAATATTCTTCTTTTACACCCTTAATAACATAAGATCTAATATTACTGAGTTAAATTTTTAGATAGTTTTTATTTTGTGGCTCCTTGCCAAATGGCTGTAGATATAAATAAAATGTTTCTTTCAATGTAGACTATTTAAAAATTTAAGGCCACTGCCGTCGTTTTACCAGTACTCATCATTGTGGTTTTAATGAACAAAACAATCCATACCTATTTGTATACCTATATATATATATACAATATATAATATGTATATATATATAGCAACATGTTTGAATGACATTGACATAACATATTCTATCGGCTTTTGGATATAATGCTATTGTTCCAAAAGTCGAACATAAATTTCAGACTCGTGGGTCAAGTCCATCAATATACAAACTATGATGTTAATCATAGCTGATCAGTAAGTTAAGCTTTGAGTACATTAAAATGCTAAGCACTTGATAGGATTATTTACTGAAATTAACCCTAATGTATAAAATGTATTTTTTTTTTTTAATCTAGGACAAAAAGTCCTAAAACAAGTACACAAAATAATTAAACAACCGATACTTAGATTTCATACAGAAGTGAACTCTTATTGAACAACATAAGTTTACAATTTAATAAAGTAATTAATGTATATATATGTCTATAAAAATTTACAGGCTCGGTCATTAAAATGTGAAGAGTTGAGCGATCCAAAATTAAGCCTTATGATTGCAGAAAAAATGGCCGATTTACACCAGCTTAGCATTCCAATCAATAAAGACTCAATATGGCTATGGGATACCATGGATAGGTGGTTACAACAGTCTTTAAAAGATGTCAATTTGTCATTTGAAAATTTAGGGCTTGAACTATCTTCACCAACCATAAATCTCTGCGATGAAGCTCGTTGGCTTAAGTATGAATATACTTTATGTTTTATTCAATTTTACAATAATCATAAAACTATTCTAAAATAATAATTTTGTATGATTTTAGAAAACATTTGACTAAACTGAGGTCTCCTGTTGTGTTCTGTCATAATGATTTACAAGAGGGTAATATTTTAATGCAGGAAAAACACTGTGGTCTGTCATTATGCCTGATTGATTATGAATATTGTGCGTACAATTATCGTGGTTTTGATATTGCTAATCACTTTGTAGAATGGACATATGATTACACAAATCCCATATATCCACATTATTCAGTCAATCGAGAATTGTTTCCAACAAGAGATCAACAAGTAAAGATTTATTTAGTTGTTTAGTACGATTTTCCATGTTATAAATTGTTATTTATTTCTTATGGCAGATTGCATTTTTGAAGCGATATTCTCAGTGTATGGGACATGCGGAATCAATAGACATAATACTTGATGAAGTACAACATTTCATTTTGGCATCACATTTGTTTTGGGGTATATGGAGTGTTGTTAACAGTCGGATGTCAAAAATTACTTTTGGATACAGGGTATATATTTGTCTATATTTCATTTTATTTTTAAATAAACTTAAAAAAAAAAAAAGATATACATACTTCACACGTGAGTGGGTCACTGTTGTAGGTGAGAAGTTGGGAAGGTAGTTGAAGGGAAATTTAATGTATATCTGTAACCAACGATAAACCATTGTTAATGAAAAAAATGTTTCCGAATAGTGTACAGTTGATAGTGTTGCTATACATAACAATATATATTTCATATTATGGTAAAATAATTACTTAGACATTAAATATTTTCTTTTATAACATTTGTTTATATTGTACTTATTTTTATATTTACCGTTTTTCCATATTTTTTTCATTTATTGGGAAAATCAAAAAATGACCAACTTAAGTACCTCCCTAGTCACATTTCCTTTTAAAAAAAGTAGTATCATAAATCTGAGCAAAATTACTGGTAAAAATTTGTTCATGGAGGAAAAATGGCTGTAATATTTTTTTCAACTAATACTTACATTTTATAAATTTTCCCGTTTTTCCCATTTATCGGGAAAACTCTTGGAAAAATAATCTTCTTAAAGTACCTCTCCAGTCTGATTTTTTTTCAGAAAAAGTGCTACACTTGTAAATTGGAGCAAGATTTATGATATAAAAGTTATTCATAGAAAAAAAAAATAATAATAATAAACATTATTGTAAAACCATAAGATTCTTCGCTTCACTCAGAATCTAAAATTGTATTGTTTAATTTATATTTAAATTTATATATGACATGAACTTTTAGTTTATATTGAACTATTCGCCTTCTTTAATACTATGTATATGACCATAACACTGTTTACTTCTTATTATAGGAATATGCTATGGAACGTCTCAAGTCTTATTTCAAGCTTAAAGAAAGTTTAGTAAACAATAATTAGAACGAAACAAGGAAAAACTCATGAGTACTTAAAAAGAAATATGTTAATTGTAGACCAATATGATTCAATATTCTGGTGAAGACTGATTTATATTTCAAACGTTTGGTCCTTAATTTTATTAGTCTGATTATTTTGGCTTTTTCACTCAACACAATTTTATGAAGTGTTCTTATCTGTAAGCTTCAACTAAATTATTTATTAATTTATAAGTTATATTAAAATGATAACAAAAACTTAATACTATTTTCTTTTTAATTTCAAGAATTTAATGTTTTGACTAATAATAAAAATTGGATTATTTTCTTATTGTTTTTCTTAAAAATCAAAACAATATATTTTTATCCTGGTGCTAAGTACTCATATTATAATGATAATTTTAAGTTACAAACTTTGTATTATTTAAAAACAAACGAAGTTATAAAATGTGCAATAATTCTGATTTAACCACTTAAATGTGAATATTGTACTTAAAACAAAATATGTTATAACTGTAATGTTCATCCTTTACTTTTTATATAATGCTATTGTGTGTCCTATTAGCTGTTATGTGTAATTGAAATGTGATTTACTTTTTTTAATTTCTAGACTTTTTATAGTGTATTTGTGTCTGTCCATGTCTCTAGACATTTTTGATTATATTTTGTTTAGGTACATTTTCTTGTAGTATTTATATGTTAGTAAGTCATATTTATTACTTTAGTTATGAAAAAACCAAAAATTATGTTATTTTTAAGAAATTATTATTTGGTTTATAAAATTATTACTGATGGATATTACATTTTATTGTATAAAGTAAAAATAGTACAAAAATAAATATACATACATATCAAAATTATTGTAAATTTTTTTTTGTAATTACAAAATTTTAAAATTTAATGCACTAAGTTTCTTAATTTTAGCATAATTAACCAATTTTACTGGTATTGGACTGTTGCACTTGAAGATTTGTAACTATTTAATTAAAAACTATTTAATATATGAGTCAAATCATTTTATTTGTACAATAGGATAATAATGAAATATATATGATATTTGTACACCTATGTATTTGTTAGTTTATTTTTTTGTAGTTGCATAGTTTTCTTCTGTATTGTTAAAATGAATTATTGTAAATATACATATATTCCTTCCCAATACTGGTACAGTATCACCAAACATGTGTAGGTATCTAACTGAACTTACTCTGATAAATAATCTTTAAATTACTCTCCATACATATGTTTTAAATACGTGCAACATTTTGTACAACAGGAATATAGACATGTTCTATTTTCAACTTACCAATTAATCTAGTTATGAGAATTCTAAAAATTTGAATTTGTCATTAAATCTACTTGAAATCAACTTCTCACTTTTTTATTTTATTACACTAAATTCTAAAAAGCCCTAATAAAAATGGAATTATTAAAAACATGGAATATTTTTAATTTTGAAGAAATTAAAAATAAGAAAAGTGGGAAAGTTGATCTCAAGTAGACTTGACGACAAATTTAAATTGCTTTCAGAATTCATATTGATTATCGTTTCACTGGATCAATCAGTGTTGGAAATTGAACTAGTCTAGATTCCTTTTGAATAATACTCCAAAACATTTTGTTGCTTGCATAATGAACGGCAGTAGTAAACATATGAAAATTTAACAAAATAATAATACTTAGTAAATGATAAATTGAAATTTGTAAATTATTAATGTACAATAGTCAATTGTAATTAATTGAGTTCACTTTAGCTGCAGTTGTATATTGTAGGTGGTATAAATATAAATTATAAATCATTCAATAGGAGTTAATATCTATTAGGGCAAAACACTACTTTTTTGAGGCACGCTAAAGTGTCTTATAATTTGGGTCAGAGCGTTGTGCATTATTATAGTAATATTTGAAATTATCATTTCACAGCGTTCTGGTGATTATTATAAAAGTTATAGTGAGTTTTTTTGTACGAGTCCGATTTGATTTATGCCTTTGTTCCATTTCGGCGGGCCACGGCCAATAAAGATAAACGCGTCTCTCGTTGGAATTTTTGATCGTCAACCAAAAATGGTGAAGAGAGCGCTAAACGTGATTGTTCCTTTATTTATAAAGTTCGTATTCGTAACTATTTGGTGCAAAAACATTCTGTGTATTGCGTATGGTACTTATCACCAAAAATAAACTTGAAGACCACAAAAGAGCATGAAAATGACTAGTCATTTTTACGAATCTACGTCACGACATATGAGAGGTAAACATATTACCACTTTACAGAAAGCTTAATGAAATTACGAATTCCTTGATGTGCAATCACATTAAAAGTTTTAAAAGGCTGTCAATGACATTACAATTTGAATGATTGTAAAAAACTGATTGGCCAAAAACAGTGGCGCCGAACTAATTTTTTGTACTTGTGGCAATCAACAGTAATATTTATCCCTGCCTACCACTACACAGTGTTAAACCTAAACCATGAGGAGCATAGCCGTTGTTGTAGATTTAGAAATTTATTAGGTATTGTTGGTTATTTATCGTAAAACTATTAATGAAAATTAAATAGTTATAGGTATGATTATAATTAAATAGTTATCTGCTTTTACTAATGTAATCATATAGTACACGCTTCGGCAGTTTAGGAATAGACTAGTTCGCGTTATTTGTAATATTATTATTACAATTAATAATTATGTCTATTTCTCTTTATATTAATTGTAAAATGTACAATGTTGTAACTACCAATGGGTGGTATACCCATCACTTAAATTAAGTGTGGCAGCTGGTACGCCTAATATACAGGTTCGACGCCACTGGCCAAAAAATCTGAATGTTAAGAAGCGATGTCCGTCATATTTAAAAAAGGGCATCCCACAGTTACTGTTTCTTATGAAACATTCAGGCAGTGGCATATTTATGAAAGGGTATTTGGGATATTTGTACTGGGCCCATTCGAAGCGGGACCCATATAAGTCGTAAGTTACTTTTTTTATTACTTTGGGAGAAACAAAATTATGACTAACAAAAACTGGATAAAAACAGTGATGATTTTTTTTCAGTTAGCTAGTATTGAATGAAATAGATAAGGGCCAAAAATTTGATCAGGGCTTGCCTATATATATCAGCATTTTAAATTTTAATTTTAATTTATCGTTTGAATATCTCCGTACAGACACGTATACGAATACTTATGACAAACTGTAAACGTTATCTCCGAAAAAAAAGATATTGAAATAAAAAAAATACGTAGATACCTACTTCGAATGATGAGTGGGCCATTGTTGTGGGTGTGAAGTTGGGAAGGTAGGTTATAAAGCGGAATATTATATATATCTGTATCAAATGATTAATCTTTGCTAACGACAAACGATTCTGAGAGGAGTTCGGGTAATAATATTTAAAAGGTTAAATATTTACGATTTTCGTCAAAATTTGATATTAAAAATTAAAATTCATTGCAAGTTGCGAGAGTAACACGCCTATCAGTATAGTTTCAGCTCTTTTTTTCCAGTATAGATGTTTTAAATCATTTCTTCGTAGTATAGATTTTAAACAGATCTGATAAATGTCCAAAATTATTAAATTAATTAAATTAGTTATTGTTATTCGATAATAATAATCAAATTATACAAATTATTTGTATATTTTGTTGGTTACACACTCACATATCCACGGACGCGAACCCCTGGTATTATTTTCTATAGCAACCGCAATTGCTTATCGACCGCTCGTCGACACTACCAAGGTGTTTTTAATCGCCAATACGACGATTTAAACATATAGTCTGGTTACACTGCGTGTATAATTTAATGGTCCAAAAGTGTGAAAATAGTATTTTATTATTTTCATACTTGAAATTCTCTGCATCAAGTGTATAAATCCCCCATTTTTGGTTCTAAGCAAATTACGTTCGATCACAGTTGCAGCTGGATAGTAATATTCAGCGATCTTAGACGGAGATTTCGGGCGTTCGCCGTTTCGGAGTTTTGTCGTCTTGTCGATGATATTATCATATTTTTATCTTATCAAATAGTAAAATATGTAACCGTGGTGTATGGATATCATACCGTAACCGTGGTAAATGTTAAATTGTTATCTTTGTTTTTCGCTCATATTTTCCTGATTACAAGTTAGGTAATATTTATCATTATACATTTTTTTTTTGTTTATTGAATGTCTTCAAAACGTTGTTTTCGATTTGGATTTTCTATAATAATTTTTTTATGATTTGTATATTTTTACTCTAGTCTATTGAGGGTTACCATTGGGAACGTTGCTGGACAAAACGGAGACAACGGCGGGCGTGCATGGCTTTAGCCGCTGTACAGACGTCTCCGACCATTGGGACTTCGTCTCAGAATTCTGTGAGTAATTTAAATATAAGTCGATATAATCTAAAAAAATACATAACGAATAACATTCAAGGCATATCAACAATCAGCAAGTTTTATAAAAAAAAAAAAAACGGAAACCAATCAAGATTCTATTGCTGTGAAGTATAAATGAAATATAAAAATATATTATTTTTAAACAATAAATACTTAAGCATTATGATTAACTTATTTTTAATATTGTATTATTTTGAGAGAATTAAAAATTATCTGATAAGTTTGAATTAATTTGTTTAGTTATTAGGTATATAAGTGGTAGCCATAGTTACTTCTAAGAATTACTTTCAATATGGTATGTTTGTTTCATTCATATTTTACCTAAATATTCTATATTATTTTAAGTGATAGGTAGTATTATTTAAATTACAATTTCTCAAACAAGTTTATCTAACCTACAACTAACCTAAACTATACCTACTTATTAAATGATAAAGATTTATAGGTAATTAATTTTATAAAATGCTTTAACAATAGTTTCATAGAATTATAATACAATTTTATGAGAAATCAGGTTTCTTAAATAGGTACATATTACATTTTGTCTATAATGAACTAAGTATTCTGATTTTGTATTAATTGAATTAAAAATTATCAATTTTTGTTAGTAATATATTTTTAAGATTAGTTATGGTTTTCAAATTTAAATTTGTATAATTTACAAATTGTCTAAATTAACAATTTTTATAATATTGAACCTACAAGTATCTAACTGAAAATGGCTACTTAGTTTTGCTCCTTTTTGCTCCAATGAATGTTATTCGTTATTGTACTATTAACTAAATTTAATTATTATGTTAAGTTTGTTGATTACTCAGTTGATTACCTCAGTTGATATAAAATTCATAAGTAATGAGATTTTTTAGAGTTGTGTAAACAAAGTTGACCTAGAATATTTGAGTAATTACAATTTATACAGCTTTACCAATTTGGAATGTTAAATAATAGTACTATTATTATTATGTACAAATTATCATATTATACAACTATATTATATAAGGCTATCAATAGGAAGTTTAAAAATAAATTACACATTAAGTACTAAAACACTATCGCTAAATAATTTTGTTTTAACTATAGGTAGGTGTATTACCTAAATAAACACTGATTATTATATAGTTAATAATTCATGTCCTGTATAATATTTATATGAAAATGGTTTTGTATTTTACGGTACCTAATACATCTACATAGTATTTATATATTATGGTATATCATTTTTATTAAAAGTGAAGGTATTAATTTATAAATTATGAATTTATTAAGATATAACATTATTATAATAGGAGTAGATTGAGTGGCTAGAGGAATTAGCCTTTTAAAATCATCTATGGCACCCCTAAAACTATTAAAAATAAATAAATAATTATTTTAGTCCCTCCCCTTCAAAAAAAAATAAAAAAATTATTGATTGAAATTAGAATGACGTTAATGACCTGAATTGATTATTATGTATTTTTCTGTGACAATTTGGTATACAGATGTAAAACAAGTGATGATCTTTTATTTTTTTTTAAATTCAATCATATCTCCATCTATAAGGTGTATACTAGTTAGACATATTTTATAATTATTAGAATATAATAATGTTATCAATAACATGAAAATATAAAAATTATTTAAATTTAACAAAATACTCATTTAATATTACGGTCTGTCGAGTTTTATAATGTACCCTACTTGAAATCTATTTATGTGAGTAAATTGACCGTATTGGTAGGTATATCTAATTTTTTTTTTGTGTCATTGTAACTAGTTGGGTTGAAGACAATTGATATTGTTCTTTTTTTTTCCGTTATAAGTGATTACATAAAGTCTGTACTTCATGAATTACTTTTTACTTTGATAGATATAGAGAAAACAAATTGTCATTTATAACAAGAAATATTCTATGAACTATACATTTTTATATTTTTTATATCGCATCTATAATAAATTAAATTGTAGTATATTTTGTATGTTAAATTATTTAATTATTACTTAATTTAACTATAATTGGTGTAGTATTAAAAATAATTATTCAATTTTTAATAGCTAGGTATTTAGAACAAATTATTTTATATTTATTTTATGGTTAGGAGGTTTAACTGTACAAATTCAAGCTTTTTGTTACCCCTATCTAATTTGCGAGATTGTAGAAAATTAATTAAAAATGAAAACATTTTTATTTTTAGATTTTGAGCATTCAAAATTTCTATAAAGGTGTATGTTTATAAAATAATATTTTAGATTCTCAGTGGTCTTAAGTGCTCTTCAACGAGCAATGTATTGATTTTACAATGATGTTTATTTTTTATTTTTTATTATTTTTTATGTGAACACTTTTTGTACCAAAAATTATACTCTCATTATCATGTATAGCATCTTTTTTGAAATGAAATTTTCTTTGGGTGGTGTTTTAAAGAGGTAAATTATTGAAATTTTCATTAATATCTGAGATAATGAGGAAAACCTTTAGATTAAGAAAAATTGAAAGATTAAAAAGAAAGTTGTCATAAGCAACCGTTTTTATTTATTTTTTGTTATTATTTGTATTATTTTAATATTTTTTAAACAATCATTGTTGACATGGAAACGCACATTGTTTTATTAATTGTACCATAATATGACATAACACCATATATTGTATTATTGACAAAACAATATTATCAACTGAACTCGGCTCAGAATCGTTTTTTCGTTAGTAATGGTTTATCGTTGCTTACAGATATACATTAAATTCCTGCCTGTAGCCTACCTTCCCAACTTCCCAATTAGAACAGTGGCTGCACCCATGTGCGAAGTATGTTCGTCCTTTTTATTTAATTTTGAATACCACTATAGTATATATTTGTAAATCAATCGAAAAGCATTCTCGATTAAAAAGTAAAAATTGAAAATTCATACATTTTCAATTGATATCGATAAACTTTCTGTTGATTAATAAAAATCAATATCATTTTCAATTAAAGACGCTCTTAATTGATTCGAGAATAGGCTCCCAGAATTGTATATAACTGTAAATAATAATAATTGATATACTTAACATTATATTTTGCGCCAAACTGAATGAAATAAAACCGAAGTTCTATCTTTCAGTTTTTATTAAGAATTTCGTTTTTAAATTTTAATTTTAATTAAAATATAATATTTTTATGTCAAAATAATCCTTTAGATAATTTCCATAATTAGTTTTATATCTTTAATTTTTCTTTGGTCTGCTTTTTTCAACTTTCATATGTATACAAAGTATGATTACCAATCTAGCCCAATTTTCTATAACTTTTAATGCAAAATAACTAGGTGAACTTTTATAAGTTTTTACCTGCAATGTGGGGGGCTGTGATAGATCGAGTAGACTAAAAATGCAATTTAACAGAAATTTTATTAACTTAAGAAAAATTTATTTTTAAGTCTGTTGACTGTATTCTATTATTCTATAGAAGAATAATTAAGAAACAATTAGGTATTAGAAAACTTTATTATTGTTATTTCTAAACAAGCATTAAATATAAAGTATAAATTAACTGTCTATTAACATCTTGCAAAATACTAAATCAGAATGATAATAATAATGCTTTATTATCAGTAGCTATCGAGCTGATGCCTACTTTTTAATGGTTTTCTTTTTCGTTCGCGTATTGCTAATTAATTAACTATACATAATATTATTGTTTTAGTTTCTAACAAAGTGAAGTTTTTTACTATGATTAGTGTTTTGTTTGTGTCTCTAATCTACTTCTTAATTAAAAATGTTGCTCCAATCTTCGATAACAGGAGTAGTTTCTAGTAGCAATTTTTCAAGTTAATGCTTTGAGGAGGTTATTTTTCTATATTCTATATAGTTTTCTAAATAATTGGAGAAAAGCTGAAAAATTTATGCAATAACGGTTTCATGTATTTTTAGGTTTAATTTTACGTGAATTTAATTTAATGAAAAGCAAAGAGGGTTGGGTTATACAAATCCGGAACGCAATAATCTTGAACGTAATAATCAGGAGCGTGAGAATCCGGAATATAAAATCCTAGACTAAAAATCCGGACTGCAATTTTCCGAATTGGGAAAATTCGGAACGTACCGAATATTCCGGGAAAATATAATGGCTTTTAAAATATATTATAAGTTGGCAGTAATAGTATTTTATAGCTGTGGTCAATAGTGATTTGTTTTTTTTGTCATAGATAATAATAATATCTTTAAAATGTGATAAACTTATGTAACGCGAAAGAGAAAAATTGGGCTGGTGGAAAATTCGGGAGTATAGGCAAAATAGTCGGGGAAAGGTAAACATTTTGGAACCAAGGGTGGTGAAGAGGGCAAAGAGAAGTCTGGAATAAACTCATTGAAAAAACTGAAGATTTCCATTTTAAGCGGCCTATATACACGTTCAGTCTTCAGTTCAAACTTCACCGAAGACTTATGTCTTCAGGAAAGTTGGAGTTCGAGATTGACTACACACTACTCATATTTTCTGTCAGTTTAGTTTGATTACTTCTGTCACAAGCATGTACGTAAAGTGCACGTGGTCGAAATTCGAACACGTTCACGGCAACTTAAGAAATCAGGAAGAACCAGTTCAGTTCATGCCGTGCTTGGGACCAGGGCTGGATTTAGACTTTCAGAATGCCCAGGGCAAATATTTTTTGAAATTCTTAGCGGTAAACAAATAAAAATATCTAATATCTAAGTAGTTAAGGAAAAAATTAAAAATTTGCAAACTCGCACGTTATAACTATCTAGCTAAAATGTGTTCATTTCTAGTGTGAAATACTGCTGTTCATATATTACAAATTTCAATATTCATTTAAATATAGCAATATTATAATAGTTTTATTAAACCTTCTTAATTTTAGGAGTAAAAATAAGTATATTAATGTCATAACGTTATATTTATTAAAATTTTGAAATCAAATCTTCGCACTGTTACATTAATGATTTCAAAATAAAAAAGACGGACATACTTCGCACATGGATGCGGCCATTGTGGTTGGTGATAAGTTGGGAAGACAGGACATAGAGGGGAAATTAATTTGTATCTGTAAGTAACGATAAACTATTGCTTACTGAAAACGATTCTAGGCGCGGTTCAGTTGATAGTGATGTTTTGTCAACAATATATACATCATATTATGGTATAATAATTAAATAGGTGTTATATATTTTCTTTAATAATATTTGTTTAACATTGTACCGATTTTACCTTTTTTCTACGTTTTTCCCGGGTTTTCATATTTCCTGACCAGTGGAACGTTTATACCTATGTATTCAAATATTTTGTGTTTACTGGATGCCCCATTGCCATTATGTTGTCTCGTTTGAAATAAAAATTGAACGTGTGTAGTCCGCGTCAGGAACGGTAGGAAATCTTAAGAAGTTTTAGGAATAATTAGTTTTTCTTAATTTTGGAATACATTATATAATAATATATTTAAAATACGATATTATATACTTTGATATTTTACATTTACTTAGAATCTATATATTGTACGAGTTTGTATGATTAGGTGTAGCTGAAACGTATTTCCGGAAAGCGTTTCAATAATAAACAAATATCATTATCGAAATTCTGTTTACAGTCTTTATAATTTTGTATAAATAGGACGAAACAAAAACTGCGTAACACGTCAACGTAATGATAAATTCTTATTGAAATTTGATAGTTATTAAGTTTCACTCTTGTGACCGACAACAAAGATTATATTATTATTTGTCTTTATTGTTGTTTTTCGTTTTGTTTTAACACATAATAATCGATTCATCGTGTCGGTTCTTTGTTTCTCCTCATCAATATAAGGACTATTTTCCGGATTAACATCACTCGGCGATAATTACACATCGACCGTTAAAAAATAAAAAATAAAATTTTACGTGTATAATACTACGGTAACCCACCAAAAAATGTCCGGAACAAATTAAAAGACAATAGAAACGATAGAAATAATCAATTAGAAACTAGATTTATTTCGAAAACGAGTGTATTGACGATATCGTATTGTTTTCGACGAGTCGCTAGCTGAAAACGAGACGAGCGTCTGCGATAAATCGAAACATCGTTACGATATTATCGTGTACGCGTCGACAGTGCCACCGCTGTCCGTTGACAAAGCGCTGGTGGCGCGGCGGTGGGGAACGTACGGCCTCGGCTGTTCCTGCGAGTCTGCAGCGTGGCGGTACCGGTGCGTCAGTCAGTCGTCTGTGCGACAGCGGTTACGTGCGTTGCGTGTACGCCGATTGACCCTAACCACGTGTGGTCACGGTGCGTGTGGCAGCTGATCGTTGGTACGAACTTTGTCGTTACGGAATTTGAAAAAAATAAATAAATCTGACCGTATAAGTCTAAAATTTATAACCGCCGTTCTTATTCTGGTTTTTTTTTTTGTGCGATCTATTTCGTCGAGAGTAACAGTTCGTTCGCGATGAATCTGTCCCAGGCAGTGTCCACCAACGCCGCCGTCTCGGCCGCCCGTATCCGGACGAGGTGTTGAATTTCGAGCGGAGTGGACTTTACGGGTACTACTTATACACGCGTATAGACTGTTGGTACTGTTTACCGCTACTTTGCGGGTTTTGTGGCGCGCGCGTTAAAAATACAACACACGCGATGATGTTGTACGTGTTGCCGCCCCCGGCGGCCGCCGGTCCGCCGTCGCCGTGGTCCACGATTCTGTGCGAAGACGGACAACCGTCGTCGGCATCAGTCGTAAACGGCGCCACGGCCGGTGGCCAGCCACAGCCGACCGCGGTCAACGGCAGTGGCCGGTTGACGTACAAACGGAACGCCAGCAACAACAGACGCGTCAAGGCCTGGCTAAACGCGGTGCAAAAGAACAACCGTCCGCCGCCACGCAGAAAACTTTCCGTGGACGCAACCGCCGCCGCTGCCACCGGTCCCGAGGTACGTCTTCGCGACCCGCCAGCGTCGTTTCTTTTTTTTTTTTGATTTGTCGGTAGTCCGGTGCGTTACACTAATTATTCAAAGACAAAACGTTCACGGGACGATTAAATGTTCAAGTCGATCCGACGATCCGACGACGGAATGAAATTAGAAATCGTTCCGTTTATCGACGCGTTTTTCGTGATCAATATAATATCATGTATTATAATTTGTAATACATAAATAAATTTGAAATACTAATTATAAAAATAATTATTATCGTCCACGCTGCCCGTTTTCGTATTGTTTATAATATATTCCGTTTACTCGGCTCTTGCGTTCTGTTTATTACAAGAATATTATTGAACTTTAGGAATATATTTAAATATATATTATTACAATATATTTTTTTTTTTTGTAATAACTGACGGTTTAACCAGTTCGTTTCCAATACGATAATGTTAAGTCATTTTCTAATTGTTTGGATATTTCATTCGGTGGATTATTTTACTTCGGATTTTTATTCGTAGATTGTTTGGCCCAACAGAAAAGCTTTTACATTTAACACGAGGTTAATTATAAGTTGTTCTTATTGGTAAAAAAAAATAAAAAATAAACGTTATGCTGTAATATTTTTAATGTTTTTTTTTTACGAGCATTTTAAGTTTAAATTTTGACAAAAAACCCTTAAAATCGAGGCATTTTAAAGCATGTTTATTGAGGTTCATTCTGAATCGTTTTTTATCGGTAATGATTTATCCTTTTATAATATAAATTAAATAATTTTATGTATCTTACCTTCTTAACTTACCACTTATAAAAGTGACACACCCATCAACAATATCAGGTCTTTTTTCTTTTTGACATTTTTGACCATTTTTCGATCGTTTTTTTTTGTTTTTAAGAGATATGTTTAGAATTGCCTACGAATTTGTTCAATTTCGAACATAACTTTGTGATTAATAATATTTTATTTATTGTATAGACCTAATATTTGGTGCAGTGGTACCGATTATATAATTATTTTTTAAAAATATTTATTATAATCACTACTTATAACATGAGATCAGTTTCAAAATGCACTTCTATACTATTTTTTTTCTATGAACGCATAATTTGTTCTGGATTCGTGTCATATGTAATTCATATGTATAGGTACGTGAATATTGAACCTAATTATTGATAACATTTAAAGTTGAGGGGTAATACACCTACCTGTTGTCTATATTTTGTAGATAAATGAAAACATATTATATTTAAATAATATGTGAACACAAAATACGCGTTTGTACGGGTTTCAATAGTTTTTAAGTTATTATCAAAAAAAAAAGGTTAAAAAAAAAATTGTAAAATTTGTTGAGAGTTCTTTTAGAACTAAAATATATTATTTCAATAAATTATAATTTTCAAGAGCACCGTTTTCTCTCATTCTGAATATAATAACGCTCATGCCGGATTGCATGACATTTTACAGAACCGATAATTTCCTATCAGTTTTTTAAAATTAAAACCCAGTTTTGTAAATTAATAAATATTATTATAGAATAAACATAGAGTTATCGAATCGATAAGATGTTGCACTGCTTTGAGTTCTACACAATTTAGTGAGCTGTTTAACCACACATATTCCGTGAATAATCAATTTATCATTTATTTATTTATAATTTTACTTTCACGTAAAAACGGGGTAAATTTATTTATTTACCTATTTAATTTATATCTATAAAATAGAATTAAAATGCCAGTTTCATCATAATATAATAATTTTTTCTGAATTTTTCAAATGTTGATTAATCTCCAATGCCTAGGTGGTTTGAATTTTAAAATTTAAAACAAACCTTATCACTCTTTATTCAAACTTCAAACAAAATTTATGGAATTGAAATTTCATTTTCGGTTAATACTTATTTATTCAAATATTATATTACTGTAATATTTGATATTGATAAAATCATTAATTAATATACATTATGCATGGATAACACATTTCTATTCGAATAATAAAATACATTCAAAAAACTCAATCCGGTCAATTACTGTAATTGTATGTAACCAATAGATTATCAGACCAACAGTATACAGAACTCATGCAATCCGGCATTGTTTAAAACATTTTGAAATTATTGTAACTTAACGAAAAATATATATGTTTTTCTTAAATACGCATCTTGTTGCCTTATTTAAAATATTGCACTCTTTTAATTGTGTTATACTCTAAAACCAAAATTAAAGGACTTCATGTTTGGTAAGCATTTTTTTATCACTGTTTTAACGTTTAGTTTTATACTGTTTTTCGGACGAAATAATATTATGTAAAACAATTTTTTTTATACATTTAAGTCGACGAATAATTCAATAGCACTTAAAAAATTGCTGCAGGGAGTTGGTATATAATCGGTTATATGAAGTATAAAGTCTATTAAAATTCATGAATTTTGTTATTTTGGAAATATTTCCTCGAGAAATAAGTTTAATTTATTTATGCTGTGTACCTATACTAATATTAGTAATATTATTTTGCGGTGATATAATAAAATTCAAATTATATCCATATTAATGCTATGTTGTAATCACAATCACGTAATCATTGCTAATATATTTTTATGGTTAAATTTAAAAAAAAAATTACATTTTTTTTATTACATAAGGATTCTTTTTTAGGCAATTTTTTAAAATGTATAAGTTAGATAACGATTGTATTGGATGATTTACAGAATTATATTTAGGCGAATATTTTTTTTCAATTTAATTTGTTATAAAATATGGAATTCTAATTTTGAAAATTTTAAACTTAGTAAATAGTATAGGAAAGTAAAGATGCATATTTATGTATCTATACAAAATAATTAATGTTGTAGTAAAAGTAAATTTCAACATCACTATAGTAATTTTAACTTCACTTAAAATCGATTTTCATAATGACGATTTTCTATAACACATAATAAGGTATCTTATATAAAAAAAATATCAACACCAATTAATAATGACAGTTTAAAACAGCTTTTTTAAATTTAAGATCGATCGTTTACTGTGACCAGTGCATTCATTCTTATTATTAATGTCTGTAATTATTATAGATATGCTTATTATGTATATATATATATATATATATATATATATTATATATTCTTCTGAACAATTTTCCACACTGTCAAGTGAAAACGAAAAATATATCATTTAAAGCTAATTAATTTTAATAGAGATATTATATCTATAATATAAATATAATGCTGACAGCTATCGTGGTAAAGTTAATATTTTGATCCGTAATAATTGATATAGATATACACATATTGCCCAATACTATAGCAGTGGTGTACCTTGACCTTTCTTAGAGTGGGGGAAGGGTGAAATATATTTTCCCCTCACTCTTAAATAAACAATTTCTTAAAAAAGTAACGTCTCAGCTACAACAAATTTATAAATGAATACGGTAATTGGGCTCATTTATATCTATAAAACGTAACATTTTAATGCGTGAAATAAGAAATTTGTATTTAATTAATTATAATATTATACATTTATAATACAGAATTTAACCTCCGGTTTTTTATAGAAGAGAATCTTTCAATGATATCCACTGATATACTTGTTTCCTGGTAAATATGAAACAGTGCAAACTTTGTGGTGTTAAAAAGTTACTGTTACTTTTCACTGTGTTTCAATGAGTAGCAGTAACAGTGCTTTTTAGTTTTTACTCATGCATAAAGTAGTAGTGATTTATCTCACACTGTAAAATTATCAAAAATCACTATTAGTGATGTTATATTTGTTTAACTGTGAAAAATATTTAACACTATGTTAGTGTAAAATGTGAATAATATGTAGCGGTGAGCCGATATGATTTTTTTTCTAATAACCGATTCGATATTTTAAATCAAAAACTGTGCCAATATTGAGATTAATTAAACCGTTATTTTCATGTTGTAATATTATTATTGACATTAAATGTTTATTAAAAATAAATATTAAAAAAAAAAAAATTAATAAAACATCAGTTTTGAAAAATAACCGATATCCGATGTTTAGATATCCTCAATATCGGCCGTAGTACGATATCGGTTTATGCCACCACTAATAATATGCAACTATTGCTACTTGCTACCATTGTTAATATGTGTTTATATATTGTTATATGGTTGTTTGCTAATTAACATTTTTTATTTTGACAAGTCAAAGTAGCTGCTGTTTGTTGTAATAGGAAAAAAAAATTGATTTTAGATAGGTATTATAATATTTATTAATTTATTATGTTAATCATTATTCATTATTTCACATTTACACATCTGATATCATGGTTAAATAGAGTAGTACTCTATGAATTATTATTGGGATATTCTGATAGGGTGAACGTGGGTCATTAGTACATGAAAAATAAAAAGTAGCATTTATAGTAGCAATTACTGTTCTTTTTACTGTGGTTTTTTTTTTTGTAACAGTAGCATATTCACAGTGTGATAAATATTTTTCACAGTTCAACTTCACTAGTGAAAACCCCAAAAGCGATCCTGGCACATTTATTTTGTAACTATAAATTATTGATAAGAGACAACGGTCGAACTGCCAAAATGAAATGATAACAGTATCTGACCCAGGTCGACCATAAATAACAAACATATTTCATTGTTTATGGATCTAACTATGTTATCATACTATCAACTTTTTCATGAAAAACAAATTTCAAAATTATAATAAAAACACTAAAAACAAATAACAATGCACACGTCATATAATTATTCGGTCCAGGGGTCGATTTGCCTTTCTCCCACAGGTACGCCACTGTACTATAGTGATATGTGTTTTGAATATACTACTTATGTTTAATATGTTTAACTTAACGAGGATGTGATACCTGCATATATGTGCTGTCTTACAAACATACGACATAGCAAATTTGCATTCATCACGGTTAAGTTTGTGTAGTTAGTTTTAATATTGGAGTGAATCAGCCTATTATCAAATTTAAAGGTAAGTTCATTATCTGTGCAACCATTTAGGTTTTTTTTAGTATTTTAATTTGAAGCGAGGTATAATTATTATTAAATTTTGATATTTTACATACTCTTAAATCGCTTAAAAAATTTAAACATTGAAAAAATGGTGCACAAGTAATGACTCATGGTTTTATTCTTAAGTTTGATAATAGGTCAATTCATTGGAATATTAAAACTGACAGTTTTGTCAGTTCAGTTATTATTTCTGTATGCAAATTCGTTATATCGTACGCTTGTAAGAAAGAGAGCATATTATGTGGATATCATGTCCTTTTAACTCAATATATAATTCATATTAATCACTGTAAAAATAAAATGTTACCTATATTTTTGAAAATTAAATTTACTAAATTAAATTAATTAAATTGTGCTTAATTAAGTTTTTGTGTTTTACTCCCGCCTATACGATTTATTTTAAATTAAAGGTTGTGTCGAATTACTATTTTTATCTATCTCGTCTGTTTAGCAGTGTCCTTCGTTTTAATAATAATTTTTTTGAGTAATTTTATACTTATTTTACATAGAAACTACGTCTATATTATAAACGGCTTAAGCTAGGTTTTAGTTTTAATAATTACTACAAGCGCAAGTGAGAGTCATAAAATCTTTTATTAAGTTTATTAAAAATAAGTTTTATTGACAACTGACGATTATTTAGTTTTACGACATACGTAGTTTAAAACCCCTATAGTCTTATAGTAAATCGATGTATGCTATTGAAAATTAATTAGGTACGTATATTGTATACGCTTTCATTCATAAAAATTGTGATTGTTATATAATAATTCTCTACTTTATCAGTTTGTCTATAGAATTTTTAGTTACTACTATATTTTTTATATGCAAATAATCTAGTTGGTGTACTTTTTTCACGAATTTTTAGTTATCTATTTTACTGCATTATTTTTATATCATGGTTAACAAGTTAACTATTTTAAGTTAGTTAATATTTTGAAAAAATTACTCATCGTATTGTCGACGTATATTCCAGGAATAATATAGTACGTGGCTGTTCGTTTATAAATACATTTATATTACTCAGCTAGTTTGGTATATGTATTAAAGAGTTTTTATATGTTCACTCATTGTACAAATTATTACTTAATTATTAACTACCACTACGCAAACCTCCGGGATATAAGCTGATTGTCCATTTGAACTTGAAACCTTCACCTGCATTCCTTTAAAATTGCAGTCAGGGCAATTTTTATACGGATCGTTTTTTCGTACGTGCCTTTTTTTTAATATATAATTTTAAAACCTCGTATATCTATGTATAATTATTTTTTAAAGTAAAACACCAGGTAATAGTTAATAAACATGTTAGCATAATGTATATTTCAAGCAATTTATTATTATGTACTGTTTCTTTTATATAGATGATGGAATGATTGAATTATAATTATTGTTTTTTCATTTTATCGTATTGGTGGGGGAGGGGGAGAGAGAGAAAGTGATTTTCTATACAAATTTCTACATGAATAACGTTGTTGCAGAAAATTCGTTTGCATCTTTCGCGTATAAACTGTGAAAGTATGAAAAACTCGAAACACTTTCCCTATAGTTTTTAAAAATGATCCCTGTGTGTGTGACACGCAGCTGTTTAAAATAGAACATGCAAAATCGTTTTCGTAATATGATTACTAGTTATAGACATTATTTTTTGTCTACAGTGGTGTTATTTTCAAGTGATGGTAGGGAGGAGAGGGTAGAAGAATTATTTTCAAAGGGAGCACCCCCGTTGCACCATTAACATTATAAGTACTTAACAAAAAAATGTAAACTAAATCTCAATACATCAGAAGGGTTATACAATTCTTTCAAAATAATTAAACGAAAAAATTCATTATCAATAATAATTAGTAATAAATGGATAAAATGGGGTTAAAAAAAAAATTGTCGTGTGAGGATTATTCCATTTTAGATCCGATTGTTTCGCTTATTCTATATGCTGGTTATTGTTATGTCAATAATATTGCAACCAAAAGAATTAATGAAAATATATTTGATAGTCGTAATTATTATATTAATTGTACTATTTATTATAATTTTATACTCTTATTGTCAGTAATATCGAATAGTTAATTATTATAATATCGCAAGAATTTGATGGTTAAAAAAATAAAAAATGAAGAAATAAAAATAGGTAGACACATATTAGTTACAACGTATTTATTGGTGGAGCAATCTTATACACACGACCGTTAATATTCTGGATATTAATTTCAATTATCTTCGGTCTCATTTCAAAACACGTTCCTGTACACATTCTTTTGTTGCAATATAAACATTATATATTATTATATGTACAATGTTCATACATAGCTAAGAGAAGATAACTCGACAAAATTTTTTTTTTTATTACATTCGTAAATTTTGTAAAGTCGTACACATTTTTATAATGAATTACATGCGAGTATATTACAATATCGCGAACGCGGGTTTTTTAATTAAATCCATATTATCTTATTAAAATACATTTGAAATAATACTATTGTGATCGTTATTTGTACATCGTTTTATACATCTATTGAACAGATTTAAGATTTAATCGTTATAATTATGGTACTTATTACACTATGCGTACTAATTAATGTATTATAATTTTTGTTAAAACCTATATTTAACATTTTGTGCAGGTTTAAAAAAATGTATGAAACCTTATTTAGTTTGATTTCAATAAGCGATTTAACGGTTTCATTTAACTAGGTAATCAGAAATCCTACCGTGTATTGTGCACTTTTTATTATTTATAAATAGTAACCCATTTTTAATTTGTCATAATACGTTGCTCAAAGTTAATTGTAAGTCTAGGTACACCTGTAGGTTCTTACTTTTCGATATCGTGATTGTATATATTTTATTTTTATCATCCATCTACCAAATATTCTATGTTTTCTATTAAAAAAAAAAAAAAAATGGATTTTACACAACTGGGTTATTAAAGTAGTAAATATAATGCGTAATTTGATAACTTACCTAGCAGGTATAATAATTTAAAATTAATTAACTATATTTCTTAAATTGTATATATTATTGTTATTAACGATCGAATAGATGATGAAATCGAAATGCTACCTATTGTTTTATAATAGATTAAAAGTATCGTAATGACGTATTAGGTATTCAAGGTGTTATTTTAAGTTTTTGTATTTGTTTTATGTTATAAATCTCTTCCTTGTACGGACAATAAAATAGTTGCATGTATCAATTTTTTTTCGATTAATTCCATATCTTTATTATTATATAGGTTTCAACTACGAATATTTGTATTATTAATAAACTAAACATTCAGATATGTTTCACATCCAAACGGAATATGAAATATATGTTTTTGTCTTGCTTTATCCGATTTTTCGTCTAAATATGACTTTTTTCCAGCTAAGTGTTCGGTTCATTTTTGATTTATACCTATGTAGATTAACGGCTGTATAAAAATCGAAATAGGTACTTCTATATTTTACGATTTATTGCTGTTTCATGTATATACGTTATAATCAAACAATTGTACAATTGAAATTAATAATAATAATGCATTTGTACATTTGAAGTAGCCTCTTGTCCTCGTTGGATAAAGAAATAGAAATCGGTCACAAAATTGTATAATCGTTAAATAACACTTAAACTCTGGTGTGAGGTGAATATATAATATTATCTAAACGTTCAGTTTACTTGACTTTTAATGGAAATGTTAGATACTTTGTATAATTTAGCAGAAAAAAATATAATAATAAATTCAAATAATTCGAGTGCCATGTACAGCAATAAGCATTTTTTAAAAACCGCTTATTTTGATCTTTTCTGTACTTGTATATTTTAGGAGATGTTTTTGAATTGAATATCGGGGTAATGATCATTTCGATCGTCTGTTTGGATGTTATTTTATTTCAGTTCTTTAGCATTTTAATACTGTTGGTTTTTAGTCATATTTTGGTACTTATTATTATATTTTAACGTGTTTTGTGTTTTTATATTTTTGGCCCGTGTCCAACGCTTATATATGCGACCAAAGTATAAATTAAAAAATACGTGACAAATGTATAATGTATAGCATCGTACACCGCATTAAAACTTTTTATTAAAATACGACTTGACGTGCCTGAAATGATTATAGCATATTTTAAATATACGTACTAATCAATTACTATAATATTTATATATTATCAACAATTATCAGGTGCCTTTATTATGTTTTTAAAATAATTAAAATATTTCAACAAAACGAACTTAAATCATAATTAAATCATTGACTAGTTCGTGATTCATTTTTATTTTTGGTTTTACTACTATGGAATGTCTTATCTAAATAATTGTTTTAAAAGTCATTTTGTTCATTCGCATGGCAGCCATTGGTAAAATGAAAGTAGAAATTTGTCTCAAAGATATTAAATGCATATTATTAATTGTCTATATACTATTATAAGTGATTAAAACAATCAATAATGTATTTAATATTTTAATAGTCATATCGTTCGTTTGTTATAAAGTCTTAAAACAGTAAATATTATGGTACGATTTTTTTTGAAATTAACTACGTAAAATTTCAAAATTTAAAACTTACTATATTCTTGACGATTTGTATGCACTATTTTGATTAATGATAACCTTTTTGTTGATCATTTTAATTTTAGATTCTGTGATAAATATAACGATGAAGCTGTTAAAGTTTAACTATAATATGTAGGTTTTTTCGGTTACTAAAGTGCTCCGATTTTTTCATAACGTACCTTAAGATGAGTAGATTTTTCATCCAGTGGTACTTTATTAAAACAAATGTTTTCATTTTCTATGTTGTTGATTAAAAAAAAATGACGATATGGTTTCATTTTTATTGATTATAATGGGTTTTTAAACTCTTAAATACATATATTGTGAATATAAACATTTTTTTAACCATATATTTTTTTGTTTTTTGGTTAACGTTTATTAATAATATTAAGGTTAAATTTATTTTTTTGGAAAATTCGTTCTACATTTATTATTTTTTTTGTTAAGAGATATTATACTCAATTATAATAATTGTATAAACACGGTTTTGGGAGATTAATATAGGCTACCGGAAGTGTATAATTTTTATTTTTCGTCAGTCATTTAAAATCGATTTTAAATCCGTTATTATTGGGAACCGTTTCAAGCGTATACCTTTTATCTTCATAACTGTTTTCGACTTCCGTTCACGTTTTCTCCATAGGTAATTGTTTTCTATACAGCAATCGACAATCGATTCGCTCTGTCCACAACATTTTCGGTCAATTTCGCGTAATAATCGTTTGTTTCCTGGGTCATATATTATCCTATGCGTTTTGACATCAAACGGACATCCGGAGAGAGACATCGAAGTAAACGCGATAAAATGCGTATGTTTTATTTTTAAGCCCTATAAAGCTCCTCATTTTCACCTGGTATATTAAAAAAAAAAAAACTATTTTAGTCTTAATGTTGTTATATTATTGTATATTTTTGATTGTAAAATAACCGAAGAAACCTATACTTCACAACAAAATTGTATTTCCACTTATGGGTTTACATTTACATTATATTTCATCAAGGAGGTTGGAACATACCTATATTTCATATATTTCATAAATTTTAGTTCAGTAAGTGGTGGGATATTAAATATACTTCCCAATGTCTAATTTTAGTTTTTCAAGTATGAATGAATGACAAATTATCTAGATTATTTTGGAAACCAATTTTCAATTTTAAGTTTTGATGACCGGTTCTAAAATTAAGATATTATTAATTTTAAAGATTCCTAGAAATAACCACATTATAATATACAATAATGTTGGTTAGGTTAAATTTTAGAAAAAAAAGTATTTACTTTGTGTATATTTGAGCTAAATTCACTTGCTGAATTTCCTATGGCGTCAACATTGTATAAACTATACAAGTTTTTAACTTTGACAAATTATATTTTGCTTAAAATTTTCTTTAATATTTTCAAATGACATTACACTATTTTTCGAATAATATTAAACAAATACAATTGAATATAAAGAGTAATTGTTTTATTATGAACCAGCATTTTATCTTTAAGGATTTTAAGTGAATTTGTTTTTTGTTATTATTATTATTTTTAATCATTTTGGAATCATTTAAGCCTTATTTAAAACCATTTTTAATTTTTTACCCTTGCTCCATGTATCTTAAATAGATTGTTACATACTTTTGTTTTTTTAAAAAAGGAACCTCCCTTTTTGAACACGTATTTAAATAGAGAATATAAATTATAAATAGAGAATATTTTTAAATGTCGGTAACTGTTTAAATTTTAGACCGGAGGAGTAAAGAAGAGTTATCAATTTATTATTTAAAAATAGATATACAATTTATTACCCTTCCTTACTTCTCCGGTCTAAACTATTAACTCATAAACAATAAATCTGATATTAGTGTTATGCATATCAAAATTTCTAGACAAATATTCTGTATTCGAATCTATGAACAAAAGTATATACTTATTTAAGGTATATGGATTAGGGGGGGGGAAATTGAAAATGTTTTTAAAATAAAGCTTAACTGATTCCATAATGATAATAGTAAAAAAAAAAACATAAATCAAATTCAATTAAAATTCTCCGAGAAAATTTCTGGTTCATGATAATCAGTCTTTTTTTTTATGTATAGATACATTACATACGAATAGTATGTAATACAATAGTTTATATACAATAATTGTTATTAAAAATATCGAAATTCCTGATTCATAAAATGTTATCACGTTTAGGTCTCGTGAATCAATTTTAGTATTATTACTTATATATTATAATATATAAATAGCTGTATACGTTTGTTAATGAAAAAAGAAACAATTGAAAAATATACGCGATCCCACTATGTGATTATTATTATCGATTATATTTTATCCTCGTCGTAGCAGCACTACAATATTATTATAATATACGTTATAACATTGTGGTCTCTGGATCATTATTTCCGCATGCTCTGTGCCGCCGCAGCAGCAGCAGCAGCAGTAGTAAGCGACCCACATCCGCGTCTCCCGTTATTTATTTCGTATTTTTATAGGTGCGATGGACTCGGTCCTGCAGTGCAGTAGTATAATATAGGCAGTATAGATTTGTTATTGTCGGTCGGTCGTCGCCGCGATTCACCACATATACGCATAATATTATTCATTTATGCTTCGTATTATGTATAGTTTATAATATATATATATATATGATATACCTTATGAATACGATTCGCGACACGTCATGTAAAACCGCAAACTAGACGTCTATATATGTGTAGTACAGTCGACGCACATTTAAGTCATAATTCGTAATTAGGTAGACCGCTATATTTAAGAAAAAAAAAAAACTTGATATCATAGGCCATGGACGTCCCCATAAAGTAATTTTCAGGAGTGGGACGAACTGGGATCAGATTTCCAAACGCGCATTTAAAGATATAGATAGAAGTGTTATGAATATAGGAGAAAATGTTACAGTTATGATTGGCCCATTCGATCAATAATCAATGTGAATGAATCTATGCCGTATGTCAAAGCATACTTAATACTTTCAAAGGTGGTTATATATTTCCCTCTTTGCTCTCCCAATAAATGCCCATGTCATAGGCTACTATTGTGGATGGAAATTTGAAGGGAAAGAGTATAGGATAGATATATGTATGGGTATCGGATATTTTAGATTCTGAATAGAATTTATTGGTTTTACTATGATATGTGTTTTTTTTTCTATCTACCTATCAATTTATCTACCAGAAATCTTGTTTCAATAAAAAAACCCAAAAGACTTTTTTTGTTGAATTTTGAATGTAGACGTTGTATTAGAAAGGTCATTTTTTGATTTTCCAAGAAATTTTCATAATAGGAAAAAACGGAAAAATATTTACGGCGCACGGCTACGCAGCGTTATCAATTACATTATTTAAAACATTTATGATTTATGTTTTTAATCAAAAAGATTTCGTCTCAAATCAATAAATGACGAAATGCATCCTACTATGAATTCAAAATACTATACGAGAAATCTTCAATTAAGACTCGATTATTTATAACTTATAACAATTATCTTATAAACTATAAGGTATTTTTTATTGGTGCGAACATACGTGAATACAATTATGTTGATTGAGGAATCAGTCTCTTCAGTTTTAAGTCAGAATAAATAATAATTTTAGTAATTTATTTATTTACTGAAATTATTATGATTAAATATTCGAATATTACAGATTTTTCTATTTGTACGTTTTGTATAACTTGTCTTATAAACTCTTCTTTTTGCGTCTTTGTCTCGTTATATAATTTTAGATTATTTAGTGTGTAAAAAGAATATTAGTTTGATTTCTATGTATAAACGTATTTTGTATATATTATCATTATTATTATTGTAATAAATAATAAACCATTCATTTGTTTTATACAAAAAAAAAAAATAACGTTTATCGATTTTGTTTGCACAATCGTTATCGATATATTTTTATTAATAATCGATAGTTTTGCTTACCTACTATCGTCGCATCGCCCCTCGAACGGTATTGCCATTTTAAGACATGACGCCGACGACGACCGTAACGTACGCGTGTGACTGGGACTGGGTTTTTTTGGGCGACTGCGTTTCATTTCGATCACTCTGTATATTATATATAAAATGTGTGTGTGTGTGTATATATATATACGACACTACGCTTTTTTCGTTTATGCGTATTTATATTCGCGCTACGTATACATATATATATATATACACTGCAGACACACATATACCGGGTATTTGAACTTGAAGGTCTTTGAACGAGATATTTTTCACTTTGTATACGCCAATTACCGATTTGTTATATTGCGGTGTAATACGCGTTTTCTTTATTTATTATTATTATTCGTTCCAGATAAAACGATATATTATTACGACAACGATAATTACAAATTGGGCCGATTAAAAAAAATAAAAAACGACGTTCGGTAATTATTATTATATGTATATTGTTATCTGCAGGGCGAACAAAGCGTCCCAAATACGACAATTATATAGCTGGTATCTAGGTATAATACTTAGGCTCTCTCTTCTTAAACCGACTATTGTTTTTTTTTCCTTACTTAATCGCTTTTTGTACGAGTTTTTCGATTATATTATACCTACTTTGTTAACATTTCTTTATTAAATATTTTATAAGTATTGATGGGTGTAACTAAATCGGTAACTGATGTGGTTTTTTTTTTGGTAGTTCGAAGGAGACAAAATAACAGAAGATATTCGCATAGTATAAATTATATGTGTATATATTAATACGAATTAAACGATTTTATTTAGGTATTCGATTAGTCAGACGGGTATTATGAGAAATGGCTAATTAAGTCAATTTTGGCCATATTTGCATTAATTTTGTGTGGAATTTCAAGCTATGATGAATGATATTACCACTGTAGTTTACAGATGATGTATAGGTTAATTGCTATCAACATATCAAATTAATGGATTGATTTGGTGATAAGTCTTATATGTTTTTTTTTTTTTTTAATAAAACAATACCGAGTCAATAAGCAAAGTTAGACTGATTATGTTGAGGTTGGAAGAAAGGATCAATCAGAGTGAGCAATCCTTGATAAGACACTCATTATCTCGGAAATTAATAATTTATTGTGTAAATGTAATTGTAATATTGTTTTGTAAAGTTTTAAAACGGTGCAAATGTATAATATAATATCTAGTATGTGTAGTATATAGTGAATACCTACAAAAATGTTAAAATCATCTATCGTTTATTTTTAAAATTATTTTTTAGACGTTGAGTTTAAAAAAATATAATATACGAATTTTGATTATTTTAAGATTTCAAGTTCTATTTGTGTGTTTTGCACGGTGAGGGTTGGGAGGATAGGAGGGGAAAATAAATGACACATTGCTAAAAAATTTCAGCTGGTTCCATCATCTGGGGATCATATAACAATCTAGTTAAATCATTTTAATATTAACTATACCATTAATTATTATTAAACGTGCAAGTATTCAGGGTAAATAATATGCAATTAGTCAATTTTGTATTTATTTAAGTGTAATTTATATTAAATCATTTATTGACGATTCGGAAACGTACAAGTATAATATTTTATTATAATTTTTTGTTTTTATCATATTATACAGAAATCCGTATAGTTATTGTCCACGTGTGTCATTAATCATCGTTATTTTACGAGAATTTATAAATATTTAATCTAAAAAAACGTTACTCATACAATAATAATATATATACGGGGCGTAGTTCCGTGACGTCGTTTGCCAAGTATACTATTGATAGGATACGACGCGCGACGACGATGTTCGTACCACCTTGTGCCCATGGTACGACGGGGTTTTGTAAATTAATCGTATAATTTCGTCGTTCTTTGTACATGTTATAATAACAATATAAAATATATTATATTTTATGCTCGTGAATAACGTTATTATCATTATTATTACTATCCGAACTTCTCTGTTCGTATTATTGGTGTATAAGTTTTTTGCATCATTCGTCGTGTTAACCATCGATAAAACTCGAATAAACGACGACGCCTTTCCCAAGGTCAATATGCGTTGTAATACAATAATTATTCTTATTATTGTAATTATTTCCTTCTGTCGGTAACAATAATGTTTTTCTTTTTCAAATTCAATTGAGGAGAAGGCGCACGACTTTGCCGAGTTTTGCGTAAATAATATTGTAACAGGCAATAAACCTGCGCGTATTAACATTACAACAGTAATAGGATGACGGTTATTTATATTTTTTTTTGTTATCACGAACCAGCGATCATAATACTAAAGATTTCGAGTAAATTTGATTTTGATTTTTTCAGTCACAAATAATATACTTTTACAATTTGACCGTTATTCTGTATATCGTCATATTATAAACATATCATGTAAACTTTCAATTTTCAATAATAACCGTGTTGTATCCGAGAAAAAAAAATATTTTACCTTTTTTCTATGAAAAGCAATGGTTTATAAGTAATATCCGTAGACTACGTAACGTATTAATTCATATTGTCTAAAGTTATATTTAACATTTAGTATTTACCAGCGTATTTTATTAGAAAAAAAAAAAACAATAAATGTTTCTTTTTCTTCCTATCCCTTTTTTGTCTTACTAAATGTTGTCTTGATATTTTTTTGATTAATAGATCTATGGTTTGGATTCCAAAGTATAGATTATTTAAACTTAAGATAACCCTATTAGATATATGGCTACTAGGACGGTCATACCCGGTTCATACGATGATAATTACTACCCTAATAGGTATCAACCATTACGATAGTAACATCACAGAGACTGCGTACATATACGATGATAAAGTAAAGGAATAGTAGAAAACATGATGATAATGTGCGTATAGTATGTAGACGTCTATGAACGTGCCGTCACGACAGTAAAATATGACGATAATAATATTGTGTGTAAGTACACACTCTCACAGTAGTGTAACTATCGCTTTCATGCATGACGTTGTGTTGTGATAATGTCCTGTTCACTCGACCATGGTTCATGATAGTAATTCTTACACGGTTTTAAGTTTTGTAACTATCACGATACTGACTATATTGTTATCGCGCGGACCGGGCTCTAGGCGACGAAGAAAGTCACCCTGTATCGTTGCTTTATTATAAACGTCGTCACAATATTATAGGGAACCACAACAAACCATAAATTATAATAACGCGTTATTGTGTTTACTTATTTTATTATTATAATACCTAGTATATTATATTGTTGCGTATGACCACATCTATTCGAGACAACGCGACGACTGCGACGGTCCGCGTTCTCTCGGCGCGCAGTTTTGTATCGGCGCGACCATAATAATAATTAATCAAAACGACAAAAATAATATTATTGTGTTTTATTTTTTCGGGCGGCCGTGTGATAAGTCGAACACGAAAAACGTATCAACAGCAGCATACGGCAACCGTCGTTGCGTAATCTCGTGCTTTATTGTAAAAAAAAAAAAAAATGTGCGCTGCCGGTGGGTGATCCGTGTATGTATACCACCGTGCGCCGATATCGGCATTATTATAATAATAATAATATTATCTATAAAGCTTTGCCGGCGGCGTGTCGATTTCGCAACCGCATTTTTATAATAATAATATTTATGTCTGTAGGTACGCGATACAATTACGCATAATAATATTATATTATCGTATGGACTGTGAATTTGTAGTAAATACATGTTTTTTGTTTTAAACTTGCACACAGGTTACTTAGTCCTAATTACGAATCGCGTAACAATAAGCATATGCTCTCAGTCTTTAATAGCGTGCGGGTTCATTTTTCGGCATTTCAATTTGGTTGACAAAGAAAGAAAAAAATAAAAGGTTTTTAGTACACCAAAGTTCATAGTCCTGTGCGCATTTTCGTGGGTTGTAAAAATCATCACGCGATCGATCGACAAATCGTTCGACCGTTCGCCGCTGCCATTGCGCGAAGACTAATACTGTAAACATAAAAAAAAAATACGAGTGTGCGTACACGCTAGTGATGTGAACGCACTGTGCGCGTTAGCAATAAGGCCCGTGCGAGTTTTTTGAAATCTCCGAGAGAGACAGTCGCACGCGTGTTGACAACAATAACAATGTCCCATTGAATCATCACGTCACTGGGTTCGTGACCGCCAGAGGTCTTCTGTGCACGACCGAATAGGTACACAAGTACTTGCATATGGGTAGCGCGGGCGGTGCCAACGCGCACTTGACTTGTACACGATTTTGCGACGATTGGTACCACATCTCAGCTGGTTTTATATGCGACGTTTATATCATCTGCTCCAGTGTCGATACCATCACCGTCGTTGTCGTCGTCGGTTCGTTAATTCCAGGTTGATTTATTGCAGTTATTATTATTATTATTATTATTAATTTGCCCGCAATATTATGATATTTGCAAACGATGTGCAGATTTTGGAAGAAGAAAATACACCCGTGCACCCAAGCTTAAAGGGTGGATAGAGATTTCGCGAGAAAAAATGGATAGAAAATCAGTACGCCGAAGATAAATTTTTTTGAGTGTATGTTTGGAAGTAAAAGAAAAAAGAAATCTAGTAAAGATAACGAAAATAACTTCACAGGAATAGGTATAACTCATTGTCAACACAATATGTTTCTGCTTTTGTTTTTAAATTCATAAACAGTAATATTTTACACACCATATAGACCTCCAATGCTTCATTTAATTTCAAATAATGGAATGAAAAAGTTAAAATTTCACTTTTTTACTAACGTATTATAAAGTTTGAGATGGAAATGTTGAAAACAGAATTCAATGCGGCCTGTAGAAAGTATTCCTCTTCCCACCAAAAATAATTGAGTTGCACCTCTCCACGAGGCATAAGAGTGATCTTAATAGGCATATTTTGAGCCAAATAAACGCGCTGGTACATTACCCCTCAATGAGGATTTGTAGTGTAACCGGATCGGATACTAATTAAGAATTAATACTAGGGGTAGTCGGGTATAGCAGGAAAAATGAGAGCGTGTAAATTATTATGAAATGGACATGTTGTGAGATAACAGAAACGATGTGATTGACAAGAAGATAAGATTGTAAATGAAAACCGGGAAAGGAAAACGAGGGTGGCCAAAGATAAATTGGCTACAGGATATTATAGGGGAGATATGAGGTCATGACTGCACGAGTAGTAGATATGGCGAGTGAAACTAAGACCTACGTTAAAAAAAATCCAATCTAACCTATATATTCTGTGTGGATTGAAGTAACTTTGGTAAACACGAGTATGTAACGAGTATTTGACCGTTTCGTTTGAACCTTAGTTTTGCCTAATAATAATGTTCACAACTTACAATATTATTATACGCCATTGACAATGACATGACCGTTGTATTAATTATGCATCTAGTTTTGATTATAACTTAATTTAAACTCCGTTCGATAAAAAGTTCTATAATAATATAGTATATTAGTTTTAAATCGTTTTATATATACATGTAACAAACGGTGAATCAAAGGTATAGTACCAGTTTTTTTACGCAATAATCGATTTACCTAATGATGACATAATGATGTGCCAAAAATTAGGTTTTTTATTATTTTGACATTTTTTACGTTATTATAAAAATTGTATAATATTATAACACAGATAATTTGTATTATTATTACCAGCTATTTCTATTTTATTATACTTCAGGTTGTGTAATAATGTGCAGTCATTAAACTCAGTTTACCCGATAATGATATTTTCTCGTTCGAAATGTTATGACAACATACCTACTTTGTTCTATTATTGACAGAAATGCATGCATAAGGATTTAGATTCATATTAAGTATTTATTTCTTCTAAAACTTACTTTTTTTTTACATTTAACAAATAAAATAAATAGTACAAATAGTTACATAATACAAATATTGCATTTTTTTATTTTGTTTTTATTGTCTGTATATTATTAACTGTCAGGTTTTTATTTCGTTATCAGCTATACTGCAGATGGCCACGCTCCTCAAAGATTTATTAGTTTAAACTTCACCATTTTTATTAATCAATGATTTGCGAAACACTCTGTATACGATTCAAACAGACTAACATAAAGTCAAATTTAGACGTATAAATAAATGTACAGTGTTGAATAGCACTACTAATGTGTTATGGCACGCATATTATAACATCATCTACCTACTAAATATTGACAGTTATTGTTGAAGAATACCTAAATTAAAGCAAAAACTACCAATGAAAAATATTATAGGCTGCACTATAGTTACGCGTATATATACCGTATGTCCCAGAAGTCCCGTGCCACCCTGATTATCTTAGTTGAAAATCAATTTATTTAAATGCGGTTTTCTCAGCAGTAGTCTGTGAGACGATTTAAATTTAATGGTAGACCAAGTTAGAACAGAACAGATTAATTTTTTGATTTAATGAGAATAATAGTTTTTAGTTAACACAAAAAACGAGTCGCATTTGTTGAAATAAATGCCGATTGTAAATTGTAATGTGGTTTTTTTTTTTTTGACAATCCGCAAAAATAGATCTACTCATTATTGTAGCTTATGGTACTAAGGGTACAAATTAAAATAAATAATAATACGATTTAAAACTTAATCTGCTCTAACTCGGTCAATTTTCACTCTATTAAATTTGTTTTAAATCGTTAAAAAAAAAAAAATATCACCAAAAAAATGTCTATCTTAAAAACTTTCAAAACTAAATTTTATAAAAAATGGTTTTTTTTAAAAAAAAATTTGAATATACTATTAAATTGGAATTTTCCCATAGACTACTGTTGAAAAAATCGCATTTAGATGGATTGATTTTCAACGAAGATAATCAGGGCGGCACGGGACTTCTGGGACATACGGTACAATTTATAAATTATTTATACATGTATGTACATTATATTATGCACGCTAATAAACGTACAACTTATGTCTTCTATAACACAACTCCAGAAAGTCTACACTCGAATCCCTCTCCCTTTCATCGCCACCATCAGCACAGACCCATTGCACTAAAACTTATGAAAATAATTATTTGGTTGTTAAAATATTTTTTTTGTGTATTGAGATTGTATCACGGATTTGCCAATTTTTAGAACTTTAATAAGATAAATAGGTAAGAAAAATAGGCAATAATAATGTATCTGAGGTTTTAATTTATGTATTTTTGTAAGTATTAATTGTATTAGGTATGTTAAATATTTATGTCAATTCAGAAAGGTTAACAGCTAGTATCGCAAATAATTTGATTGTTGAATGTTTTTTTTTATATAAACATAAAATATTAGTTCTCCGAAAACAAATTGCTCATGTAATAATAATACAGTTGTTATGATTTTTCCTATTGTGGTCGATACTGTGTGCATATAGATATTATTATCATCATTTTTGCTACTACTTTGCATCGTGTAGTTTTGTTTTGTTTTCTGTTTCGCTGTCAACCACGGTAAATATTGCGGAGATCATGGGTCGTCAAATGTGGCACGTACCAATGCAGCGGCAGCGGTCAGTGAGTGTGTGGCTTAATTTTGACACAATTGTAACCTTTTTTTTGCCTCTCCGTGACCTAGAACCGAGAAAATCGTTTCGAAATCGTTTAAATAACTATGTATAATAATATAATACAATATATTATATTTATTTATTATTATTATTTTATTATCTTTGCTATAATATAGTCTATACTATACAACCCCATTTATTTTTAACCGTGTTTTGTTGTGGTCGTGCAAGTCGGGGTCGTGACAGTGAAAGTGTCCGTGACTGTATACTAGTACTATATTTATTATTGCTGTTGCACACGTACACACACACATATACACGTGTGAATCTTCCTCCTGCAGCCAAATTAAATTCACGGATTTACGTTCAAATTTTGTAGTTTTGTAGGGCACAGTGTCATTCGTTGAGTAATTAATTTTTTTACGTTATCCTCACACGACTATTAAAATTATGTGGTTGACGTGTTTGTAATATCATTCGAATAAAAATAAATTAAAAAACTATTGTCAATTATTAGCATTCAGAGTATTTCTTACTATGGGTTGTCCGACTCAGTGTACAAATGGGATAACCAGCCCAACCTACTGGTAACAATGGGTTTTATATAGTTTTGGTAATTTACAATAAAATAATATATAGTATTAGTTGAAAAAATAGATGTTATTACCTATTTTAGCTAATCGAGTATAATACTCAAGTTAAAATCAATTTGCTCGTTCATAACAAAATTCGTATTGATATACTTATATTACTAGTGATACTTATTTATTTACTTATCTGGTCTCACGACACTCTTGTCACTTCTCTCAAATACTATTTTTATTTTCATATTTACTATCAATAAATAACAAGACAGTTAATGTTTATACTCTTAACATTTTAATCTTCACAATAGTTTTAATGTTCATAAATTAAATTAAATATAAATGATACATGAATTATTATTGAAAATATTTTATATATCACAGCAGAAGTAGCTGGAAAATAATCAATAACACTGGAAACTTGTAACTCATCCAATTATTATTTTCAATACTAATAAGTAAAAGTGCTTCCAAAAATCTTGATTCATATTCATATTACTTATTAGCTTTGTGTTTTATTTTTACAAGCTGTTATTTGCTAAAAGTTCGTTTTCAATTAACCTCAGTTATTGACAAAGTAAGAAAATCTTGTATAAAGCACATAACACACTGTAAGTTAGCATACAATTTGCATGTTTAAATTATTCAAAAGTTTATAAACACATTTAAGCAATTTTTCTTATGTAAGTTATTTCTGCTGTTGCCTGAAATATGAAATAAACAACAATTCAGTTAAAATATTTTCAAATATATTTTTAAAAAATGGACTAGTTTAATTTTTTCTCACAAGAAATTATGCATGCAAATACTTACCCTTCTAATCGTCGTCAGTATTGGCGATATTCTCATCCGAATTTTGTTTTAAATATTTATGAGCTTAATAGGCATTTGTTGCTTTATGACTCGTTGTCCTTAAAAAGCAAGCGGTTCAGTAGGACTTTTTTCAAGATCCCACTGGACCAGACTGAGCTCAAATATAGTACTAATACATTACCGTTACTAATTGTATAATGTTTAGTTTTGAACTTGAAAATTTCAATTCGTCAAAATTAAACTTTAACAGATTTCCATTTGTATTTATTCGGGTTTGACTTGTGCAAGTTTAATGATACAACTTTTTTTTAAACTCGACAATTTCGTTGAATTTTTATCAGCACTTTTATGCCAGAATTAATTATTATTCGTTTTCAATCAACATACTTGTAAACGATTCGATTATTTTTTTGAATTGGAAATTTCATTATCGAAAAATCTCATTTTTGGAATTATGACAATATTGGGAATTAAACCGACGATGTATGTTTTAAATTAAACTTAATGTAGGTACTCCGATCGTATTAATTATAAGAATTATTTCCTTTTTTTTTACTTTTGAATTAGTTGTATTGAAATATTATTCCATTCGACAATATTTTCAATGAGTCATAAAACCACAGGTACCTTTATAGGTTTGTATACTTGAATTCTCTGTAAAGAATGAATCGTATACGTTACCCATGAGCAATGTATATAATATGTGTATAGGTATATTGACGATGGAATGTGATATTCTAACCACAAAATCTCTGCAGTAGTCAAATGATATCTTTTACGTTGAATTAATGAAGTTTAGATATATTATTGGTAACATCGAATGCTATTAAGTTAAGCAAAAAAAAAAAAAAAATATGCTATGATATTAATAACAATAAAATAAACTTGGAAAAAAATACTTTAGGCTTTATAGTAAATGTCTGTTGTTGGTACGCTTAGATATGTTATATTGTTATATGGTATTACAATCGTCTGTGCATCAATGCTGTTGATGCGAACATAGTAATTATAATTGTGTTGAATGATGTGACCAGACTAGGTATACGAGTCGTACAGTATGATATGCAGTGCAATTGTTTGCAAGTACATTGAACTTGACCCATACATCACACACGCATGAAAACTACACTTATATAAAATTATCTAATATGACATGGAGTTTATCCATTATTAACGTCTATACAGTAATGAAAAGATCTAGAACTTTTTTTTTTTAATATTATAATATATGATCCGGTAAAATTATAGCTCAATAAATTATACATTATACTCGTAGTATAGAGTTTTCGTATCGTTTTTAATCGTGTTTGATACATAATAACCTTGGAATTAAGTTAAGTACAATGCATAATGAAAATAACAGTTTCATGTATACGTATTGCTATTATAATATATACTAACGGACACAAATTTAACAGTAAATTACTTATTCGTGCTTATTTCTCGTAAGACTTGTTTTTCAGAGATTATGGGTCAACCTGTATTTTTTTTCTTTATAATTTGTTTATACTTAACGTGTATGAATACATACTATTTTAACATACATAATTAAATTCATCAACCAGAAATATTCTCGATTATACAGGTTTTCTAACTATGTTTTTTTTTTGTTTTTCTTCCAGGATTCCGGAGCCGGCAGTTCATTAGACGAAGATGAACCCGTCAAAACCAATCGCAGGTAAAACAAATATATAAATTAGAATGTTATTATATACTTAAATGTATATCTGATAAATCTGTACGCGAAAGGGATCAATGACCATATGTGTGTGCATACGTGTGTGAATATGTGCGTCCGAATGGAGTTTTGCCAAAACGGTTAGCTGACAAATGTCTGTAATAATGCGACCTACGGTTATAAAACTTCTATAGTGTGTGCGATAAGTATACGTATACGAGTAGTATTTTTGCTACCATTTCATCGATTTTCTTAACAACTCAAGGATACCGCCAGCCGGCCTACGCCTTGCACCAAAAATAAATCTAAGACTTTCACCCAAAACTGCTGTAACTGCGTCGTCGTTGTCGTCGTCTTTATTTTATAGCAAACAAATTTAGAACGGAACTAATCGCGCAACGGTCGTTTTCCTTACAATAGTATTTTTTTTTTCCATTATATGACCAAAAGGGCCTTGAGAAGTTATAATATGAAATATCTATTGTTCTGTTATAGATTTCCTTGTCATTACAAAGATATCACGACCGTAATGTAAATATAAGTAAAATATTAGTATGTATATTACTATCATAGTATTTCCCTATTATTTTTTTAGTAAAAAAAAATTGTAGATTTGTACTATAATATATTTTCGTTTACTTTAGATACTGAGCGAACTAACGAAGTAAGGGATATAATGGTTTTACCATGGCTTGTATTTTTTATGTTGCTTTTGTCTTTAAACAATTTTTCTTTAACAAATCGTGCTCTTCTCCAATCAAAAACTTTTTTGTAACATTTTTAATCTAGTTGGTGCATTGGGAATTATTTGTTTTTCATTTTTCTTGTTATTTTCTTAATAAAAATGAAAAACTGGACATTTTTTGTATAATGTTTGATGATTTCTGGCTTATCTTGGCTACAAGGAAAAAATACCACTGATAATACTTTGCTCTGAATCTTTTTCGTTAGAAGTGGTTTGGTTAGGTAAATTGGGTACAAATATAAATTAAATTATTCTATATATCCTTTTTTCTAACTTCTCTCCTAAAACAATGGCACACCCATTGACAGTATCAGTCTTTTTTTTATACGATTTTATATAACCAATAAAATACTATAACGCAATCGTATCGAATACTATTGCGTGTATTGTATCACATACCAACGTAATATTATAATATTTTGTCATCTTTTTAGTTTTAGTTCTAGCTTTTCGTGATGTCCACAAGGCATCGAATAAGGGGGAAAATTTGTATGCCATCTATAAAATTACCGAGGATAAAATTAACTATTTCACTTTCTCCTTCACCTAAAGGGTTTCACCTATGTAATGTGAATACTGAATAGAAATTATAATGTCACATAGTTAAATTGAGGATATACAATTATTATCGTTAACCTTGGCCGATAATCCGTAGGGTTGTAATATATTATAATGACACATTATAATTATTATCCAACACATTTTTTTGTACATACAAACCTATTTGATTTCCGTATTTGTCTGAGGATGTTCGTTTTTATATGTTTTTCGATATGTCTATTTTAAATTTGTTTTTATTTTTGGCATCGTGCCACCGCATATTGTGCCCCAATGTATTATATAGATGAATTATGTAAGAATATATTTTTTGTAGTGAACCGGTAGTTTTTTTCTGTGTGTGATTTTTTTTAAAACCAATTTGGAAGTAATTATTATGAGAACTACATTTCAATGATTACAGTACATTTTTTTTTTTTTTTTTGTAAACAAATTCTATACTAGAAATCTTGCTCCAATCAAAAACTTTATAAGGACTTTCTTGTGGCATTTATGAACTAGTTGGTACGTTGAGGAAGTCATTTTTTAATTTTCCTTGAAGTTTACTTAATTGATGGGAAAACTGGCAATTTTTTTTTCTAATTTTATATTTCTGGGTTACCTTCCAACAAGGGAAAAATATATCTAATTATTATTAGACATATTCTCATTATCTGTTCTGAATTGTTTTTAGTTAGAAATGCTTAGGTTAAATAGGTTAAGTATAGATGCAAATTAAATTATTCTATATATCCTTTCTTCCTACTTTCCTCCCAACAGTGACTCATCCATCAGCAGTATGTGCTTATTTTTATTTAATTTTAAAATTATTACTAAAATTGAACATAATAGTATCGTGTACTTTTATCGTATTTCTATGCCAAGGGTAATGTTATAATATTTTGTATTATTTTAATTTTCGTGATGTTCGTAGGGCATTCAATAGGAAATTAAAAAAAAAAAATTAGTATTTGTGTTTATTATTACTTGTCTATGTTGTATAGTTATCACGGATAAAATTAACTATTTAACTTTCTCAATAAAAACGGGTTTCACCCGTATAAATGTAATTACAAATTATGATTTATTAAAGGTAAATCGAAGATACACAATAGTTAGCCGGAAAATCCGTAGTGTTGTAATTTATAATGATAATATACTTATAATATTATCTAACATATTTTATTTACATACAATGTACCAATCAAAACGATTTAATTTTCGTATTTGCTCTATTTGATGTTTATTTTTTGTTTTTCGATCTTAGTCAGATTAGACTACTTTAAATTTGTTTTTTTTTTTTTGTTTTGTTTAACGTATTTTGTAATGCAATTATTTCAAATTGAAATACAACACTTGAAAAATTGCCCTATTGATATATTTATCCCTCAACTTGTTACAGTATATAACATACTTATTACAGTATATAGTATACTTGTTACATAATAATATTGAAATTATATCTTTGGCCCCGAGGAATAACAGTTTAAGTCAAAATTAAGTCAAAGTTTTTTTTGAAGTTTATAAATTACAAAGATATAGGAACAAATTTTGGAAATCATGAAAAATGTATAATACATAATAATGGAAGATTATGGAAAAGAAATTACGTAAAACGAAAATTGTATTTAAAAAAAATAAATCCTAAAAATTGACTTAAGCCCTTCTTTCATTTGGACTAAATATATATATATCTTATTTTCTCGTATATTTAATAATATTAGTTGACGGTCTTTTTTATCTACTTGGATATATTGAACTGGTTTTGATATCTTATTTCACATTTCAGTGTTCTTAGTTTATACATAAATATAAAGCCGTGATATAAACGGTATATCCTTATGCATTTGTTTTATGCTTTTTTATCTTGCGTTTTTCACTGTTGCTTTTTTCCGATTGCCATTATGAGTATTAATTATTATAGTAGCTGTATTTTCAATTTCTTTTTTCCGATAATCGATATATTTACAGTTTTAATCGTTATTATATTACCTATATTATAATACCTCTAAAACGATGACGCCAGTATCACTTGTAAACGGTTCGTTTGAAACGGCGTCCTTGGTCAGTCCAAGGTCTCGAAATATCGTTTAGGTCTAAGGAGCAATAATGAAGGCGACGGAACGGTGAGTAGTACTCGATCGGCGAGCTACCGAATCGAAAAATTCGCCATTGTGAAACTAAATATAATGTATATTTCGGTCAGAGTCTTTGGGAGTACATAATATTATTATTCGCAACATATTATTATACATAATATTCTTACACACGTGCACTATACAGCGTATATTACCCGCGAAAATTGACTCCTGTATCTACTCGTTATGTAATTTACCTAGTTGCATTTTGGTATAATATACATACATATATTATCTATATTATTTGTTATTACCCATTATTATTATTATAATTATTAATTACATGACCGTTTTCTTATCGATGAAAATTATTCTCTTAAGGGCATCCGGAGAAATCTGCGTACTATTATTTTTTTCTATTAATGCAATAAGTAATAACGTGTCACGATGACGATTTATTAAATAAATAATAACAAAATAACTAACCGCAGTATATTATTATTATTATTATTATTATTGCGCCATTTTTTTACCTGTCGTTCTGTTTATTTTATAATAATTATAAACTGTAGTTTCTGATCCATATTGAAGAAGAACGTATTTATTTGTATTATTATAGTATATTTTATTATATTGATAGATTTAGAACGAAGATGGGATTAAATAAATAGGCACAGTCAATTTATCTATATACGTTTTCGATTAGTATGAGAGTTTTTATTTTTTTATAAATTGATAATTATACAATAATTATTGACAATATTTATAATATTATTGTGATTATTTATCAAAAACAAAATAAATCCTATTAGTGCCTGGGTGTATTTAAAAATAATAAAATAATTGACTTGATTAATAATGTGTAATTTTAAATACAATTTGTTATATCTAACTGCAGATTATGCAACTCAATATTGTCGCAGTCGTATTTAAACTTTAAACGGTTGTATTGGTTTTTAATGTTATTATGATAATTTGTATTGCGTAGGTTTTCACCTTAGAACGATACATTCTATAGTTAAATGTTACCAACGTTTCGTGCGGTTATATAAATCACACTATCGATTAGTATTTGAATTTTTTTCCTACTTGACATTTTAGAGAACGGTATTATAATAAAGAAAATTATACATCTATATGTTATATTTTTTATTTTTAAGTATTTTAATAAAAATCGTAAAAATCACGTCATTAAAAAACATGCTTAAGGCTCATCTTAGGTTGTAGTTTTTTCGCTCAGAATTGTAAAAACTACATTATATTATGTATATTATCTTCCCAATTTTTCGCCTACAGCAGTGACACACCCATCAGTAGTATCAGCTTTTTTTTTTTTTTTTATTGATTTTTGGTTTCCCTTGGTTACATACGGGTAAAAAAGAATGAATTTCATGGTTGTCATTGCAAGTCACGTGAAGTGGCTTCGCTAGGGTTGTAGGGACGAGAAAATAAGTAAACTAAAATTTTTTTTTATCGATTTCTGTTTATTTTTTTGACGACATAACATAATTTGGCAAGGCAATGTCGTGTAATGACAGCTAGTATATTATAATAAAAATAATATCATCATTTTATATACAATTTTTTAAACAAATTTATTTACAATAAAAATAAAGGAGTAAATTTGGTAGTATAAAAACAATAATAAATTAATAAACCGGTCGTGGGAGGTCATCTGTTGATTGATAGAACCCATTAAGACAGAATTCATTTTTTGTTTAATTTTGTTTAATTACTATATTTGGATCATGTTTAGAGCAAAAATCTAATGCAGTAAATTTTGAATACTTACTAATGAATATATCTCTATTTTCAAATCTTAAATCGGCGTATGTCAAGGGAATGTTAAAATTTTTAAAGGAAAACTATGTGCTGTATAGTAAAATATAATCAATCGTATAAATAATATAAACGAGTTGAATATAACAATTAAAAAAAAATATTGTTTTTAGATGAGTTTATAATTTATTTTTTTTCGAAAAGAAATCAGGTTTTTAATAGAATCTCATTAAAAGGTTTGTTGGATTATATGTTATGCAACATTAAGTAAAAATCCAGTTTTATTTTTATCATGTTATTAATTTACAAGGTGTAAACTTAAAAATAAGAGCTGATAAAGCTGATGAGTGCACCACTGTTATAGGTGGGAAGTTGGGACGGTAAGATACTTAAAGTTATTTAATTTATGTCTGAAAGCAACGATAAACCGTTACTAAAGAAAAAGTATGAGTGTGAATTCACTTAAGTGAAGTTCGTTTATACATGATTTGAAAGGGTAAGCTAAATGAAATTGGCAATTTTAATCAAAATTTTACCTTAAAACCATTATAAAGAAAAAATGTCAAAACTTTTGTTTGTTCAAACAATTATATCCACATAGGTTCTACCAAATAAAAACAATGTAAAAAAACTAGTAAACATAAAATTTCGATTAATTACTCAAAAATCGTCAAAATGTTGAAAATTTTACCACGTTTAAAAAACGCAAATTTGAGTTTTCTGTCAAAATGTCAAGTTTTCACGAATATTTTTTAACTGACTTACAACAAGAAAACAAAATTTAAAATAACGGAACCATAATTTCTAAAATCTTTCCCGTTTTCTCTACGTGTTTTTCCAGTTTTACTAAATTTATAAAAAAAAAACTACACAGAACATCATAAAACGACTTTCTTAATCTTAATTAAAAATTCAACACAAAAGGTGTCTTGTGGTTTTTTGATTAAATCAAGATTTCTGATAGAAAACAATTCGTACAAATTTAAAATAATGAATTATTAATTAATAAATATTTATCCTTTTTAATTTCACATCTTTTTTGGGTTATCCCGATTATTATGAAAACTACTTGGAAAATTAAATAATGACTTAGTTGAAAAGTTGTCGAAATAACATCATAGTAAAACCAATAGATCCCTTGCTACGCTCTGAATCTAAAGTAATAGTAATTATTTATTAGAGTACTGAGTGATTATACTACAGGTATATGCATTACTTGTATAAGTTTACGAATTATCAAGTTTTATTGAATATTTTAATGTTTACAATAAATTGTAATGTGTTGGTTTCCGTTTTAATAATATATTGTAAAACAAAAAAAACCGATTAAATATTTTTCAAGATTTATTTTTTGTTCTTTTTAAGTCACATAGTTTTAAGTTTATAATCTACATACAGATATTTTGAATTAACCAAACCTTATTTCGAGATTGTAACAAAAAATGTCTATACTTGAAGTCTGTTTTAAACAATGTCGGTTAATATTCAAAATCTTTTCATAAATAAATATCACTTCTTCAAGTTGATAAAAAAAAAAATATATATAAAAAAAAGTACTAATTATTAAAATTCGAATTTGGTATCAGTATAAATTTAATATATACCAATTAATCTTAATAAATATGATTTTTAATTCAAAATGTGACCTACCCATCGTGACTTTTGCTCTTACCTTTGTTTATAGCAGATGTGGTTTTCCTAGTTTCCGTGGTTTCAACGGAATGGGGTTAGTTGGCCCCCAATATATCTAATAAGAAAACAAATTATTGAACATAACCTCAAATATTCCACCAAAATAATATTGGAAGCAATATTGGAATATTGCTTCTGCCACTTTCATTCATTCGTCCATGTTGGATTATAAACCCCGATTAGTTATGTAAAAATACGTCGGATAGGACATAGGTCACAGGGTAAAACTTATTTTGTTTTTTCCAAGGATTTTGTTATCTTACACTTCTGTTATCACGATGACAATTTATTGCCCAAGTCTTGGTATTAACTTCCTTGGATCAGTATCAGGTTTGGACAAGATTTTTATGTTTGGAAATTGGATTTCAATTTTCTAGCTATTATTTTTTTTTTCACCCGGAGTAGGAGAGTGTCTTCCTCTTTTCTTTTAATATTATATTATTCGACCCCATGGTACATAATTTCCATATTGTGTGTAGTCTAACTGGTCATAACTAAATAATAATATAAATATCACTTAAATTTGAATTTTACCTAAAGAAAACACAATGTATTACATTTTAGGTACCTACATTAATATTGTATGCACGTATTGTTTATATGTATATAAGAATTTTTTTACGAAACACAAATTATAATGAAGACAGCGAGTAATACTCGTGTCAGGAATATTAAATAAGAATTTCTACTGTCTATACATACTTAAAGGATTTCCGGACTTAATTTTTTTTTTGCGTACCAACGTTCGAATAGCGCATTTTATTCATGTGTAAATTTAATGCATTTTTTTTCGTATTTTGATTCCTTTACCTATTTATTATATAAAAAAAGAAGAACAATGACAAATTCGACCCAGTTTTGTTGTTCGGTTAGATTTCTGTCGTTTAGCTGCACGTCAGTGAGCCGCGGCCGATCAATCGGGTCAAACCGCTGTAATAGCTTTTCGGCTTATATATTGAGTAATTATTGTTCTCAACGCTACTAATTTTTACACAGCTCGGTTGCTGCTATTTTTACTCGAAATGTATTTTTACCGATATTCGCAGTGAGTAATATATACAGAAACAGTCACGGTGTATACATACGTCGCGCGTCGATTGCGGTGAATCCGATGGGATTTTTTTTACTTCTGTTGTAGGTATCCCATCGCCGCCGTAATGATTATTACTTTCTATCGGGAAAATATATCGAATTTCGTTTTTCTGCGGCCTAAACCCTATGCTATATTATAGCTGCAGGTAGCAATCGCTTAGCGGAAAATCATTTCGTTGTAGTAGTAGTAGTAGGCGTTCGTCGCCAACAGTTGGTATATAGGTACGACTTTCACGTTCCAGGGTTGATCAACAACAATAGCCGATGATAATTGGCAAATTTCACTGTGTATATTTGTATTCTCATTCATGTGACTGACTACTGGTTTCTATCAATAGGTATTTTACATTTTGCATTTCTCTGTATCTCTCTTTGTACTTATATCTATAAACGTTCTCTGTGCGCTATAACCGATTTCCACGGTTGCGCAATTAACGGCACCAAAATCGTATCATCGTTCAGCGATATAAGCCTTCATCCTCGTCCTATTCATTTCAATCCGACTACAGAGCGCGAGAAGTCGAATTTGTTTTGTCATTTATAATAATATTGTCAACTGCGAAAACACGTGTTTATTTTGTGCACGCTCGATATTTTTCTGCTGCGTGTTTATACGTACTATAGCCAAACAACATCGCATAAAAAACAAATTACCTTTAATTACAGTGTGTAGGCAGGTAAAGGGTAAGAGAATTTGTCTTTCTCCGTCTTAAATATTTTTGAAGCTAAACATTTCTAATTTTTATTAATAAAAAAATTAATATAAATGTGCTTTTGTATACATTTAAATAAATCGTTCTATATCGCAGCTATCGTATAATGGAAATAAGGTACTCGACTCTACGCCACTCGACCGGAATTTTTTTCTAATTTTTAATTTTCACGTATATATAATGACAATAATAATAATAATATAACAAATAGCTATATGGCCGTTTCCTGTACACGATGTTCGTCATTATTGCTACATCGGCGTCATCGTCAGTCAAATGAAACCAACACGCGGCTACTGTTATAGGTATAATAATACATCAACTGATAAAACGACGATGACATAATAATTCGTACAAAAAGATTCAAGTGGGTAAATTCGGTGTAATTAGGGAAAACTTCGCGGGTTGCGCAATATGACCTATTGTATGTCCGCGTCCGAAAACCACTGCGCATTGACGCCTGTGTGTGACAAAACAAATTTCTCTTTTCCATCAGAAAATACCTTATATTATTAATTTTATAATTTACCGAGTGTATACCTATTCTATGTATTTTTCGTATACGGTTCGTATTATGATGATAACCGTAATTATTATAATATTGCCGGAGTTCCTGTTTTGGATTATTATTAGTTTTTCTTATAGGCATTTTCTATATGCATGCGTATGTTCTATATTTTAGATGTCGTGACCACTTCAATCATCCATAGCCTTCACACACACCGTATTATACTTACTTTTAAAGGTTTTTTTTTTTTTTTTTTGCAATGATTTATCGTTGAATTTAATATTTACAATTTAGTCAATTATAAAAATATACCTTTATTAGTAATAACATTACATGTTTATATACGTATCGTAAAATAATATTTTTTATTCGATTTAATGCGTATAAAAGTTCGTGAATAATCCGATTATTATTATTATTATTATTTTTTTTTTGGTTATAATGCTTAACGAAATATCTTTTTGTGATATTTCGTTCGCTTCTAGTTTGTAAGTTTTTTTCTTATTAGTCACCGCATGATGTGTACAAGAGTAGCTAGCTCCTCCATTCATCGAATCTAATTCTTCAAAGAATAACGTCAATTACCGTCAGTTACGCGCGACAATGCCCCCCCTCTCCCCCGGGTTAATTATTATGATGTTCATTGTTTTTATTCCACAATCCAAGTACATTGACCCAAGTCACTATATTATATTGTATACTCGTATATTATCGCTGTATAGTCCGTTAGTTGAATATTCTGTTTTTAATGTCTTGATCATTTTAGTTCGTATAATACGTGATTTTGTATTCAGTCGTATATGTTAGACGATAGTATACCCTCCTGGTAACCCGTTAAATTAAGCACAATGTATAATATTATTATGATAACGAATTTATTTCGTGAAAAATAAATTTTCTATACTAGTTACCAAAATGTGTAACGTTTGGTGTTGCTTTTAGGTGTCTATACACGTTGGTTTTTTTTAAAAATTGCATGTATGTTCAACGTTTAATATATATACAAATTAAATTTTATTTTAATATATTAACGTCTTCGAACAGCCACCTGTAGGTAAATATTCGTTTAATGTTGTAACCACGTTCTTTAAATGTCGATGTTCGCAGTACAAAACAAATACTATAATCTTTATCGGCTCGTTAAAATCGTATAGGTAGGTAATATAATATTTTGTAATTCCGATAGTTATTAATTTCTTACTGATACGAATAAAACTAATTAATACGGGTAAAATATTTTCTATTAGATTCTAAGCGAGCTGATAATTATTAATAATTGCTGTTGATTAAACAATTTTATATTGTTTTTAGATCCTGAGCAATGCGGGGAATGTATTGGTTTTACAATGATGTTTTTTTTTTATATACTGTGTACAAAATTTCTACCAGAAATCTTATTCCAATTTTAAAATATAGCACTTTTTCTGAAAGAAAAGTGGTACTTTAGAAAGGTGATTTTCCAAGCAGTTTTCATAATAATTGGAGAAAAAACGAGAAAATTTACAAAATAATGCCTTTTTTATTATTTTCCTTTTTTTTATCTTTTTTATTATAATTCAATTAAAAATATTTGTAAGACTTCAAATTTGAACAGATAAACTAAAATTTGGTTTTTCTAGACGCGGTAAAATTTTTAAAACATTTGATTCATTATTGAGCTATTTATACACATAAAATTACTTTTTTTTACATAAATTTTATTCGGTAGGTACTCTGTAGATAAAATGTTTAAACCAAACAAAAATACTTGAAAATTTAACAGGAGGTTCATTTTAAGTAGTACTTAGTAGTCAATGAGAAAAATTTGAGTATTTTTTTTTTTACGAGAATTTTAATTTGAAATTTTGACGAAAATCATAAATATTACGACGTTTTAAAATATATTCAACCAAACTTCGCTCAGAATCATTTTTCGTTAGCAATGATTTATCGTTGCATACAGATATACATTAAATTCCCCTGTATATTCTATCTTCTCAATTTCTCACTTACAACAGTGGCCCACCTATTATGTGAATACTTTCCTCTTTTTTGATTTTAAAATGATTTGGAACAAGCACAACAAATTTAGTAAGTGTAATTCGTAGTATATTCTACATGCTTATTTTTAATTTTTATACAGATGGTTTTTTTTATGGTTATTTTTCGGTTATCATCGTTTATGACCAGATAGTTTTGAAAAAATAGTCGATCATTGGAATAAATTATGTAATTTACCTCTATACAAAAATTGATATAATCTTATCTTACTATTATGTAAATATTACATCTATTTGTTCGCAAAAATTTCAAAAACTACTGGACCGATTTTCAATTTGTTTTAGTTTTATAGCTTCCTTATATTGATTCGTCATGCACATTTTCATTTTTATATTTTTAAATATAAATACCTTCATATATACCTTCAAAAATATCTTCGGAAATTGTAAATGCGTTAAATCGTATTCACACTCTTGCGATCACTCAGCAATCTCGGGTTTGAATTATTTTGCATTTTTAAATTTTACTATTTATTTATGAGTATGTTTAATTTTTTTTTTTCCCGACACTTTCTTTACGTTACTGCGGTAGATATTATAGAATAATTTTTATCTATGTAATGCATATATTATATTATATCAATTTGAATCCTTCCTTAGAACATTGTGTTTTGATAATAATTGTATTATGTTAAAACTTTAATACATAATTACTGTAAATAAATATTAATTCATAATTACCTACTCATAATGTCTTCCTCATACAAGAAGGAATCGATTTCTGGATATCTACCATTTAAGACCAAGGAAGTTTTTATGATATTTTAATAGTTTGTAGTGCTTGAAAGTCAAGTTTTCATTAGATAAGTGGGCAATTGAACCTCCAATAAGTACTTTATAAACGAATTGTTCTCAGAATTATAGGTATATTTAGTTTGATGGCAATAGTAATATATAACACACTAAATCAAATATGTATAAAAATTAAATTCTGCATTCTAAAATCGTTTTTTTAACCATTTAATGATCTGTAGTTTTTTTTTTTAAAAATAACTGTTTTCAGTTCAATTAATAATTAGAAAAATTAGGAAGAAGTATAGTTTAAATATTCTTGATTATATTTTTTATTACAATTCTGTTAAAAATAACAGCAGAGATCTGAGAATTCTCGTGTATTATCCTTTTTTAAACGTGCTAAAATTGTCTATACATTTTTCGATTTTTATGCTATTTGCTCGTAAAATCATTGCATTTCAAAACATGTGTAACCGAACTTCGCTCAGAATCGTTTTTCAATGATTTATCGTTGTGTATATATTCATTTTAACTATCAATATTTGTACGTATTTGATCTCTACAATTGTGAGACTTAAATATAAGCAATCTGATGATTACAGTAAAACTATAATGTCCATGTTGTAGTTATTTGTTGAAGTTCTAGAAAACTATAAATCAGTTAGGTTAAATATATGAGTTGAAATCGGTATATTATATAGGTCTTTAATTTTAATCTTAATTTGATTAAAATGGTCATCCAAGTAGTTGAACCTAATTATTATACTTATTCAAATCGTTATATTGTATAATAATATCAGATGTTTATGTATAAAAACCTATAGTTATCTATAATCATAAACTAGTAAATAATTTTACGATTATTAATTTATGTTTTATATTTTACATCATTATCGGTACCTAATCAACTACCGGATTATATTTGGTGTTTAATGGTCTTGATTTGTATGTTATATTTGATTGTATAATCGGTTTTTTTTTATGTTAACATTATATTATTTCATCGGCTATACAATATTAAAAAAATATAAATAAAATGGTATAAAAAAATCTCAACAATTATTCTTTGTTCTTTTATTTTTCTTTTCGTATAAATTGTGTGCCTACATTATCATTTCTACCATTACAACTTTTCAAAGAATCGGGACTTATAGTTTACACTGCTTTTTCTTGCGATGTGTCTTGTACATTTTATTTTTTCAACAAGTCGGTTAGTAATGGCAGCCGGTTATTAACGACTGCTAATAATAATAATACCTATACATATTAGAAAATTTCGTTACAAACTCGTATCTATATATTTTACGTATAAGTGATGGCATTAATTCGACTACCTATACTTAGTTTTTAATTAAAATCGTATATACCCAAAGCACATAATATTATAATGTTAATTTCTATTTAAATAATATACTATACGACTGCAACTCGATTAGACAATTTCAAAATTGCACGCGAGAAAGCTGAATAGCCTCAGGATTAGATAAACAGCGTATACTAATACTTTACTGTAAGGTATAATAACATTTGACATCTCAAAACCTTTTGATTGCAATCTTTAGTGTACTTTATATATTTATATATGTAGTAAGTTGTATCTAAAACGTGTTTAGATGTTATCCTATTTACTACATTGTGTACTGTAAATGCGTAATATTATTACTGCAGTTGGTATAAAAATACATATTAAGTAAAAACTCTATATATACATATATGTTCTTAAATACTTTTTCCTGAAAATTGCCAACTGCGTGGTAACCCTATTCTCGTTATTTTTATATTCTATTATCACGTAATTTTTGTGTTTTGTATTTGATTTATAATAAAATTAATATAATACCTATTACTCTATACGAGTACGATACTAGAGAATCCGTAAAAACGTTCAATTCCGTGTATAGGTATACATTTTCACGTCGAATAAAATATAATAGAAAGCGCAAAAATTAGGATAATATATACCTCGTTTTTTTTTTTAACCATTACTAATTCGTTCGGTATCAATAATTGTTCTTAACCGCTTGAATAGTTTAGGGAAATGTATAAAAATATACTATTAAAAAAAAAACGTCTTCCTACTGATGCAGCGTAACAAGTAAACATAAAAATATGTTTTCATCACCCGATATCAAATTAAAATTTGTGTTATTAATGTACGATATGAAAAAGGTGAAATATTTCTTATGAGTTAAGACACAATATTATATTAATATTAAATTAATTACAAATTACTAGTCGTGTTTTTATTTTAAAAATAATCTTAAATTTCTTAATTAATTGTTGAAGTTTGTTAGGTATTAAAAATAAATATTTTATCAATTTAGTTTTTTAGTTCGGACATTTTATTTTCTTCAAAGAATAACCAGAAATACAGTTCTTCATAAAAAAAAATTTAGTTTATTATATCACCGCATAATCGAATACATTTTCCGTTACTTATATTGACGACTGCGCTTAAAATATTTTAATTTGATTATGATATTACGAATAAACTATTTGTTTCTAGGCTTTGCTTGTAAACGTATAAAATACTTAATAATAGGAAAATCTATTTATAAATCAATAAAATATTTCAATCGTACCTATAGTTAAATTATCATATAGTAATGAATTAAGTTTTGTGATCAAATTTAAAGACTTTGGCCATGATCCAGACGTTTCTATATTCCAAAAACTATTAATTACAGTTTATTTACGACGAATTTTTTGAATCTAAAAAAATATACTCGTATTTTTTGCGCCAAATTTACGTACATAACAGTTTCTGCTTTCGTTGTAGTTGTATTTTTAGTCTCATTTCGTTATTAAATTTGACTGGACGTTGAATGTCACTTAAAATTATAGTTTTATAACTACAGATTTTAGAAATTAAATAACAGATCCATATAATACAAATCGGTATTTTTAAGGTTTTGAAATTATTTACCCATTGTACGTTTTTGGTTTGGTTTGTTTTTTTTTTTTTTTTTTTTTAAAAATTGCTCTGTCAACTTATTTTGTAGTTTAATGCGAACAAATGTACCTATATCTACTCAATAAAATAAATATAGCCGAACAGTTGTTTTTAATTTTTTAAATAAATCATTAAAGTCAAAATTATTTGAACACGTGTGTAAACGGTTCCTCATGACCCTTATATATAATATAAAAGCTGACTAGACATTCAATTTTTCATATTTGATTTTGAAGTAGATAAGTTGTGTAAAATAATAATGTATAAACGATTATTTGCGTTTATTTTATGTTTTATCTTATATTGTATACCACTTACAATTATAACTATCGTATACGGTTCTATAGAGCTTTTTAACCTTAACCTATAAAATATTAATGCCAAAACCTTGTTTATAATGCATTTGGTGAATTAAAATTGACGTTATACTATATTATACTTACCTTAGGCGTCTTGAGCATTTTTTGTCGTCTCGGATATAGTTGGGTCAACTCCAAAAAAATATAAATTAGCCACAAACGACTGTTTATTTTTGTTAAATACGATGATACGTACTAATTAAAAACTTTTTCTTTAATTATATTATGTATTTAGTGGGGTAGTTGGAAATATTAGTTTAAAATTAAGGCGTGTCAATAATGCATATTAAACCATGATATACTATAATATACCACTAGGTACTTCACCAGGTCCGTGTTTTGATAACCGAATTTGAGGTTATGTTGTAATAATTGATCATACCTTATAATCATATAACTATTTTATTACTTATATTGTTATGTCGGAGGAGCAAAACGAAGAAAAAAAATATTCGTCCAGAATATTATACATATAGCAGTCCTTCAGAATTTGATTATAATTTTTCTCCACCATTGCGCACCGCAGCGGTGGCGATACACAGGGCGATTATATCCCACTATAATAACGGATGCCTCCATGGCATCATATCCAAACTAGAATATTATGAAATTTACCACTCTTCCCTTATATCTACTCCAGTCGATGTTTCAAACTGTCAAAATCATCAACGGTTTTACACGTACAGGAAAATATTTTTAGAAAAATATTTCCTTTCAAATCGCATATGTTTACTCGAATAATAATTATCGTATCGATTCATGATACAACAAACACTCTGTATGTCTATAATAATAATACATTAACGTCGTATCGACTGTACAACCGGTTTTATATATTGGGTACCTTATTTCACTCGGGTGGAAACTAGTTGTGTGTGCTGCCGGGTTAGTCCTTGCCAATGGTTTTTTTATTTTTTTGCAAATATGTGCCGTAGCAACAATATTCTTACACTAATGATAACATATTATTATATATTGCATGCTATACTTGTAGAATTGGCCCGTTTTTCACAAAAATCCGTTACTTATTACGTTGCCCATATATAATATAGTTTACTGAAATATATACCTCTATATAATATGCAGTGTTCGCGTACGAGTATTTGTACACTAACTATATAGATGTAGGTATACATAAAATACGCGAATAATAATGAAAAAAAAAAAATCTTCAAGGGAATATATAGGTACCAATGGACGTGTCTATCAAAGCATTTCAAGCACAGCATATTATACATCCGTTCCGTATAGGCGGAGTTTATTGTCGTGTGTATAAATCGTATGGCTAGGTATATGAGTGCCACCTGCTGTGTCCGGTGCTGTGATGTGTATATAAATGGTCCACACACAACAGGAAATACTCGAATGCTGTGCACTGCCGCCGCTCCGGTCTTTTATGAATATAAAAATATATATATATTACAAATAAAAAAAAAGAAATAGAAAAGGGGGTTGATGTAGTGTCGTATCATATACCTATATAGAGGAGGAGATCGGTTTCGTGGGAGCCGATGAGTAGGTACTTTTATTATATGAAATAACCCGTTTGGTTTTTATTTCGTCAAGAAAAATCGCCATTAAACTGCAGTGATATCTGCCTGATAGTTGCACTTTATAAAACAAATATATACCATCATGTGTTTGCTAAAATCTCGTTTTTGCTTGTTTGTTTTCCTGTTTGCGAATTTTCTCCGAAAATAGAGACTGTTGTGTTGTGTTATGTTTATCTTTTTCCCGCTACTTTTGGACTTGGTTTGTAACTCCCTCTGGTTTATAAATAAGCGTAAACTTGGAAATTAGAGTTGTTTTATTGGTGAATTGAAGTGATAAAAGTTGGGTTGTTTAATATTAATTTTACTTGCATGTTGTTGCGGGAGAAGAGTGTCACTTTTAATGCCCCTACAGTCCCCTCTAAATGATGTTTCAACTTTTAATACCCACCCTTAAATTTTTTATAATAGTACCTATTAGAGTTTTAGTATATTATAAATTATAATATTATTATAGCTTTCGGTTACTTATAGTTTTACAAAAAATATTTTTAAAATTCAAAATAGGAGGAGGGAAATTTGACTGTAGTGCGGAGTTCTGTTGCTCACGAGTGATGCTTTTTCCCATGATTTATTGTTTTGTAAAATCGTTTATTTTATTAAAACTAAGGAGTACTTACGATCCTACGATTTGTTTACAATAGGTATACTTATATAACACTATAAAAATGTTATTATCACGCGTAGTATCATCGCTGCAGAAATATAAGAAAACGAACGAACTAAAATTATACGTACCTGATTTTTTCATTATTATTTTTTAAAAATCAATTCAATAACTAATATTATTGTAATACATATAATAATATTATACCTTTATTTGTTTTTTAGTAGTAATTTGTTATTAATCCGTTATATTATAAAAAAAGTTTTTTTATTTTTTTATTAACACCGTAAACAATGAACAATATTGAAAATTGTGTACAGAAAAATAATAATTTTAGAGGAGTAATAAAAAAAAATATATTTAGTAGGTACCGTATATATTTCTCTGTATTTATATATATATATATATTTTTTTTTTAATATAGTATGCAAAAATTAATAATATATATTCGTTATTTACAGTTATGTATATAAGATGCGTTTCGGTTTTCTGTTAGAATATTTAAAAAAAAGTATACGCTGCTGTATAATAACCTATATAATATAATAATATTTTAAATCAAAACTATATTACATATTATAAAAAGTCGGACCTAATATTTCGTACCATTTCGTATGCCATTGTTGTAGGTAGGATGTTTGGAAGATATAATATATTATAGGACGATTTGGTTTATAATATACTATACTAAAAGCAATGATAAATCATTACAATCAAAAACCGATTTTGAACGAAGATCATTAAACTGGTATGATTTTATAGTATTAGTAGCGTTTTTCCCCCTATTACCTTCTGGTAATCCAGAAATTAATAAAAATATAAGCGACGTATTGTCGTTAATTATTGTTGTTTTTTTAAATTTTATACATAAAACTATGGCAATTTATAGTATTTTTTGTTTTTTTTGTTTAAATAAAGTACCTCCGGATAGAAATTCTGCATTTTTTTAAAAAATAATTAAGAGCATTTTTACTGATAAAGAAAAGTAGTTTCCGTGAAAAAAAAACTCAAAGAATGGGATCTAGGGAGTTGATTGTCGAGTGTTTTGAAACGATGTTTTCAAGTAAAGTATCACTAAGAGAAAATCTTACATCTTTCAATTTATACTGCGTGAAAAAATCTAAAAGAAAAAAAATGTAATTTTTTTTTATGAAAAATCTTTTGTTAATTAAACCGCATCAATGATCGATGATGTTTAAAATAAAAAATATCCACTTACAGTTATACTTTGCACATTGTGTAACGCTGTTAGAGTAATTATATATAATATATAATATATTACATTAATTATGTTCGAATGTCACAATCGCCATCGTATATCATTATATTTTTCGTGCGATTTGTATAACTAATAATTATATATATATTATATTAAATATTCTGTATTTACTGTAATGAAATATATAACGTAACATGCGTACATTACACTGCGCGTGTAATGATGATAATAGTAATATACGAGTATAATTCTGCAGTTTTGATTGCTTGTCAGGATAATATCTGTGGAATACATATTATATATTTTTTTTTTTCTGTTGCGTCGAAAATTATTATTGTACCACGATTACGAAATTTTTACCTACGTATCGGCAGTTTTGTAAATTATATCCGAGTAAAAGTACTCAATGTAGTGTTCTAAATTCTAATTGTTTTTCATCATTGAATACACCATAATAATTATAACACTTTTTTGAGATTATATAAGCGAAGCTAAGAATATATTGATATTACTATGACGTGATTGTTTCGTTTCTGTCTGTAAACGATTTTTCTGCCAGAAATCATACGCCGATTTTCAAGCATAGTATCTTTTCTGAAAGAAAATTGTGTGTAAATTTGAACGGTACTGAGAGTGAAAATTAATCCATTTTTTACGAGTTTTTTTTTATTTATTTGGAATATAATAATTGGATTCGGTGAATGATAATGGTATACCGAAGAGACAAAAGAAGAATAGTCTAGTGAAAATGCATATATAAGTTGGATATATTTGTATATAGAGAAGAAAAATGTATAAGAACTTAAAAAATCTAATCATTTTCTAAAAAGTTAAAATGTGTAACTATTTCTTGTCTTCTTGCCTCCCGAACCTTTTATTTCGTTTTTAATTTTCTATGGAAATTAAAATGTAGGTAATAGATGTTATACTGATGTATTGGCATTTGATGTATAATATTTAAAATATTTCTTCAAAACTATTACTCGTACTCGCATAGTACACCTCGCGCAGTACGTATACAGTAAGATAGGCGTGCGTCTTATAATAATTTACTGAATTTGTCACGAAAGCAATCGATTCGCGAATGTAAAAAATATAGTATGTACTTTTTTTTATATCAATAAACTCGGTCGTATGTGTTTGTCGCGGAGATAATATTGTGTGTCCCGCGCCAGTAATATACGCATGTAACATGATATAGGAACTGCACGCATGGCCTGACGATCAACATATAATAATAATAATAATAATAATAATAATAATCTATGCCTGTGTGCGGATCGAATTTCTTCTTCTCTAGATACCTATATATATTAAGACATAGGTGTATTATGATGACGATCGCTGTTCGTGATTTAAAACTCGGCACCTTCTTCTTATGTATAGGTTGCATCCGACCGCATTATTATCATTATGCGTTTGTTATAATATCATGTACTGTACCATCATTTCTTCATATCAATCATGCACGCACGCACACCATACACACCCCTCGGACTAAAAAAAAAAAAATATAAAAAAACATACACACGATGTACTGCTGCTGAGTGTATATTATTATCATTATGGTTATCTAACGGCATGATGGCATTACGTTATAATAATATTATTATTACGTGTACCTATGTCCCACATAATGATACAATTATTGACGATTATCTCACACAAAGGGATCGAATGAAAACTCTGTTCAGAAGGATATAGAACCGGTCTAATAATAATACAAATTATAATATGATTATACCTATCTGCATAATGAAAGTAGAAGAAATTTAAATTTTATGATAAAATAGTCAATCAAATATATGTGAGATAGAACAGCGATGTTGTGATGGAATCCGTGGGACATATAAAAAGACTATAGTCGCCCGGTCGAAAATTGTAGGTGTGTACCTCCTTAAGCGTATATTGTTTCCTATTTTATCCTATACACCGTAGTCTTATATCCATCACCATTTACCCTCGTTTACTTTACACGGCCTCAAATCTTCCATGTATACATGGAAGATGTAAATGGTGATGGATAAAGGGCTATGGTGTGAAGAGTAAAGTAGAAATAAATATACCCTTAAGGAGATTACACAATTAGCATTTTTGACTTGGCGTCCGCCATGTCTCCTTTTGTATGCCATATATAAAATAGCTATGTTTGTATAACATGCTTACATACTATGGCGTTATTAGACGCGTTCGAACGATAAAATTTAAACACCCATATTACTATGTTTACATTCACACGAAGCTCGTCGGCCAATATTGAATATACACTTCTCTCTTTCTCAAATTGCAAGAAAAATATACTTGTGATGAAATATCATAACATTTCAATATTTTAAAAACCGAGTAGTTCTCAACAACTGACAAATTTGTCTAATCCGTATTTCAATTGAATTAATATTTTACATAATTTTCGATACAAAAACGTTTATTCTCGCTGTTTCTGGCTATTAACTAGATAAAATTTCCTTCCAGAAAAGGTTGAAAATCAGCAAGATTTCTGGTAGAAATTTTGTACACATGCACTTTAAAATAATATAAATAAAAAAAAAAAAAGTTGTCCTAGGATAGTGGGGACGGGTGCAGCCACTGTTGTAAATGGGAAGTTGGGAAGGTAAAATACAGAAGGAAGTTTAATTTATGTCTGTAAGCAACGATAAACCATTGCTAACTAAAAACGATTCTGAGCGGAGTTATGTTGATAGTAAAGCTTTGTCAATAATATATACGTCATATTATGGTAAAATAAATAAATAGATTATATATTTTCTTTAATAATATTTTTTTAATATTGTACCGATTTTCCCGTTTTTCCACGTTTTTCCCGGTTTTTTTGATAACTTCTAAGAAAATTGAAAAATGGGTTCCCTTTAGTACTTTCCCTGTCAGATTTCATTTTATAAAAGTGCTATCATTGTAAATTAGAGCAAAATTGCTGGTAGAATAGTTGTCCACGTAAAAAAAATTAACATCTTTGTAAAACTAATACATTCCTTGCTTCGCTCAGAATCTAAAATAGTTTCGGTTATGTTAGTTGAGTAACGAATTGTCACATATAGGTATGAGCATGGGCAATATCGTAATAGTATTTGTTTTCCTGCGCGATATGTGTTTGTGATGTTTCCCACGCGTACCCGACGGTTACGCTTCTAGTGTGTACGGAAATAAAAATAGCATTTTTGATACCATCGACGCACGTCTTATCCCTTAACCACTGCGCCGAAAACGTTCGGTGTCATATAATATTATTAAAACGTAAATTTTTGTACTTTTTTTTTTCAGACTTAGCGAATGCTATTTCGCCAATAAAGGTTCGGCGACGGTGCTGTGTTCGCCCAAGTCGCACCACCAACAGGAGCAGCAGCAACAGCCGCAATTGCGACGTAAAAGGCAACACCACCATCATTCACCGCATCCGCACAGGCATCAATCGTTGTCCGCCCCGGCGTCCAGTTGCAGGCTGTCAGCGGGCGAAGACGAAATGCAGACCCGCGCCAACGACATACAGGCACACCTGCAATCCATGTTCCACATACTCAGGCCCGACGATAGCTTGAACATGGTACGTTAAAATTAAATAATATCGAAAATATAGTAATTAACCTGTAAACGTCTTATGTATAAAATTGGAGGTCTGTCTGGATTGTCGCTGCCCAAAATTTCAACTCGTATCGTGATCATTACTGGCATATAATAATCATAATAATACACGAGTACGTTAGGTTAGACAACGTATATTCAGAAAACATAAAATCGTATGTAAAATATATAGGTATATACTTACTATTAATCCTTTTACCTATCACGATTTTCCATACAGTCGCGTACAACCTTCACAAGGTGACGATCGTGGCTTATTTTCTTAAACGTGCGGCACAATGACTGCAATTTTAAATGGTCGTTCTACGTCGTATTATATTATCGTTTGTATTGTGGTCCACGAAGTTTGAATTATAAGTACCTTATACTTTATAATAGTTTCACGCTTGTGTCGAGAAAAGTATGTATTATGCTACACTTTCCTTGTTAATTGACACGTGTCATCATCGTAATTTGTCTACTGATATAAAATTACAATGTAGTAGGTTTTAGTATTTTATTAGGTAAAATTTTTTTAACTCGTTTAAAACCGACCGTTTTATAAAATATACCCACCCGTTTTCTGTTTTGTTCTCGAAGGGGGGAGGGTTATTCTCAATTAATCAATCTAAAACGTTTATCAATTGAAAATAATGAACACAAATCAATCGAAAGTCGTGCGAAATCAGGGGTGGGCTAACACCAAATTCAGACAATTTGTTTTAAAACTATAAAATTGACCCTGACATTGAGATAAAATTTTTGTTTAAAGAATTTTACTTCAAAATAATGTTATTGATATTGTACATAGGTATGATTATTGTATTAGACTGCGTTAAAGCAGTATTATTAGGTATAATACTGCTTTAACACAGTTTTTTTCCCCTAATTAAAAACAGTGGCCCCAATATAGAAGGGCCAAAGTCAGGCATTCTAGTCATTCCGTCCCTGTTTGGGAAATCAATCGAAAATAAATGTATATCAAATTTCGATTTATTTGAGAACATAGGCCCGCCATAAATAGTTTTATACAAACTATCTCGGTCCTATGTATTTTAATCAAGAACAAAAAACTATTATTATTTCAATGACAGATTACAAAATCATAAAACTATACTCGTTTTATTGCATCGTCTAAGTCCGATATACAAGTACCAGTATTATTATAGTAATGACTAGATTTGTACTATTATTTTTTTTTTCAGAAATATTGTGCACACAATTTTTAGTGTATTAAATAATTTTCATATAGTTACTCGATATTTATAAACCATCATAGGAAAGTTTTTAAAAATATTTGTTCAATTTTATTAGATTTTCCGACGACCCAAAAGGTTAAATTTAGATGGTCTTTAGAAATTTTATAACACGCGGTGCCCCATCACATTAACTGGTGAGAATGAATGTTTTATGGCGTAAATACCTCAAAAATAAACCAAAATTGAAAGGGACGTGTGAGAATATCATATTGTCGGATTACCAAGATTATATTGTACGAGTATATAGATAGTAATTTGAATACTTAAAAATATTAAATACAATCTTCGCAGTAAAACTTAATACTTCGTAAACATTTTTATTTTAAATGACTTTTTGTCTATAGGTATAAAGAAGTCGTAAAAATAATTTATTTAAATTAAATAGCTATATATAAAATAAATACTCGCATAGTAAATGAAAATAAAATGTATAGCGCCGTTTAAAAAGTAACTCCTAACAGCGGACGAGGGTCACACGTTTCGCTAGAACAACACGAAGAACAAGTTATCAATCACATTATATCATTTTTAAACTTTTTTTTGTGTCAAACCTTGAATTTGTATAGCATTTTTACCAGTACTCATATTTTATATTTTAACTTTTTAATCGATATTATAAATGCTGACATATTATTATTTTACTGATGTCCTTGTATAATATTTCTCGAAATTCGATGTATCTAATATTATTATGCTCGAAAACGTGTTAGCTACAATACAAGGAGTATAACGTCGATTATCTACTATAATATGTACCTATATAATATTATATTAATGTACAAATTATAGCCAATTGTCGATCATAAAACTCGTGTATAACCAACAATGAATTACATTTTGCTGGAAGCAAACACAGCGGTGGCGGTGACCGTTGGGGTCAAAATAGAGTATTATATTATTATCAAAACTGTACACAAGGTCGTTTGACTAACACTAACTAGACCGTCCTGGATAATAATTTGGTCAATTTCTATTTTTGCACGCGTATTTTTGCGCCCTGTAGGCCAAGGTGTTTTAAGTGCTTTTCACATAAACATATACATGTTATATTATTATTATTATTATTATAACGATAATAATCGCAGTTGTTTTTGAAGGTCAAAATAAGATAAAAAATAGAAACGGATCGATCGGAAACAATGACCGGGTGTTAATATACATTATACGAGTTAATATCACAACAACGGCTAGTCGTTAAAGCATGGAATTCACAAATCGATTTTTTTTTTTTTATATAGACTTATTGGAAACTATTAATAGATACTAAGTATTTAGGTACCTAATTTATGGTTGATAACAATCCCATTATTTTTTCCTTCTACTAGAATACTTTTAAGTTATAATACAATATCTATAAGAGTGTTTGCCTCTCCAGTTTACAACTCTCGAACTTTTTATCGTTTAAATCGTTTTTCCACTCCGTCAGTACGTCATTATCCGTTGGGTCCTCCTCGAGGTATTCTTCCTTGGGGTTTTATTTCCGTTGTTACCGGTTAAATTCTCTCCTCGTTAAAGAATGTCGTCCTTCAACAAAAACATTACCTGTAGCCTATATAAATTTAAAAATAGTTTGAATATTCTCTATGGGTTTTTTCCCTACTAAATCTGATTGACGATCATCTGATCATCGCTTAGTATTATACCTAGGTATTGTATTTTACGTAACGCCCACTCGTCGGATATAATATTATTATTATTATACATACGCCCGATGACACAAAGCTCTCTGATGTTCGCTGTTAATTGTTGCAAACAATACCGATATAATGTTATATACTGAACACGATACGAAACACCCGGAGGGTGTGCCCACACACGGATTTCTCGTGCTGGGACACAAGCGATACTCAAACAGATATTATGTATATTATTATTATAGACGAGTTGACACATTATATAAAATAAAACCAACAACAATTATTGCTGCTGAGTTCACTTTCACAGACGCGAACCAAGGCCAAGGTTGCAGTTTGGAAAACACACTAAATTTGCACTACCTATATTTGTACATTATTTTTATGGCTTACGAGTCGAGAAATCTCGATGGCGGTTAATCAATATAAGTGAGGATTTTTTTCTATCTGTAATTTGTATACGAGCAGTTTTTACTATTTTGACGTATATACGAATTAAACACAATTTTATTATTTTTTTCCGTTGTATAAAACAAGTAATTATTTAATTTACTCCGAAATACCAATTATTTCGAACGAAATTATTCTATTATCATCTTTATTGACTTTTTTGCGTTTGATTTTTTTTTTTTACAATAGAAAACCTTAATAAAACGTACAAGATACTCGCTATCGCGTTTCCCCTTTTCCCGTATAGGAAAACGACGACAAAACACGGTAGCCTGCCTTATTTTATTTATAATTTAATCTGAAATCTCTCTATAAAAATAAATAAATATATATCCAATGCATACAAACTGAGCTAATACTTTAAATTCTATATTTTCAAGATGTTATTATGTTATACTTTCACTATATAGTATATAGTATATAAATTATAATTATTATAATTATTATTTTATTCCAAAAAACCGGGGTTAACTGTTTCAATATTATGTTGTAAGTCCCTCGGGGTTTTCGTTATTATAATATAATATAGAGAAAGGGGTATAATATTCTAAACACTATAAAACAGTTTCTTGAGAAATATTTATCGATATTCTGAAATATCGAATGTATACCGTATATGAGTGTTTTAGTGAAATTATAAACTCCCGTCCATAGATGAAAATATAATAGCCGTGACTTATTGAATATCAATGTTATGCAAATAATACTATTTTGATAACAAACTCGCGTACATCGTGTCAATGACACGAAAATAATTGTTTTGTAAACACGGTACACACATACAATATATGCTAGGAGTCTATAGTTAATATAATTTTTTTAGATAATGAACGTAGTGAAAAATGTGTGTATTATGATGTATAATTTTTTTTTACCGTCCGTGTACAATTTTTCTACCATAAATCTCGCTTCAAATCAAAAATGACAAGAAAGAATTTTGTTACATTTTGGATCTAAGTAGTGCATTGAGGAGGTTATTTTTGATTTTTGTTTTATGTTTTTAATAATTGGGAAAAAAAACCGGAAAAAAATTTATGAAAATTTAAACGGTTTCATTATTTTTGGTTTTTGAATTTTTATGAAAACTTGGTTAGAGATCTGAAATTTTCACAGACTACTTGTTCAAGCCTTTTATCAACGTGGTTTTTAAAAAAATTCTGATGACTTTTGAATTATTTATAGGTATTTTAAATTGGCAATCACGGAGTTCTATGTAAGGCGACGTGGTCGCGGTGATGGTTAGATTAGTTTATAAGGTTGTGTGTACGGGTACATTGATGGTAGTAGTATAGAGAGAATAATTTGGTCTGTGCTGCTGTTTTACTAATTCACGAATTTACGATTTATAAATTAATTGATATGACGTATTTTTTCGTAATTTTTTTAAAGAATTGCTTAACCGAGCTCCGCTCAGAATCGGGTTATCGTTAGCAATGATTGCATACAAACATAAATTAAATAACTGTATCTTACCTTCTCAACTTCTCACCTACAACAGTGGCACATCCATCAATATTATCAACTCTTTTTTTTTTGTTTATATTTTTTTCTTTTTAATTGTATTTATAAACCTAACCTATAATATTACATTTTAATAAAAATCCAATGCCATCATTTATGAAAATATTATTTTACTAATGAAGATTTTTGTATGCATTTTTTTAATGGTTGGTCAAAAAAAGTAGCTGGTTATTAACGAAATGTGTTTCAATTTTAACGATTCTGTGTACAAAAATTATTTAGTTTGTCTATTTTAGAGATTTTGAATTTTAAGACATATTTTAGGGATTTGTACATCATTAGAGCATATTTAAGGTTTTCTTACAATTTTAAGATTTTTTCTATGTGATTTTTGTCATTGTTTTTAAAAATAAAAACATATTTCGGTCTTTGTTGTACATATAAATATATTATGTAAACTAGTTTTAATTAACTGATTTTTAAATGATAAATATATTAGTTAATAATTAATTCATATAACGCAATTTAATATTACATTATTATAAACGAACAGATTTTTTTATTACGATAACTAACCAATTAATACTTTCAGTGATAATTATATATGAGTATGAATTATAACAATATTGTATTTTAATCTATGTTTGTGCGAGTTCATATCTAAATTACACGATTTTTACATTACGGAATATCGGAAAAATAATAAACAAAACAAATACAGCAGAGTTTATTCTGTGATATAATTATTAAATCAAAACTCGATTTAAAGTTATTATTTAAGCAAATATAATTAGCGTATAATAATTTTTCTCGAGATTATTTTTTTCTTGTGTCACGAGTACCGTTTACAAAGACAATTTAAATCGGTTTTATAATAATATATGCTGCCCAAGTATTTATGTAATTTTATTAATGTGCATGTTGATCCGAAGGGAAAATTAAAAGACTTAAGTGACGGCCGATTTCGCTCGGTCGATAATAATACGATAATGGCGTCTCGTTTTCACCTCTTGACGACTATAGCCTCCAGGGGTACTGGGACATATTATTATTTATCGGTTACTATTCGTCACTTTGCATCCGGTGTATATACCGATACTATTACACTCGTTTATTTTTTTTTTTTTTGATATAACATAATATAATTTATCGATTTATACACATACCTACATAATATTATATTTTATCTATTGTATTGTAATCGAAAAAAGTGTAAGATTATATTATGCATTTATGCGTGATGTAAATTCGATAAATTTGACTTAACATCATCATGCCATTGATCAAAATATGTACTTCCTTGAACAGCGATTTGACAAGATATTTTCACGACATTAAATGAAATATGATCGTATTATGTATGTATATTTTTATTTTGGACCAAAGAAGAGGCCAACTGACTTAACAAAATTCCGCCTCTACATTTGTCTGTTCCTAAACCAATTCTTGATTTTCGTAATAATATGCATGTCATTTGAACTTTTTCTACGTGTATCGATTTGGCCGACTGTGGTATTAATAAAAATAAAGTCTATTTAGTTGTTTTCATTTGTTGTGCATTGTAATTATGTAAACCATTCAGACAAATTCTGGTGTATAAACGAACATAATTATATACATGTATATATATTATAAATTTTTATAAATTACGCTGAAATATGTTTTTAAAGTCGTTTTAAATATTATTTACCACTTTGGTAGGAATATTAATCTTCAACAATACGTACTCTCGCTTCGAATTTAATAACGTTAATTTGAAACTTTTGCTGTACAATTTTAAACTCTAAGTGGAGCGAAGAAGCTTATGGTTTTTTAAAGATGTTTATTTTTTTATTTATTTATTTTTCATTATTAAACTGCAGTGATCGCCATACAATGTTTGTGTGTCGATCATTACTCGCGTACGATTTAATACAAATAATTATAAGACCAACTCCAATGCCTTTTATTATGTTTTTACAGGCAGTTAAGCTGGAAAGCGTGCATTCGGGCCGTACCAGATATTTAGTTGTAGTTTCTTGTTTAAATGGAAATAACCAAGAAGAATCGTGTCTTTTGGGTCTCGATTGTAACCAGAGGACTACTATTGGCTTGGTGCTTAGACTTTTAGCAGATACCACTATTACGTTGGACGGAGATGGGTAATAGCATAATTCTATTATTATAATCATAAATATATACCTAAACCGTGTGCATATTATTTTTAATTCTAATTTTTATTACTAATCAATAATTTTTTGTTTTTATATTTTTTTTTAATATTTTCATAATTCATGTTTCATTCATCTAACATAATTCAAGGAGTTTTGATATAATAAAAATGTATTTTTAACTATATATAAAAAAAATAATAATAATAATAATTTACATATTATTTTTCGTTTTTCAGCGGATTCAGTGTTAGCGTATGCAGTCGACATCACATTTTTAAACCTGTCTCGGTACAAGCCATGTGGTGAGTAAATTGGTTTTTATTAAAATTTTACAACCGACCTTTAAGAACGTGGTACCCGCATGTGCTGTTTTCATCTTATAAACATACGGCATAGCAAAGAAACGATCAGTGGAGACAATAATTTTAATATTAAAGTATATCTATTATCAATAACCTAAAAATGAAAACATTATCTATGCAATAACGTCGGTTTTTCAGCGTTTTAATTTTTAATTGATATATATAGTATATAGGTATGTGAAATATCACAATTTGAAAACATCTATGTCTCGTTTAAAAATTTAAAAGCCGAAAAAAATTTAGTTGCTTAGATAGTGTTTTTATCCTTAAGTTTGATAATAATATATCAAATTCACCCTAATATCATAACTAATAGCATAGAGTTGTCCCTTCTGAATGCTTATTTGCTTCTAATTTGTATCGACAAATGTTGTGCCTATAGAATAATAAATAATAATCGAACAATTTTTCCCGATATTTCAAGAGGAAGAAAATTGTTTACACGGACATTTAATTATTACATAGTACTCGTATATAGTATTATGATCTTTCTACCGTATAGTCAATCGTTTCACAAGTAGTAACGCAGTAGACCGATAACAGTAATATAAGTAACGCCTGTTGCGTTATTCACAACGATTTTCTTACAGCATTATAGGTATTTTTTTTTCTTTTTCATCTACTCAGTTTTATATGCTTAAAAATTCTAATTTTCGACGTATTTTTTATACCAACTGAACCCTAAAATGTTTCGGTCTACGTATCGCTTTGCGAGGCGATAGCCATGCAGTGCCGTGACACGGTTCCCAAATGCAGAATGATGGTTATGTAATTCGATCGTGAGACCAGTTTTTATTATTTTGCAATTGTTATTTTGGTAGCTAAATGTAGTATGGTAAAAATAGCTTCGGCATACATGTTTTAATTTGTAGCAAAACAGCATGAAACAAAAAAAAAAAAAGTAGTCTAACATAATTGTAGGTACCTAAAAACAAATGTTTTATTTGAAGAACTTATAAATGTCTGCGCAATATTCACTGTGAATTTAGATTATTGATTATGTATAGGGAGACAAATTGAGCAATACATATTAATTCGTTGAAAAAAAAAAAAAAAAACGAGGATACATTATGTTAAATTTGTATGTAACTTATTAATATTTACGCTTGAAAAACGAATTCGAAATTAATTGTATTCATAAACATATTATTCTAATTATGGAAAATTAATTTACATATAGACGCTATCTAATATAATATAATATTTTGATGTATTGCCAAATATCGTGTATAGAATCGGCGGGTTTTTAATATAATCGCTAAAACGCGTTTCTGGAAAAAATATTATATAATTTCAGTATGAATTCGTATAATGTATTTATTATTTGTACATTCTTAAATTCAATTCGTTAAATACTTTGAAATTAACCTTCAGAGTAGCATAACACGATTTTTCAGCGCATCTCTTGGCCACATACGGATTCTTCCCGTTCTTCGTTTCCACTAAACAACGTTATAGTTTTATAATTTATAAATTCTCGATTACGCGCCCTTTTCTGAGACGCGCTCTTGACCCGGGACAGTCTTACCCGCAAGCCCCAGCCACGGTAGCTCTGTTAACCTTGTACCCATAGGTAATATTGTATTCGTACAATATAATGTTGTGCGGCAATATTTGAAATGCGTTTTTTTTCTTCTGTTTATAGTACAAATAAATACATATAAAACGAGTCAAGTTCAACCGAATTTCATGTACAATTTGTCTAAGTCTATTATTACACGACTCGACATTTCAATATTGCCGTATACCAAAAGTGTTTATGTAGTTAACTTTGACGAAATAATTGTATTAAGGTTTTTCGAGGGTAAACAGATAATTATTATTCAATGTCCTCTTAATATACTGTCGAACTTATTCGTTCGATCACTAAAATATTATACTCTAATTTTTATTAAACGTTTCATCATTGTTAAAAAAAATACTTATTAGATATCGATGGTTGGCGGTTCGAAAAATATAATACGTGTTTGATTTAATATAATATTATACAAATACGAGTAACATGTCAACCGATTAGAATAATTTTCTCACGTGCGTTTATCACTTTTTATTATTTGTTATTTTCATCGCGTCGTAGTGCAATTACTCAAATCCACTCAACGCTATTAAACACTAGATACTCATAAACCTATCTTTTTTTTTCTCTCGAGCCATCATTATCATCATCATCATCATCGCATCTGAACTCTTAAGTAGATGAAATAATAATATTAATACACCTACATAAAAAAATAATGAAGTATCTATTGCTGCAACGTCACAGACTAATAGTAACGATAGTCATACATTACATTACATTTTGTTACGTCAATAAATGAATCTGTCCATGCAGCGTTACTGCTCACAATTATAATCGTAATAATATAATATTATTACTTATATTATATTCTTACCTACCCAAGAACCGCAAATATAACAGTATTATTTGATAATTGTGATAATGAAAATGCTGCGCGGAAAAAGTTTTAAAATAATAACAATAATATTATTATCCCGATGTTTAAAATACTGTTACGCAATGGCGTTTGTCATCTCTGTCTAACGATTTAACGGGACAATATATTTTATGTAGATAGCAAAAATGCGTTCGCGTAAAACAAACAAAAAGTCCTTTAAAATTGGTTTTAGAATTGATAAAACGCACATTATGAAATCATAGTTGCAGACGACTATATTTTGAAGACAATCTCCCGTCCGTGGCATCGATTTACAATATGCTCCAAATATTCAGCTCATTGTTATCGAAAGTATACAAAGTCGTATATTTTACATTTTTTTTTTTTTTTTTACATTTTTTTTTATGTGTAATTAATATTTCAAAAAACGATATTGTCTTTAAAATGTTGACAAATTTCAAAATAGGTTTTTGTTATCCCTAAAACCGATTTTAAAAGGCTTATGGTTTGTTTTACGTGAACAAATTTTCGTGTTTTTGCCGGTTATTGAAATATAAAACCGGGAAAAATGCCTTGGCCTCTTAATAGTTTATTATTTTCTTGAATTTAATGATACAGGTATGTAGATACAGCCATGTAAGTATTAAGTATAATATCGTGCCATTGTGATGTTATAAACATTTTTTCCCGTATATTACTTTTACACGACTTATTATTTTTTGCTGCAGTATTATAAACTAGTAAAAACTCAAGATCATAATAATACCGTAGTGTTTCTATACATTTTTTTTTTATAATATAATTTAACACGGTGAAAATAATTGTTTTTTATTATTGTCCGTATTTTAAATTATATTGCGAACCAAAGCCTGCGTCAAAAAAATGTTTAGAACTTCACATCCTGTGAAATTTTTCCTTATAATGGACGAAAATTTCCGATCACTTCGTTCGCTGTAATTAAACGTATACCACGCTTAATATTTAAACGTAACCTAAACCTATTGATACTTATTTTCACCATCAAACATAGGTTATAAAATATAACTGCTACAACCGTAATATACCTACATATTTGGAAAACCAAATGACAATAATTGACGTTCGATTTAAGGGCGTTTGGCCGTGTTCATGATCTTGAATAAATTTATTCCGTCCACATTATTACGTTCGATAAAGACATTTTTTTTTTTTAAATATACAAAGATAATAATGATATTATCAGTTTATATCTTTTAAAAATAATAAATATTGTGTTGCAATTCACAATTTTGTGATACCATGACATCTCTTGTAGTTTTTAAAGAAATGTTATCTATCGAGATAGATAGTATATTTTTGTCTATTTCGCTGATGTTACCATTGTTACCAAACCATACGTCTTCTCAGTTTACGGCCTTTAACATCAAACTGACAAACACATGCTATGCTATTTTACCCTATCTTCCGCTTGGACTCGCCAATCAGCATCCGGTTCAACCAACTCCACATTTTTCGACAACTGGCCCTTTCACCTCAGCCTTGGTCTACCAAGTAGTCTTACGCCTTCTGAAGAGCCACATAGTACCTTATGTATAAGGACTCATCCTTTCGCCACGCGTGACCAGCCCAAAAGATTCACCTCTTTCTTATATCGTCGACTGTGTTTGGTTTCTGATATAGTTCCCTAATCTCCACACTATGTCTGACTCTCCACTCTCCTGTATTTCTATCTATGCAAGAGCCAAAAATCTACCTCAGAATTTTTATATTAATGTGTATAACATGTTGTTTGCCTAAATTATTTCTACAGAAAATAAATAAAAACGGTTTATACCATTAACAAAATAAATGGTTCTTATCAGTATCAATATTTGTATTTACACGTTTGTAAGCCCCACCTTGTTATTTTTAAAATTTTTCTTCTGTCTGGTATTATTTCAACGTTTTTATTGATATCATTAATATCATATACTGAAACCTACTCGTTTTTACCCAGGGCACCGAAGTCTGAATTAAATGTGTTCATTTTTCCAACGAACGTAAACGTGAACGCGTTCTTTTTAAATATTATGAACGTTAATACGAACGTGTTTGTTTTATTGAATAAAATTAATGTGATCGTGAACATTTTAAACATTGGATTAATTGGTAATATTTTTTAATAACTGCATGTTTGCATATTAATATATTAAAAAGTTATAATACTGAATATTTTGTATAACTTATAGAAACTGCACGTTTTGTGTGCAGCACGTTAGCATTACTGGTGTAATGTATACATTGTTTTATTTTCTTGAAACCAAATATTGTTTTGTATTATAGTTTTGTTATATATTAATTAGAAAAACTAATACAAAAGTCTAGTGGTGATTATTATTTGTTTTGTGTCAACATATTATAATTCTTCTAAAATTCCAATATCGATAAATGCATGATTTTATACTTGATATTATCGCCATCTAAGCTTTCCGGTTTGCTGTATGATATCATATTGAAATAATATTATCGCGGAGTCTCATACACATATTTCAGATTTGTTAATATAGTTTTTAATACGTATTATGTATGGTTAATACGCACTAATACTGTACGTTATAGTCAATGAATTGATTCTATCGTGCATAGCTTAAAATAATAAAAAAATAGTGTCGCGCTGTTGTGTTGCCCTTATATATTGAGTATAGCATGTAAAATTTTGTTTCCGACTATTGTGTTTACAGTGTCGTACACTTATACAATAATGTTTTATATTATTATGAAATAAATCATTGGCCGTTCCATGCACGTTTTGAATAATCGTCAAGCGTATTTATCGAACACGATATCCTACACAGTTCAATCGTGTATTAATCGGATACGATATACTACACAGTTCAATCGTAAATATTTTCGTAATTACATATATCTTTTTTTTTCTTTTTTTAATGATTTTTTTCTGGGTATATAATTATTGACCATAAGTGAAAATTCAGCTCCCATCCCGAAAAATTTAACAGTTTTACTTAAAACCATAATTTAAATTTGTTTCCCCCTCCCTCTCTCCGACATTCCGGTACGAAAACGATGTACCTATATATAAATATCGAATTATTTTATGGAAATCATTATATTAATATATAGTAACCACTGTAAGTTATGCTCAAATAGTATAAATATTAAATATGATTCACTTGTTACGATCTCGTATTACTTATTCGGTCTCCTTGCGTTTAAATATTAGTTTTGTCATAATAATAATTCGTTACACAATCGCTTATTTTTTTTAATCTATATTATATGCACCAGTGTAATACATTTGGACTTGCAGTGGTTTGTGTACGATTTATAGTAAAGAATTTTCAAAACACGATATTTTCATTATTATGAAACTTATAATAATAATAGGTAGGTACGTCATGTGTATTATAAATAAGTATCGATTCACGGAATCGTGTTTTACCTATACTCAAGTTTAACGAACTTTTCTGGTTGGACGATAACTTTACACGGGTATTCACTTCCTCTTATTGTTATTACTAGGGTATGAATTTAAATGCTCTTAAAAAAAGGGAAAAATGCCTTAAAAAATGCTCTAAAAATTATTTTAAACGCTGAAAAAACGTTTTTATTAGGTATATAAATTTATTAAACACAACAGTGCAAATAGTGCAATACGACTACATTACAACTCGGTAAATATATACCTGATACATTTTAAAAATAGAAGAATGCATTTTTTTCTTTTAGGAGGAAAGTAATATAAATTTTATCAAATTCTCTAATAACACTATGCAGTTCGTAAAAAGAAGAAAAAAATGCAAAATTAAAGTTTCATATTTTAATTCTTTGATATATAAAACGAATCTTGTGCTTAGAAAGCATTGCTTAAGGCCATTTAGAAAAAAATACAATTTGCATTATAGTCCGCACCCTAGTGTTATTACTTATATTTTTTCGATATTTTAAATCCGTATGCAATATTTGTCTTCCCGTCTCAGTTTCCCTATAATATAAACCTCCACATCTCTTCTATATATGCAACTCTTAACATTTTTGGTGTGGCTTATTATTCTTCTTTTCCCGACGATATATCATAGCTTTATCTCATCATTTATCCTTTTCTCAAGTTCAACTTGCGCCCATATGTCAGCATTTCAATCGTTTCTCTCGCGTCTTTTCTAGTTACTCCTAGAATATCTTATATGCAGATTTATTCATTCTTACTCCGTTCCTGCAACTGGTCGCATCCACACATCCATCTTAAAACATACTCATTTTGATTGTTTTAAATATACCTAAAATTCAAACGCCTCGAGATATTGATTTGGTTAGAAAAAAAAAAAAACAATTTTAAACTGCATCGTATCCATTCAACGTTTTCGCGACGAAGAATAAATAATTTAACCTAGGTACTACGGAGAACCGACATGGCTGCAGCAGTGGTCGTTATACCTTATATGGCACGGTACATACGTGATTTCATCTCTTCGATAATATATAATGATAATAATAATAGTTGTAGTAGTAGTATTATAGTTGTATAGTAATAGTTATAATAACCGCATCAGTAATAACGACCAAAGTGTTAGTACGACGACGGCTGCGGCGGTTTGGGGTATCTGAATTTAATCCATTTATGGACGTCAAATACCGTCTTTATTGCCAGCAGTGTGAATATCGCAGGCACGTCCTTCGACTGTCTTGATTGACAAGTGTTGATTATATATTTATTTATATATATATATATATATATATATATTTTAGATTACTCGTTAGTGGGTATTAATTAGATTTATATTATCTTTTAAAATATTTATTTTATTAATAGTTTTTAAATAGTCATATAATGAATTACAGATAATCAACTGTTTATAATTTTGAAAAAATAAAAAACATTATTTTTGTTGAGAAATTCTTCAATAAATAAATAACCTGCAGATGACAGAGTACGCGTATTAATTAAAACGGAAATTATCCATGACTAGAAAACGTTGGAACGCTTTCATCATTGTATACATTCATTGATAACCATAGTTATTAGCATATTTATTATTCGTCGTGGGATGTGTCACGAGTTCTGATCTCGGGGGTTTTTTTTTTTTTCAATTTTATACCCGTGTAACTTACGTGTCATGAAATAGTGTGAATCCAACCAATAATACGACTCCGGTCGACATTATATTGCCTATATATTTGGTCCTAGGAAAGAAAACTATAATTGACTCGAGTCAAATTTTGATATTATTTTTATAATATATTTTGGTCTAAATGAGATAGGTTTATGTATATTTTAACATATGTTATACTGAAAATTAAAATATCTATTTTAAATTACTATAATGGACTTTTTTTGTTTGGTTAAACAAGGCATTGGTCTTATTCGTTATATTATATAAATTTACTATTCAAAACCTATTTTTACCTAATGCCATTATGCCATTTAGCAATTCTCAAAATTTAATTTACTTGTATTGAAAACCATATAACACTAACTTAAGCCTTCTTCTTCCCTGAGATCAAAGATATTGGTTTCTAATAAAACGATGCGATGAATACAAAGGTCATAATATATTTTTTTCGAAATCGAATTTTGCCCGCTTTTTACAGTCGCTTCGCTTATAGTATGTAAAAACGATGACGTTGTTTCGGCGCACGATATTTTCCATTTCTTCTAGTCCTGTCCTCGATTAAACGATTTTCGATCAGCTGGAATGTCGTCGTCGTGACCACTGAAGATATGATGCGCGCGCTCGTGACCGATCGTCCCCCGCGTTGCACATTATATTATATTATAAGTACTACCCACACGTGCATTATGTTCTTATAGCTAAGTATTTATCCGCTTATACATTTACCGCTGTACCGTATGAATTGTTATGTATGTTATTATCATTATTATAATATATGGTGCGAGGCCAGCGATAATGGACGAGGCCCCGAGTATTGGACATTCTGGGTACAAAAGAAATAAGGTAAAATAATGGAAGTAACAGAAATGAGAACGCGTTAAGATGGATAGTGTAGTAACCTGTTGGTTTGATAGGATTAGGAACGGTGGTTAAAATAGGATAAACTTCGAAGGAGACTATACTACTCATTACTAGTGGTCGGAGTTATATTCTCTTAAAATCCTTAAAATATGATGTTTTTATGTTGTTTAAAATATGCTATATATTCTCTTAAAATATCAAATATATGATGTTTTATGTCCTTAAAATGGCAAAATATTCTTTTAATATTCTGAAAAAAAAAAAAAATTAATTTGAATTTTCAGCTTAAATTAAATTGTATTATTAATTTGGTTTTCAACATTTTTAATTTATTTTATTTATTTCTGATGTGCTAGCACCATCGATTAGAAATATCTATTGATTAATTTTTATTAGAAACCCAGAAGGATATAAACATAGTTCGCTTATAAAATAAATTGTATTTGTCGATCAATATTATCAAAACGCCGATATACGTCCATACAAATAATAGGATCAAAACTAAAAATATTTATAAAATATTCTCAAAATCTCAAATATTCCCTAACGTATTAAATATTCTCTAAACCCTAAAATATGCTTTTTTATGCAAAATAAATATTTTCCTCGGAATTCTATTCTATTCAATATATTTCATGAATCGTAACGATATCTTACTCCCATTTAACTGCATACACTAGAAACAAATAAATAAAATCATAAATATCCGACCTCTTCTCATTACTTATGTTTACCAAAAACAGATGAGGGACGTTCCCGAGAACTAAACCTAATTTTTCTAATTTCCATTGTTCTTCCATACACATTTGTTCATAAAAATATTGTGTTGATATATTTTTAAAAAACTGCACCCCGTCCCCCAAATATTATCTTTCGCATATATGATGCCCCTGTTCAATACAAATAAAACACAAGTATGATTATGTAGTGTCCAATCGCAGGTATTCAGTGGCAATAATTATAAAGAGTTTCCGCGTACTTCGAAGACTCAAACTAAAGTGAACGGATAATTTTACATTAAATAAAAATGGGGACTCCGTCCTTACCACTTTGGCCGTTGCAGATTAGGAGTCAACGGCTAGTCGGGAAATAGTGTAGTGTATGTATGGATCGAGATGATGGTACGGGCACGTTTAGAGGAGATATAGCCACGTAAGTGTGATAGGTGTGATACGCCGCGCCGGGGAAAAGGTCAGCCTGCAAGAAAAATAGGCTAGAGGTTATAGTATGTATTGTGTAGGTACGGACGGCGCGACGGCGGAGATAAGAGTTTAGCTGACCCGACTGCTCGCGTGGTTTAAAGGCGAAGGAGAAGAAGATTATTGTTACGAAATTCGTTCGAGCCCGTCTATATTATATACGTACATTGTGTACACCCGACGTGGTAGACTCGCGTCAGGAGAGGTTAATCTCGTGTGTTATTACCGGCTGGCGTATCTGCGTGTATGTGTGAATGTGTGCCGGCGATTATCGTGACTGCGGCCGCGGCACAGTTTTGCCTCGTTCATAACAACGGACGTTTATTGTATATTAAAGAAAACGATAATATTATTTGACGCCGCCGCTAAATATTCGGAACGACGAGATTTTCAAACGCCGCCGCCGCCGCCGCCTCCGAGCCGTTTTCGATTCTCGCCAATGTAGCACACCGCGAACCAGTTGTTTGCGTGCTCTTTAACCGTCATCATTTTGTCGTGTGATCCGAAATCAGTTGCGCGACGTTTCACCGACGATTTTCGAAATTTTCGAAAAATATTGTATTTTTGCGTTCGTGATAAAATCGACCTATTTGTATAGGTTTTGGCGACGTAATTTCGAGAAACCTACATGTTACTAATTTAGCGAATAAACTAATTTGACGATATCGTTTACTGCGATCGTTTGATAGCTGAATACACTTTTCGATACCCATGAGGTTTGATAGAAATCAGCTATAATAATTAAGAACTACATTTACTTTTCGGTTGATCTTCGGTTTTCGGTTACTGGTTATCCGTCGGCTATCGGTAAAATACTGTATACGGCAAACTAGTCGTTTTCTCAAACCTTTTACCGAAAATCGCATAGCCGAAACACGCCTTAAATTAATATATATATATATAAATAGATGATGTTAAACGCGTATGAAATCCTCTGTCTTCGATTTTACCGTGTCAGTGTTCTAATTCTGTGCCATTACTATTTGTTTACTTCTGCTTTTCGTTTTTGAGAAAATTTCACGGTAACACGCATTTTAAACAATACATAATATACTTGCTACAAAAGCTTTTGGAAATAATCGTCACTATATTTTTGGTTTCAAGTCAATATTTGGTTTTTTGTTTGTATTTAATTTTGTATCGTGTAATTTGTTTTCCTTTATTTTTCAGTCTAAACGACACAAGTGCATGTATATTCTAACCTATGTTTTACTGAAAGTTGAAATATCACCGTGTTAATATACACGTTTTGTTTGGCGAAATGGTATAAGTCATTATATGTCTATTAAGCCATTTAGAACGTCATATTTAGGTTAGACCGTTTAGCATTAATATAATATTAAATTATGGCGTTAAGCAATTTTCAAAATTTAATCCGCTTGTATTGAAAACTATACAAAATTGACTTTGGCTTCTTTTTGCCTGGGACCAAAGATACAACCGTCAGACAAATGACCACTGCCCGCGCACCGCAGTCGCCGTTTTCAACTGCTGGCACCGCGCGGGAGGAGGCGTTCGTCGTTCGTAATATTTATCGCGTCGACTTGTGACGGTCGCTCCCGGTCGAAACGACCGCTGGCCAAAAGCCGAATCGAACGGTTCGTCAAACCCCCGTGACATATCGTGCAATTATATTGTTATTGTGTCGTCCGCGACCCCGCCGCCGCTGTATCGAGAACGCGTTAAAATTAGCCGTGATGTACGCGGACGCGAATAAAAATACGAACAGGTGGCGGTTTGTACTTAAATGGGCCTTTGGCACTGATCGCGCGTACACTTTGAAAAGGTCAATTTGATCGCGGCGTGCGCGCAGCAGTTTGCTCTTGGTAATCCGACCGCGTCAGACTGCCGTAGGTATAACGACCGGCGAGGCCGGCCTATCCGACTAATCACGCGTTATCATAACATTATTATCATTTTTTTTTTTCGTAATAATATCGCAGTCGTCTGATGCGTAATTGTAATATTGTACCTCGAATACTCGTCAACAAAAACACGATACTATCGAGGTCACAGTTTTGAAATAAAATAAACCGTATACTTTATTTTTACAAAAATACTTAAAACGTTTAAGTACATAATATAGCCTATACAGGACACAGGTACTTGATTAACGATATGCGAAAAAAAAAACTCGATATTTTATTATTACTTATATTATTGGTATATGAATCATAATATATTGTATTATTGTAATTCAAGTATTATTGTAATAATGAATGATATCATTCACAATGATATCTATTCGCGTAATCTTTACGTCTTTATACCTTATTATTATTATTTTTTTTTTTTTTACATTATACTCTTCATAGTATAATATAATTAGTGTCATTTTCTTACACAACAGTATTATTCTGTTGAATATAATTACGTACAAATTCGTTTATCTATCCGATTCACAGACGATTGTGATTATTAGACTGCATAGGCGTCACACCATAAAAAAAAAAAAAAAAATTGCTAAAAATACCATAAAACACGTTAATGAAAAAATAAATAGGGAAAAATTCCTGAAAAATTTAACGTCGAGTGTATCACTGTTATGGGTGTAAAGTAGGAATCATGCATAAAGTTGTTTAATTTATATATCTGTAAGTAAATATAAACCATTGCTAACAAAAAACGATTCTGAGCAAAATTATACATCTTTTTAAATCCCGTAGTTTTTACGATTTCCATAAAAATTTGATCTTAAAATGCTAATAAGAAGAAAAACTAGTAAATTACGACTACACTTTTCGACCACTATAGTGGTAACTATTAGTTGTACTCGTATTTAGTAAGTACAATTAATAATGAACCTTGTGTTAAATTTTCAAGAATTTTTGTCACAATTTTGTTAATGTATTATAATAAATAATTCTGTAAACTTTCGGGTATATCTTACGTTTTTTTCTGATTTCGTCCAAATATTGTGATAACTAATTGGAAAATCAAACCTCTACTTTCTTACTCACCTGCTAGATCCAAATAATGAATCAAAAAATAAATTTTTGATTGGACCATGATTTTTGGTATTTCCTGACTAAAAACACACTTCATAGTAAAACGAATACATTCCTCGTTGCGCTCAGAATCAAAAACAAAATTAAAGTTACAAAACGAAGTACACATTATTCGAACTATGTACTAAGATGCAAGCTTTGCCATTAACACATAATCATTTATTCTATACTCAAAGCCCTAATATTATGGTGCATAAATTTAAATATTATTTTCATATTTGCAGTATATTTTGAAAAGAAATACATACCCACGGTTTTTATATTGTCAACGTCCTTATATAGTATGCTCATTTCCTTTTTTATGTCTTTACTATTATAATTTCCTTTCATTCGTTCGCTCCCGTATATATTTTATATTTTTTTACCATATCTGTTATACAGTTATATAATATTCGTATCCGTGTCTTTCGAAATGTGTGTACAATATTTTAAAAACGAAAACCGCCGAGTTCTGAGATTTGAAAAATAAACATGATTTTTGAATATTTGCCAAAGTTATGAAGTCCCTTGTGCGATTAAACACGCTACGTATACAGTTCTTGAATTGAAACAAATAAACACAAATATTTGTATATAATATTATATTATATTCGTGTTCGATATCGTGTAGAATCTAAAAAAAAAACCCCTTTTTTTTAATCGAAACTCGGCCATTAAAGTACGATTAAGTTGGCGCCTGTCGTTTCGTGGGGTGTCTACCAACACTCCCCTTCAATATGAGACCACCCTATGCTATATACATTAGCTTCAACCCTTCTTGGTTTAATAATTTACGCGTGTAGAGAGAGGGGGGGTATTTTTATGAGTACGTTGACTTTTCCGTCGTAAAAAACCTAAAATACCAACCAAGCGCTGCAATTGCCATGCAGCAATATAGACGCAATTTGTCACATAGAGTAGGGCTGCTCTCTCGGTAATAATCAACGACCGTCGCCGACGACAATAATTTGTTATTAGCGTCGTCGTCTTCGAATATACGTATACTTATATTATCTTATGTAAGTATTTCCAATTTCCCAGACACAATGAGACGACGATATAGTCGTATGTATACGTGCGTGGTCGGTTTTCTCTTCCTATTTTCGATTACGGGATTCCATTTTAGATGTACTATTTTCCATTGTCGGCGTTGTCTACACCGACGATGTCCGGCCGTGAACGCAAAAACTTTCAGATAAAATATTATTATAACAAATTAGAAATGTATGTGTACGCTTTAAAAAAAAAAAAAAAAAACTCTAGTATAAACTCGTATATAATATTATCGATCCGATCGGACAACGTGCACAATTCGTCACGCACTGCACTTGACGCGATACACGAGGGAATATCTAGGCATAGTTTTTCAGAAGCGTCGTCGTTAGACGCATTGTTTAAATAATAATAATAATATGTTGAATCCATTCGGTACATTCGTTATTGTTTGTTGCGTACGTGCCTCGAAAAATTATTTTACTAACGATTGTCGTCGAATCGTTTAACTGTATCGTTCTACCGGTGGAAACGATTCGTTAGCAATACACACCGGCTATATGCCCACTGGTGTCCGGATTTAATGTTATTATTTTTATTCGTAAATCATCATATTACATAATCATTGTACCGATGTATTGTCTGTGTTGTCGATTGATCGTTTGTTTCGCGCATCTGCATAAATTACATATACTTTGGATATTGGAAAAAAAAAAAAACAAAAGGAAAAGAAAGTCGTTTTAAAAATTTAATCCCGTATATCGTTTAACGGTACAGTCATCGCTGAAAATCATACGACCAGAACGAATAAAATACTCCGTCGGTGTATATACGTACAATACAAACTGCTGTATAATAATCATTTTTCTCGGTTTTTTTTTTTTTTTTTTTTCCGGGATATTTATTTTGTTTAGTATCTATGTCAAAACATTCGAGAAACATTATTGTATAAGTTAAATCTGCAACGACACGGTGGCCGCTCCATTTAAAAACAAAATATTATAATAGTGAAAATTCGGTATGCGCGTATTATACAAATTATCTCGGTCAGTTTTCGCCGTCATACTATTATTCCATAACCGATATTATGTCCGTAATAATAATATACGAACCAGCGATTATCTGTAGGCGTGTTTTGGCGAGTTAATTTTCTGTAAACCGTATGCAACATTAGGCGTGTTTTGGCGGTATTTTTTTTATTGAAACCGTTTGACAACGGAATCGCACTTTTCGACAACCAGGTTGCCGGAATCAGCAATCAATTTAAAACTACGTTTATAGTTTTCGGTTACTGTTTATACCTTGGTAAAGCACTGTACAGTTAACAAAACGGTCGTAACCAAGTAGCAAACAATACAGCTAACTGTTTACCGAAAACTGTATCGACAAAACAAGCATATATTGTTTGCTGCTTTGTTGCAATGGTCCACACGTATTTCTCTTAGTGAGGCCTAGTAATCTTTTGGCAAATGAAGAACAAATAAAAATAGTGTTAGGTTAGTAACCTGCTTACTAACTTAACGTTTTTATTTTTCGTTCAGATATTGTAAAATCAATTAATGATACAATTAACAATAATCTATTTATCTAAGTTTTCTGTACGCTAAAAACATACTTTTAAGGAACAACTCATCCAACCTCGTAGAATGATTTTTCTTTTTACAATAAAGGACAATTTCTTACACAATACATTGAACTTGGATTTTCAAAATTATGTTTCTAAACGCTATAATTACAATTTGAATACTACAAATATTAATAATTTTTCAATTATTCTTTTTATTCATTGTTTCTGGTAAAATAATCAAAAATCGAAGTCCAATACGCCCGGTTTAGGAAGTTTTTTTCTCTTTCGCATAGAAAATAAAAATTATGGTAATCAGATCACTCCGCGAGGTACGGCAGTTTTTCCTGTAAATTATGTGTAATATGTAAAAAAAAAATGAAACCGTTCGTATAGGCTCGTATTAATATAAAAACTAAAACCAATTGAATCATTTGTTATGGAATCCGGTACCAACACGATTTTCGTCTTAAAAACATGACTTATGGAAAATACTTTCTAGTTGTTTTATAATCGAATTGTTCCTAAGGTACATGCTGATTTTCAGTCGGACCTTATGCATGCATTTTAAGCCATGCCACGCGAATCCCTCCTGTCCCTGCCTACAATCCGCTTTTTTGTTCCAACGTTTTAATATCGGTACGCGAAATCAAATGCGAGTTTTAGAATGTTGTTGTTTATTAGTTGAGAAATAAATGGGGTGTATACAAATACTAAATCGGCAATGACAGTTATCGTTATTCCCGCGATGAAGTCATTTGTGTTCGTAAAACTGACCGGTCCTTCCCCCCGAACGGGTTAAATAGAGCTGCAGATTAGCGGAAAATGAAAAACAAATCCGGAAAACCGAATCAACCTTCGAGGGACCGTTAAGTTTAATGACCGTTTGAGAGACCATTATGCGGACGATTCGTAAAAAGCCGCGAGCGGCGGAATTCTCGAGGAAAATATTATGATAAACGTGTTATCGCTTTCGGAGGCGCATTAGACCGTTATTGCGATTGGACGATGAAATCGAATCACGTCCAATGCGCAATGTCCCGAATAAAACCCGCTAAAGGAGCGACGGGCTCGGGATTATATACGAAATATTGCGATCCGGGCCCCGCCCCCTAACGGACCCCGGCCGTGATTATTTCGTCGCCCAACGTCCGCGCGCACAACAATGTACCGTCGCACGGCCGTTCCGAGTGACGGGCGCCAAAAGTGTCGCGCCCGCACAAATGTGCGGCACCACCGGCGAACCCGTTCGAATCCGAATTAAACGCGCCGTAACGCGCCCCGCGCGTCAATCGTTTCGCGTCGCGATCGGCCCGCAGCCGGGGTCTCGGTCGTCTGCCGCCCCCTCGGCGCCGCCGGGGGACCGGCGGTTCCGCGAGGCTCGCGCCATCCGCCAACCGCGCGCGCTCGTGCGCTGCCGGCGCACGTCGTACGCAATGTTTTTACCGCAACAGTGCAATAACGTTCTCGGTATAAAAACGCGCGATTTCGCGCGTCGCAGCCAGTCCATTGCCAGCAGCGTACAATATTACAGCGTGCTATGCACCGGCCCCCTTATAATATCGTATCCGTCCGTCTATATTTCTCTCCGCGTCTCTCTGTTGTCGGGCGACGCGAGGAAATTGACAGACCCGCGCGCGAACGATCATAATAACAGTAATAATAATATACGCGCGCGCGCGCCCGTTTATGGCCACGAGCCAATTCGGAAAGAGACGTCACCACTATAGCCGCCGCTTTCTCCGCGTAGCCGCTCGTTATTGTATCGCGACCCGCACAAGTGGGTTTTTATTTTGTTCGTCGTCGGGCCCCCCTTCCCCCCTCCCCCCCCGTACACGCGGCCCGTAATGGTGTACGCGTGAAAATAAAACTAGCGTTTTTCTAGTCTTCCCGCGATACGAGTATAATAACAATAACAATACGAGCGTCTGCGCAGAGCGGGCAGGATGAAAGCTGTTTTATTCAAATGTAACTGGCCGCGGTGGCGACGACGACGACGACGGGTTGATGAATATTACACGGTGCCTTTTTTTCTTTCCGTCTCCGATGATTTACGATATTTTGACGATTCTTCTGTTGTTGGTTTTTTGTCGTTCGGTTTTTTCGGTACCCGTGCCGCGTAAGGCGTACACAGGCATACGTTATACGGGTACATGCCATTGCTGGTTTTCATTCGGCGTCACCGTGAAAACAATGGCGGAAATCGTTACAACGACTACGTCTACGGTGCGGGCCGTACGGGCCAAACACTTTCATATTATTATAATAACGCATGCAGACTCCGATTGTTTTTGACGTTAAAAAGAAAGCACTTGACATAATATCTCGTTTGTTTGTTTGGTTTTTTTTTTTTTTAGTGCTTTGCATCATCGGCAAATAATGTGAATACTGCACGCGACAATGCTTGGCGAAAAAAAAAATTAAAACAATTATTATTATACAGTATACTCGTTTGTATTTGTTTGTACAATATTATTTGCCCGCGTGTATTGAACGAAAACATAATAAATAATAATAATAATAATAAAAAAAAAAAAAAAAAAAAAAATGCACTTAACGAACGTATAAATTCTCGAAAAACGCATATTATATCCGACCTTGAAGAAACGGACAAACTACGTTATTTTAGTTTGTAGGTACATTTATATTTTTTCTGTCTGTAACCGCCGTACAGAGCGTCCCGTGTTTGTTATTATTAAACAGGTAGGTAGTTCGGTTTTTGCATATAATTACCGACGAGCGTGTTATTTTGTTGCGCAATATTTTGATATTTACCTACACCTATTTCGAATAACACCCGCTCTTACCGACTGTATTATTGCAGTAAATACGTAAAACTCGTTTTTTCGGTTAATATATTTTCGCGGCGTTTAAAAGGTTTTAGACAGGTTACGGCTTATAACGTTGGATTATTATATTAATACACCAAGCAGACATAATTTACATTTTGGTCCGCATGTTTAGTTGGGAAGTCACGTGGTTGTAAGTCGGGTACGTCTCGTGTATATATCGTATAGAATGTACTGCATTAAAAGCAATGCGATTGAATTCGTAAAATGATTTCGAGTCGGAGATAGTAAAAAAAAAAAAAAAACAGTTACCTGCTACTCACAAATTGAATTAATAAAATACATAAACCTGACTGTGCGTACGAAGTACAAATTCGAAAATGATGACCGCACTGACCATTGTATACAGTTAAATTTAACCTATAACAGACGTTACTAGACTTCCGCAGCGGCAGCTTAGCTAATGACCGGCGCTACCTTAATAAACCAATAAACCGAAGAAAACCCGTTAAACACAAAACCGTATTTTTAAAAGGGGAGGGATAAGTCCTCTCAGTGAAATTTTTAAAAAAAAGTCTTGAGTACTTCGTAAACGAAACTCCTAACATAATATTTATTTGATAATCTATGATTATTACGCACTGTTTGTAATGTGTACCTTAAACTTTTGTCGATACTATTTTACCCTAAAATATGTATTAATATTATATTTGTATAGTTTACTATTATCACATTGTATGCCAAACGAATAAATAAATACAAATATTATTATTGATAAAATCAATACATTGGTAGGAGTGTTTTGCATTTTCTAATCTGTATAGAGGGGCTGGAAGTAACTTTTGAACAAAATTTAATACCTCAAAAAGTGTCACCAGACATAAAATTAACATCACAACTAATAGATCCTTCTCTTAGAATAGATCATCGTCGTTTTCATTGTTTAATTTAAAAAAAAGGCTTTTATACTGTGACAAGATTTAGCAATTTGAATTAATTTAACTTTTTGTGCGTCTAACACATGTGTCTGCATGTTTAAGAATTTAGAGTTGTTGATAATATAATTTAACAAAACCAATAATTTTCCAATACTAGAGGTGAACCTTACCGTCGTCCGTTTATAATATAGGTCTTTTCGAAGTCTGATGGGGTCGACACCACCACTCAACGCAAAGTCTATGAATCGTACACTACGATAATTATTCGCCGTCAATAGTTTTAAAATTAATTCATATAAACAGTAAAATCCACATAAATATTATATTGCGATAACGATAATAATTATAAATGGTCAGAGCCTAATGTTTTTTGAACATATCTTTATAAAAACACTTAAAAGACATTATTTTTTTAAAATAAAAGTTGTAATTTATTTGTCTTACAACGCGAATTTACCGGTGCCTTAAAAAATTGCAGTGGCTGCTCATATACCACAGGTACCCAAGATGGTATAAAATAAAAATAAAACAAATGTAATATAGTTTTTTTTTTTTTTTTTGAAATCGAATTTTGTCGAAAATCCTAAATTTCACTTCCTTTTAAAACATGTGTAATCAAACTTCACTTTGAATCGTTTTTCATTAAAAAATTAACTTATTATCATGATTAATTACTGTAGTATTGGTACTGAAAAACAATGCTATTTCATCTAAATTATTTTTTTATTGATTTTTAATACGTGCAATTTTGATACAATACATATACCTATTTGCTTTTTTTAACATCGACTTATTACCTTGTAATAACTTGTACTAATGTCTACTAATGACATGTGTACTTATGTCGTGTACCTAATACTTAGCTACTTATGATTGTTTTTAGTTTTGAAAAATCGAAATAGAAATCGGTTTCGATACAAGAAGGTCACTGCCTAAAATAGGAGGCAATTCGAGTGAATGATATTTTTGAAATCGGGAGACGATTCGAGTAACCTTTTTAAAAAAAATTCACGGGAGGCAATTCGTGTGCGCCCATAGATTAAATAACTTTCCCACCTCTATCCTACCTTTCCAACTACTCACCTACAACAGTGACCGCACCCGTCCTCAGTATTAGGTCTTTTTATTTTTAAATTTATCATTTTTATAGTAATTTAAGTAAAAGCGGTCGCGTCGAAAACAATTTTTTTTAATATTATACTGTCATGTTCATTCCAGGTCGGCTCTTCAATCCTTACACCGGGTTAGCGCTCAAGCTCGGGAACATAACTTTTTCGAAGGTGGTTTAACCCACGATTGGATAACGCATTATGAAAAACAAATCTCCTCCGACCAATCGTGTTTGAACGAGTGGAACGCAATGGATTCAATCGAGTCACGTCGTCCCCCGTCGCCCGATTCGCTGAGGACAAAGTAAGTCGTACAAATCTTAGGCGAAATTGATCTCGGTAGGTCTAATATACGCCGTAACTTTTGAATAATTCAGTTGATTGGATTTGCATTCAATGTCGATAAAATAGTTCGGGACGTGAAATAAAATAATACTCGCGGAAACAAATTTGTGTAGACACAACGTAACCATTTCGTTATACACCTTCTTAATGAATTATAGTTTGCTGAGTGTCTCGAGTTTCAATATTTTAAAGGCATTTTCAACAAAACAAATATTTTCTCTACACGAATTTTTAAAGTTACTTACATATATTTTGTTTTTAATTCTATTCATTATTTTTGTAGACCCAGTGAACGCGAAGAAACCGAACGCGTAATACGCAGTGCCCTAAAAGAAATCATGATGAGCGTGGACTTGGACGAAGTGACTTCTAAGTTCATCAGGGGCCGGTTGGAGGAAACGTTAGACATGGATTTAGGTGAATACAAACCGTTCATCGACCAAGAGATGCTCACCGTATTGGGTCAAATGGACGCAGCCACCCAAATATTCCCACATGTTTACTTAGGTTCCGAATGGAATGCGTCGAACCTAGAGGAACTCAACCGAAACGGGTTAGTGTAAATCAATATTTTAAAGCTATTTTTGTGGGTTTAAATTTGATTTGATTTTTTTTGCAGCGTACGACACATATTGAACGTGACCAGAGAAATCGACAATTTTTTCCCTGGCTCGTTCAACTATCTCAACGTTAGGGTATACGATGACGATAAGACTGATCTACTAAAACACTGGGACAACACGTTTAAATACATTACAAAAGCCGAGTATGCATAATACAAGAAATCGTAAACCTGTTGAACTAATCGATTTTTTTCAATTTTAATTTCAGACAAGAAGGCTCTAAAGTTCTAGTGCATTGCAAGATGGGCGTTAGTCGATCTGCTAGTGTTGTAATAGCGTACGCCATGAAAGCGTACAACTGGTCTTTCAAAAAAGCTTTTGAACACGTTCAGTCGAAACGCACTTGCATTAAACCCAACAAGCATTTCATCCTACAACTAGAAACTTATCAAGGTATTTTAGCTGCTATGAAAAATCGCGAGAAATTACAACGATCCAAATCCGAGACAAACCTAGTAGCCACGTCGGGTCTTATCACTCCTCCGAATTCACCAAAAAAACCTTTGGACACTCCAAGGTCGCAAAGCGAAGGCGATAAAGACGCTACACCGTCAGACCGGTTGGATAAAGAAAATGAACCGATTGTGTCCAGTACGCCGGAACGGCTAATGCCGCCAAAGTTGGACATTAGTGGATATGATCTTATGAAATCTGGCGGCAGACCGAAATCATGGTCACCGGAAAATAGTTTTGCTTCCGACATTTTAACCAATTCAAGTAAGCCAGTTAATTATTTATCGTACTTGCAGATAGTATTTTTACTCTCCCAATAATTTAACAATATTAAAGATTTTTAATCTCCTAAATTTCCAAACCATCATAATTATCTCGAAAATTGTTTTTCAAAAAAAAAAAAATAATAATAATGAAACGTACATTATTGAACTGTCATCCGAACTAAATAATTTGTTCGTTCGTAGTTACCTAATTAGGTACAGTAGTTCTTACAAATTATCTGAAATACAACATATTGAACATATTTGTATTATTTATTATAGTATTTTATTGTATTCATAGTAATTTTGATAAAATGACAAACGTCTATTCCACTGTTATAAAACTATATATTAGATAGTCATGCCTACATTTCCCGGTGCAATTTGAAATAAATTGTTTTATTTTGTTTTTTTGTTTTTAAAAATCTATTAACAATACAATAACTATTTAAGAAATACTGAATCTATAAAACGAATAATTTGTTTAATAGTCAACAAAACAGACTGTCATTAGGAATATTTTAATGTATAGAACTACATTATCATCCGTTTTAAAGTGCTTTTAACAATATTGGTCAATGTTAAAAAAACAAAATGAAGGTTATTAAATATAAGTTATTGTTATTCAAAATGTAGAATAATCAACTACGGGCATATAAATTATACAACTATTTGTATGCTATTATATTTTCAGCTTTATTGTCTCAATCGTTGGAGAAAATAAATATGGAAAAAGTCTCTGTCGAAGTCGAAGTAGAAGTTCCAAATATTCCGCCAGCCCCGCCACTGCCGCCCTTCGAATTCCACAAGTACAATGTTAGTGTGTTTATGCCCTGTGGCAATGGACTGCGGTCATACAGTGTGTCGCAGAATAAAATCGTTCAGCTACAACCTACACCACCACCTCCGAGGTAAAGTGACTTGCTCATCGTAAATATAATATGAGTATATTATGACACACACAATATCACCATCATGTGTATCATACAGAGAATGTAGTAATCATATTTTTTATCATACTTAAAGGGAACGAATCTTTAACATCTCTCTCACTTTATTCTACCACAATTGGACAACACTTTTTATGCCGCCCATTACACTTATCGATCACCGAACTCGTAACCAAGGGGGTTCATGGAGTCCCCTTTCCCGAAATTTAAGCTTCCCATCTAAAAATCAAATTATCGATACAATAATTGATTATCGGTGACGAATTTTATGTTTGGACCCCACTTTCTCCCCCACCCGAAAAAAATCCTGGTTACATACCTGTCCATTTCCATTTCCTCGTCTATTTCACAAGTTATCTCCCCTATAATAACCTCTTGTCACATTTTTATTTGGTTTACCACTTACCCGACTTCCACATCCATACTTATTTCATATAAGCTTTATACCTACAATTTACCTTTTATTCTTATTATGGAATTTTTTCATTACGCAACATTCAAACAGTGACAACTTGGAAAGCCACTTCATTTAGTCGCACATAATTGGTACAAATACTTAAACTTATTAACTCAAATTATAATTAGCCTTCTGGCTAACATTGGTATGGCTAACTCTAACAAATTCTGTATAACATAGGTTATTATTATTTATTGTTGCAGACCGTCGTCGGTTAAACTTCGAGTTAACGAATTGGAGTCCAGCAGCAGTAGCACTAGTAGCAGCGGTACCGGTGGCATTAATGGGTGCACTTCTAGTCCGGATCGCAAGTCTACGGTGGATTCTAGCCGAAATCTGGTGTTGAATCTCACCACCCAGTTCGAAGGCGTAGTGGCTTCGTCAAGCGCTGCCAATTCTCCTTCAGACGATATTCTAGTCAAACTTCCGCAGGCAGAATCTCCTAAGTTCAGCCGGATAGCGGTCAACAAGCCGCCGCCGATGACGGTCGTCTGCACCACGACAAACGTCGTTTGTCCGAAACGAGACATCAGTGACTTGTTCTCGTCTCGATTGGACCGAGTATTCGAACGTGAGGAGCGCAAACAGTCACGCGAACCACACGATCCAGTCGCAGTGTGCAGCGATGTATCCCGGCAGAACTCATGGAGTTCGTACGACAGCGCCGTCGTGCTCCGGGACGTAATATCCAGACACAGTTCTTGGGGCTCCTGTGACACGCGTACCTTACCATCCAGGAACAGTTCGTGGGGGTCGTATGATGTCCATGTACGACCAACCATGCAATATGTCAGTGAAAGAGGCGAGAGACCTGCAGTTGTAACCGAGTCGTCAGCAGCGGTTGTAAAAATATCAGACGAAGCCACGGCGAGTTATCATCATGCGAAAAAGTCAAAACAAAAGGATGATCACCAACAAAAGCTACTGTTGCCTCACTGTTATTCGAGTTCACCGACCCTAGGGCAAGGCGCCTCGCTCAAGTTGGCCAGTCGGGCGACGGCGTCCCAGCCGAACATATCTGGTCTAGGCAATAGTTGCAGCAGCAGCAATAACAACAACTGTAATAACACAAAACAGAGCAGTCTGGTCAAGAGCCTTAAAGAGGAGTTCGAAGCTAAAGCCAGTGATACAATTGAAAAACAGCAGTGGAAAACTGGTTCTGGTGGTAATGTCGCCGAGGATGATAGCTCCAGTAGTAGTGAACACGTCAAAAGCCTGCCCACTTCACCCGTCAGTGAACATCCCAAAGTGACGCAACGGCCCAGCCCTGCCGCGTCCATGGAAGACTTATCAGTGAGGAAGTTGGTCGGAAAGTACGAAAATGGTAGGGCTCGATCAAAGACATTTGTTCAGGATAGTGGTTGTCCCCGCAAACCGCAACAGCTGCAGTTACAGCAATCACCAGTGCCTCCTAGTAGATTATCCAGTCTAGACGCCACCTTAATTGGACCCCGAAAGTTCACTAAGTTTGAATGTAACAATCCGGTCGTTAAAACGGTTGTATTACCCTTACAGCAGAGCGATATTCGCGCGTCTGTCAATCGAGCAGCTAACAATAAATTGCAGCAGGGAAAATCACATCCGCTGACAAAATTATCGTTTAAACAGCTGAAGGTCAACAGTACTGTTTACAACAGTATGTGAAAGTTATAACAATTTGTATAAGTTTAATAAGACCAAAAAAAAACAAAACAAAAAAATTTTCGACTGTAGTACCTATAAATACATTTTTAACTTTTCATAAATATCTACGGTTTTTTTTTTTTACTTTAAAATTTGTTCATAATTATGTTATGTTCAGTTTTATTTGACAATTTATCTGTAACATTTTTTTTTTTTTTTGTTTCTTAAATGTTTTTAATAATTTTTTATTATTTTTGCTGTTGACAGTGTTATCCAATCTTCCGACCTGTTTTGATTTCTAGTCCAACGCGCAAAATTATTATTATCTTATCAACTGATTACATAATTATTATTATATTAAGTACCACTATTCGTAATAGTCTTTTACGCTTCAATAGAGCACACGGTTCATAAATAATTAAAATTTATATATTTTATATGAAATTATTTACTTCAGCACAGTTATATAAAAAAAAAAAAAAAACTAATAATAATAATTTAAAATTTATTTTATGTAAAGTAAAACGCTCTCTCTTTTACTCTCTCTCCTTTAACAATAATGTACACTATATGCGCGTAAACTTTTCAGCAAAAAACAAAAAAAAAAAAAACAAAAAATTACAATATTGTTTTACAAAGTTGTAGATCTCATTTTTTTTCCCTTTAATTATCGATAACGCAAGTGGAAAAATCGTTATTCACTCCCTCATTGTGTGTTCCGGCGCAACCATAATAACAATGTTGACGATCTGTTAATCGTTGTAAACGCCACTTCCTCCTATATTTAAATGTACATAATTTTTTAAGCTTATTGTGTGTTAAATAAACCATTTTAAAAAGTGTGTATAAATGTGTATATTTTTTATTGTACCTAATATTTTTTCCTGAAACATCTTTATCAATTTTGATTATAATATTTAAAAAGGAAATTCCATTCTCTGAGACACCGTATACACGGAAAAAAACAAATTTTTGTGTATAACCTAAGAAAGCTAATTCTATGAAATTATAATTACATTCAGAATGTAATTTTTAAATACTACCAATAATCTATATAATCTATACATATATTTAAAAATTTGCGAGCAAATGAATATTGTTCACTTTATAAAAATGCATACCTAACTATATATATTATGAATAGGTACCTATTTAATTTTTTTATTTCAAAATTGAATTTTTTTTCACATGCCCGATTTTTAATGGGTGTATTGCAATTTTGAAAAATTTTATAGTTAAAATGAGTTTAAATATACGTATATATATATATATTTTTGATGCTCAAAGATGAGAAAGTAAGTGTAAAAATAACGTAAGTTAAATAAATAAATGATTTATTTGTAGAAAATTAGGCTTTTACTAGGTCAGTGGACTTTTACTGGTGGGTCTTTAAAATTGGGTTGGGATAAGTTTTCTTTTTAAAATAAAACTTAAGTTTATACAATTATATAAGGTATACAAATAATTGTTTAATTATTAAACTTAGAAAATAAATAAATTAAAAGAATCCCATCCACGAACATTATCAATGTTTTTGCTGTGATTATGACGTAGTATAATAAATGTTAGTCGTGTTATTATTCTAATCATGTTTAAGTTAAAAAATATTTTTTTAGTTTATTTTGTTAACAATGTAATTTTTATTTATTCAGAAAACCACTGTACTAGGTAGGTGGCTATCACTGTTTTTGAAACATGTCATTTCTTCTGCTTCTAAATGCTTCAGATGAAATGACAAGTTTTTTTTATTGAAAAAAATATATGTACACAATATGCATCTCAAAAAAGTATTTAATTATTGCATAATACATAAGTAATTGTACTGAAATTTAATAGCCTGTGGGTATTTTAGAGGAAAATTCTATGCACATTCTATGACTTGTTTTAGTGAACAAGCCCAACACATATTTATTTTAATTCCTCCACTTTCCTTAGCCACTATTTGTCAGAGGCATAATTATAATTGGGCCTGTCTTTGGTTATTTTATTGCCAACTAACGGACATTTTATTTCCTATTATCGAAAAACCGACCAGTGAGCAATACTATTTAGTAATAATTTACAATCAATCTATGCGTTGTTAGCATAGATCTTTAAACTCCACAGTTGTATGAATCTGTTTGTTTTTCGAAACATTGACAAATGGACACTGATTAAATTGTATTGATGGAAAACTGTCTTTATTATTAAAATTTAATTTAATTTGTCTCCGTAGTAATTCAAAAGTATTTTTTGATTCACGACTTTCATTGTCATATGGACTTTAGGGGTTGATTGTGTAATACTTCTTCCTATACAAATTTATAAAAGCAACAGTCAAATGATTATTAGAAATTAGTAACGATGCAATAACAATACTGTTCTGCTTAATAATAATTGTTTTGTTAAACGGTTTTCCAACTTCTTTTTTGCTCATTGACAATCTCGCTGTGTTATGTGATAAAATATGCGTTGTGTTTATTATACCAACCAAGTTGTCTAGCATATGTAGCCAAACAAACGTATATAACAAATAAAAAAAAGTTATCCAACCAATTTTTTTCTGATAATGTGTTAAAGCTTGAAATGTCCAAGTCTACCAGAATATTTGAATTATGGTCGGTACGTATGTAATTGCATGTTCCAATTAAATAATTTGTACCTATCACTGTTTTTACCAGGCCACATTTGTAGTTAGCAGTATGTTTAATCTTTAAGAAGTTCGTTCCTGTTAATGATTTTTAGACTCCACGGTTCGGTTGTAGGGTAGGGTTGCCATAATTTTTTCAAGCAAATCTAGGTTGGATAAAAACATAGCAAATAAAATTGAATTGAAAATATGAATCATATTAGACGGGTGTAGATTAATTAAAACCTATCTATTAAAAAAAACAAACCAACCTATTATTTAATACGCTATAACAATACAGCAAAAATTTTGTTTGTTTTTTAATTGGTTATAAATTTAAGAATTTGTGAATTTAAGTGCTATAAGTTCCGAGATAATAAGTATTTGGACACTATATAAGGTATATTTGTCGTCATTGTTTTATCCCGTATTGGTTAAAAACGAAATTGTTTATCTCAACTACAATATTGGTATATCAAACAATATTTCAAAATTAAATAATATGAATTTTCCTCGAAACCGGGACACATGAGCGTCCCCGACATTTATCTCCAGGATACCGGTACGTTTAGTCGAAAACCGGCGACAGTCCTGGTCTTCCGGGACGTATGGCGACCCTATTGTAGGGAGATTGAAAACTGCCAAGTTGTTGACGCGGATTTTTTTTCGTATTATCTTCCCTATGTGACAGATTTGAGTAGACTTGAATTTCCATATTACAATTTTCTTCGCTACCGTTTAATGGTTTGATATTTGTTGGCAATGTGTTTTTCGATCTACCGCATTATCAAAACCTTTGGGACTCGGATGGCAGATACCTAGACGGTAATAGATGTTTGTGCGCCTATTCTTTTTTCCCCCAATTTTCCGTATCGCCTAAACGATTTCCACTTGTATTTTTATTCACCGACATTTGAATTACTTACGTTTCGTTTTAAGTTCGTTATCAACATTGAGCACTTTCGTATCTGCATCGCGTTTTCTTTATTTTCCGAGTCACGTGTTTATGAATGTTTAGTAGGTATACGCACTCTAATCGATCTTAAAAACCTGCAGCATTTCAACCTGCGATCACCGTGTAACAGATCAGTTTTCACGGTTTTGAACCACGATGGCACGATTCGACCGTAACGTTGCTTTGACAATTTCCAATACCATTATTTAGCTTATTATTCGTAATAGACGTCCAAAGCCATAAAAAAATGTATGCACTTTGCAATGAACTCTTGCAAGTACGATTTTTCAAAATAATCATTCATTTGGAAACTAAGATAACCAGGCCTCCACACGAGTTTTTCTCAGTGAGGCCCAGTAATCTATTGGTTTCAAATAAAAATAAAAAATAAAAAAATACTGTTCTCGACCGCGGTAATTTTTTACACAATTCCCCTCTATATCCTACCTGTCTAACCCTCACCTACAACAGTGACCCGTCCACCGTGTGAAGTATGCTAGTATTTCTCATTGTCGTCTTTTGGAATGTCAAACGTGTTTTTATATACAGTGCGTATGTGTTTTTTTAACAGAATAATAATCTGTCATATTAAATGGACGAGCTGATTAAAATTGACAAACTAAAATATCAATCTTTTAATACAGGTACGTATATATATATATATATTTTTTTAAATTACATCCGCTAGTGGATATTAGAATCTATTAGAACTTAGCTTCTACTCGCTTCTATAAAAAAAAAAAAAACCCATCTATTATATAGTACGAGATTGTTGTAGGTCAGCACGTGATCATATTATCTGTAACCAGAGTTATAAGTCTGAGGATTATTGATTGGAACACTTGAATTTGTTGAGTTAAAAATTATAATGAAATAATTTCGCGTGTAACACAAATGAATGGCGGAGTATATGTGTCTTTATTGTCCAAAGCACGGTCTTAGAAGAACCTAAGAATCTTCGAAAACCGTGGTCCACACCGTAATGCCGACTATCCACTGATAACGATGCGTTGACAACTATCTCGATTGTCCGTGTCCAAGGCTAACCAAAACCGCGTCTATGATAATCAGAGATTTTCAACCATTAAACTTTACGTCATCATAGAGTTTTAAACTTTTTTTTTAAACTAAGTTTTGTGTAAAATCTCTGATGATAATAAATCTTTAATCACGGTACTTATCTATTGTTCTTATCGTTTTTAGGACGGGCTGATAAGACTATCGCCGTTACAAGCCGACCGATAGTAAACAAAAACAAAAATGTGTTCAATTATTTGAATAGGATACTACAGTAATATAATCGAAATATTAATTCGTTTTCGCGTTGTTCATTTACCGATGAGAAGTACGTTGGCGGTTCCGACGCGAAGCAAAAAAAAGAAAACATAATGAAGTTTTTAATTGACGAACTGGAGATTTTGTTCCCGTACGAGTACATATATCCGGAGCAGTACGCGTACATGGTGGAACTGAAAAAAGGACTGGACGCCAAAGGACATTGTCTGCTGGAGATGCCGTCGGGCACGGGCAAGACCATCACAATACTGTCGTTGGTCGTCGCATATATGGTCAAGTATCCTGCAAAACTCGCCAAACTCTTGTACAGCACCCGCACGCTGTCTGAAATCGAAAAGGCAGCGGAAGAATTGCGCGTGCTATGCGACTATTACCAGGCGAACAATTGCGACGCGAACATGCTCGGCGTGGTCCTTTCGTCCCGGAAAAACCTGTGCATAAATCCATCGATCGCGGGTGAACACAACGGGCGCATCGTCGACGGACGGTGTCACGCATTGACGGCACCGTTCGTCCGGGCGCGGCACGCCGAAGGCGAGACCGTCGACGTCTGCAGTTTTTACGAGAAACTCGACTCGCTGGGCCGGGACATGGTTCTGCCGCCGGGCATTTACAACATCGAAGACCTGAAGGAGCTGGGCGCCAAACAGGGCGTGTGCCCGTACTTTGTCGCCCGGCAGATGCTCATACACGCCAACGTCGTTATATACAGCTACCACTATCTGCTGGACCCGAAAATCGCCGGCATCGTTTCCAAAGACTTCAGCAAGAATACGATCGTGGTGTTCGACGAAGCCCATAACATCGACACCGTTTGCATAGACTCGTTAAGTTCGCATATCACGAACAGCAATCTGGACAAAGCGATCGAAGGTATAAACAAGCTCGACACGGAGATCACGTCCATGAAAGAGCGGGATTCGCAGAGACTGAGAGAGGAATATAGGAAAATGGTTGACGGTTTGAGGGAAATCTACAGGAATCGTGAAGCGAACGCAGCGTTGGCGAATCCGATCGTACCTGACCAGGTGCTGAAAATAACCGAATTGCCGGGCAATATTAGAAGTGCCGAACATTTCTTGGGTTTCATGAAAAGGTTCATCATGTACTTGAAACTCAGAATAAACTCCACCACTGTTGTGCAAGAGACTCCCATAATGTTCATCAAAGATATATACCAAAAGGTGTGTATCACCAGGAAACCATTGAGATTTTGCACCGAACGGTTATCGTCGCTGCTCAAGACGCTGGAAATAAACGAAATCGTTGATTTCTCTGCACTGATTACCGTCACTCAGTTTGCTACCCTTGTATCGACCTACATGAAAGGATTTATGATAATTATTGAACCATTTGATGAGAGATCGTCATCGGACAGTTCTGTTATGCATTTCAGTTGTTTGGATTCTTCGATTGCCATCAAACCTGTTTTGGATTATTTCAACACGGTTCTCATAACGTCCGGAACATTGTCTCCGTTAGAAATGTACCCAAAGATTTTAAATATCAATCCTGTCATAATGACATCGCTGACCATGACATTGTCCAGACAGTGCTTTTTGCCAATGGTTGTTGGTCGAGGTAACGACCAAGTAGCGTTAACATCAAAATGGGAGTCTAGAGAGGACTCATCTGTTGCCCGAAACTATGGCCATTTATTACTGGAAATGGTTAAAGTGGTGCCCGATGGCGTTGTGTGTTTTTTCCCGTCGTACCTATATATGAAATCAGTTGTAGCCGCTTGGTATGACCAAGGAATAATTGAGAAAATTTTGGATTACAAACTGATATTTATTGAGACACAAAATATCGTCGTAACTAATCATGCAATTAAATGTTATGCAGAGGCCATTGAACGAGGGAAAGGAGCACTATTATTATCTGTTGCTAGAGGTTTGTAGCATTTTCTAATTTACAACAAAATGTATTTTTTTAATGAATAAATGCCTTACTACTTTCACATTAATGACAATTAATACAGAAAGACTAATAAATATACATACCCTATAGGTTCACAGAAATATATTTAAATTATTTACTAAAACATTTTATATTTAAAAAACTGTGTTAATACAAATTTATGTTATTGAATAAATTATAGTATTAACATTTTACAGTTTCACAAATGGCATTTATGTGTTTTAATCAGCAGTTAAAAAAATACTAATAATAATATTATATTTATTTGTGTTTACAGGTAAAGTGTCTGAAGGTATGGATTTCGATCATCACTATGGTCGAGCAGTAATAGTTCTGGGTATGCCGTATGTTTATACTCAGTGTCGTATTTTAAAAGCCCGCATGGAATATTTATGCAGTCAGTATCAAATATCGGAAGGTGATTTTTTAACGTTTGATGCGATGAGACATACTGCCCAATGTGTGGGCCGAGCAATCCGTGGAAAAATGGATTATGGTATTATGGTGTTTGCTGACAAAAGATTTGCCAGACATGATAAAAGAAATAAACTACCAAAATGGATACAGGCGTATCTAACTGATAATGTTTGCAATTTGACGGTTGACGAAGCTGCACAAATGGCCAAAAGATGGCTAAGATATATAGCACAACCTGATCCAGTAGAAAATCAAATGGGAGTATCGTTGTTGGATGTAAAGGGACTGAACAAGACTGATTTCCTGTCAAAAGTAATACAAAAATCTTAACTATTAGCCCTAAGATAAAATTTATACCTTGTTTGTATTTTTTTAATTTTGTATAAACCTTCTATGGTTCACCCATATAATATATTATGTATATTTTGTAATTATTTTTGTATTTATAACGATTCCAATTGTAATCAAAATCCACTTATTATAATTTATAAGATTATTAACAGCAAAAGAGTGAATACAATTTTTGTTTAGTTTTTCAGTGTGAGAAATTATTTTTTTTTAATAATTTATTTTATTGTATTTATAAATATTATTATATAATTTAGAGATTTTATTCATTTGTCTACAATCAAATGCTTCCTTAGTATTTGTATTGAGACATTTTATGTTGTTTCTCAATTATTAAAAAAACCCCTTGGAAAATCAAAAAAAGTCTTTTTTCGTTCTTTGATTGAAGCAAAATTGTTGGTAAAAAAATTGCTTACAGACAGAAAAAACTTGGTGTTAGACAACAAAATTAATGTTAGGCAACAACAAGATAAATTAAAATCAGTTAGATACTTTATTTGTGTACTTTCTATTTAAATATATTTTTTATTTCATATTATCAGTATTAAAGTTATTAATTGTACTAATAAGATTAAGGATCAAAAAATAATGCTGAAGAATTAAAATTTGGTAATATTATAGAAATTGAAATATAATATGTCATAAAAGAGATGGTGTTTTTGTAGTTGAAAATTTACAGAAAAACAAAATTTAGATAATTATTAATTTTCTGTGTTTAAAGTCTGGTGTAAATGTGGTCAGTCATTTCAGCCACTTAGTGATACGCAAATTAAATATTTTATCTAGTTTATCAAAAAAAAAAATTGTGTGTTTGCTACTTTTCCCCACCATTCACTTTGATAACAATGAACGATAATATCACAACTTAATTCTACCTAACATCTGTTTACTCGTATTTTATAAATGTTTGTGTCAATATGACAATACTAATTAATATATCTTTAAAGTTTGAATAACTATTCATCAATAGATAGAATGTATTTTTTTTCAGTTATAAAAATATATTTTGATTATTTGATGATGGGGTTTACACACTACACATCATTGGTCATAATTAGGTGATAAAAAATGTATTAATATTTTATCCACAATTTTTTTTTTTATTGAAAATGTATTTTATAGAGTCTGAATTCATTAACTACATAATAAATTATAAATTATAAACACCTATAGATTCGTGTATACTTGTTGATTAAAAATTTGATGTTATATTAGCTGTTTTAAATTTATACTTTTATTAGTTTTCCGGATATTTTACATATTTCATAAAAAAAAAAATAAATATTTTGATTAAAAGAAAGCCTAAAAACATATTCTTAAAATGTATTACATAAAACTCCTGTACCAACCTATAAAAACAGTTTAGGCCTTAAAAAAAAAGAAAAAAATGGTTAATAAGTATATTTTAGTAAATTAATACATAGAAAAAAACAAAAATTGTTTTTGATTTGTACTTGATAAAATATATTAAATATGAAAATATAAGAAAAGTTAAAAATAAATAAAAATTACATTTTATATATTTATTAAGGAGCCCCTTAGTCATATAGGTGTTTTTTTCAGTCCCACCCCCTTAAATGGTTTCAATATGTATCCAAATAAACTACAAAATTGTATGGTAATTGTTTAATCCGGGTCTCCAGCAATTAAGTTCTAGAATACATTTTTTTTAGTTTTTGAACTATATCTCGTTATAATCGTTTTGCATGAAAATGTATATTTTGCAAGATGTTACATTTTTTATATTATTTTTCTGTGGACAACTTTTCTACCAGAGTACTTGTTCCGATTTTTACGTGTAATACCTTTTTTGAAGAGAAATCGGTGTGGGAAGGTACCTTAGAGAGATCATTTTTCGATTTTCTCGAGTTTTCTCATGGAATCGTCGAAAAATCGAAAAAAAAAAACGGGAAAACGTACAAAATATATTTGTATAATATTACGATTTTGTTTTTCCGTGAACAACTTTTCTGTCAACAATTTTGACTCTTAACGATAGCAATTTTTCTGAAATGAAATTTCACTGTGGAAGTACTTTAGAGAGGTCGTTTTTCGATTTTCTCCGGAGTTTTTTCTGCAAATGTGAAAAACTGGTAAAAAACATGGAAAAACGTAGGAAAACCGGGGAAATCGGTACAAAGAATTGATTAAAGAAAATATACGTAGCCAGTTTCATTATTTTACTATAATATGGTATATATATTATTGACAAAATATCGTTACTATCGACTGAACTGTAACTGAAGAGAATAGAAAATCGTTTTTTTTCGTAAGCAATGGTTTATCGTTGCTTACAGGTGTACATCAAATTACCCAAAAAAAGTAGCTGCATCCGTCCCCATTATCCCAGGACGTCTTTTTAAAATTGATAAGACAAAAATATTCTACAGACAACATTAGTTCCAAAGAAACGGTATAATAATGGTTGGTAAAATAAATTTTAAATTAACTTTAAAAAAAAAAAAAAAAAAAAACGTGCTATAAAGTTTGCGATTGAATTTTCGAAAAACCTAACTGAATGCGATTCGTATGAAATTTTCCTCTTTCCGACAGAAAAATAATCATCGAATTCGGACCATACGTGAGACGCGAGAACTTTCCCCCCCAGAGTGTATTTTTGAATAAAAAATCGGATTGGCGGGCACGTCCTTTGTCTAGAATGATACGACGAAAATCTTATGATGCCCTGTTATTGTAGCGGCGGGCTGACGTCGGTGCCGCGGCGAAGTCAATGCCGGCACGGGGCGGTGAGCCTTTGACAGCGACGTTGGCCACGCCGCCGGGGAGGAGCCTATGGTGACGACGTCGTCGAAACCGCGATGTGTGTACCAGGAGCTCATGACACGGGTTGGCGCGATAAAAAAAACGACGGCGGCGGCGGCGGGAGCCTTACAATATTATGGCGAATTGATATCGACGTTTAAATTTTGTCTGTATCTGTGACGAATTGTGTTTTCAAAATTATAACATGACCAGATATAAATGACCTACAAGTAAGTAATAGCCGATAAATTACGGTTTCAAACTTCAGAAACGTATATTACGGATAGGGCTGTAGGTTAAATATTTGAAGCAAACGTAACCAAGTTGGAAGTTGGAACGAATGCGCGTGCGTGAAATTCATATCACGCGCAGTTGATCGAATTCGCGCGATCACGTATCTATCACCGCCATCTGGTGGCCCGGCGGTGTTACAATGTGATAAACGTGCGACAAGTACGCGTGCGCAACAAGCACATCGGTCCCCTCGGCACTTTGACGGTTGTCGACTTGTCGACTCGTAGTGCTCGCTTATCGCTTATAGCTGCGTTATCTGTGTTCTGTACCGCGAGAGGGCGTGCCGGGTCTGCGCGCGTCGTTCGTCGACCGACCGGGCCGTCATCGTATACCCGTCGTGTATTCAAATTTCGTCGCCGACGACGACGACGACGAGCGCACTCGGACCCGACCGGTATTTACGTTATCGAGGAACACACGGGTTACGGGTACACGAACAATTTTTTCGGCGAAGAGAATGATTTTAACTTAACTTTGAAAACGTACAATTGGCAGTGCTCAATTTTAGCGGAGACCTTATTAGTAAAAGCGTAGACATGAATTAGATATACATATAATTCTATTGAAAGAAAAAAGAAAATACGGACAAGGAATCTATGGCACAGATTATAATCAATAATCTGTTGTAAAAGGTCTATGACGGTCATAGACAAGTATACTATGGCGACCAAGGTTTATATAAAAACGCGATTAAGCGGAACATTGATAAGATAGAGGTTGTCCCGCCTTATCTTCTAAGACCGTGGTATATCATATCATCTGTTGTCATTTGAACTTTTGTTGGACCTTTATCATATTCGAACAAGTATCCCTGTCCCGCGTATATATAGGTATTTATATGAAATAAAAAAACAATATGTTTATACGCCAAAAGTCAAAACAGCAGCGACTCATTGAAAATTATGATATACTTATTATGAAAAGAAAATACTAATACATTTTAAAAACGACCATCGATATTGTAGGTAATTCTAAATCTTAATACCTATACAATGATGGCCAAAGAGTGATAGTCCACCGACAACAATGAGTAAGTACTTACGCCTATAGTATTTTTTTTTATTTTTTGATATTCATTTTACTGCAAACACAAAATATATGTCATGTTTTAATACAGGTTTATGCTGTAGGTTTATCAGCCGCTCGATATGTGTTTCGAACAATGTTTTCTGGAAAACCAGTTGCCTCATCTATAAATGTTCTAACATTTACTGCTTCGCAGTACCATAAGGTTCAACTGAAATGTTTTAAATTAAACTTTGCCACAGTACCCAGAAAAACATCAAGGTTCTTTGTCTTGAACCGCCATGTACACGTTACTGCTGTATTGACAATGTCAAAAAACTATTACGATATTCTTGGTGTTTCAAGAAATGCTAATCAAAAGCAAATCAAAGAAGCCTATTACAAACTGGCTATGGAATACCATCCGGACAAAAACCAAGGAAAACTTACTCAGAAATTTAGAGACATTAAGGAAGCATATGATGTATTAAGTAATGAGTCTAGTCGAATGAAATACAATAATAGTGAGTATTTATTGAATATTTTACATTTTAAATATTTTATTCCCGTTAGTTTTTATATCATTTCAATCTTAATATCAATTTTTATGCTATGATTAATTTAATATTTTAATCCATTTCAAAATAAATATTAAACTTTGTGCCAATGTTACTATTATATATTTTACTAATTCCATACGCGGTTATATACTTAACACTTTTATGTATTTTACAGAGTTTTGTTTTATTGGTAATTTTAACTAGTACAATGTAAAAAAACCTACCTTTATTAAAATTTATAAAAATTATTACATTTATAATTTTATAAAACACTTGGTGAAAAATATCAAACTAATTTGATTTTTTCTTGTATATTTTCATATTAACAATATATTCAACTGTTTTTAATGTTTAGACTATTGATATGATTTTATAAACTATTATTATCCATTTTGTATGCTTCATTAATTCCTAAGTATAAAAGGTCAACAAGGCCTCACATATACATTTCAAAGGTAATGATTGAAAACTACATTCTTTTTTTAGGTTCTTCTTTTAATAATACTGGTACATCAGATAACTGGTCTTCAAGTTCTTTTTATGACCGCTATAAGTCACCGCCGTACGAAGAATACAGACGGACAAACAGCAAAACTGAACGTCAACGATCCTATAATAGACATTCTTATAATAATTATAGTCATCTCAAACCGTTTAATGTGTTTATAAATGTTATTAAAGTACCCAACAATATTATAAAAACTCAATTAGATATATTGTTATTGACATTCATCAAAAATAGAATATTAAAAATGATATTGCTTACACTATTTCAATACTTATGGAAACAAGTATTAAAGAATTTAAATTGTAATGTATTATTATCGTCGACACAAACTAGTTCTTTGGTAGAATTTGTTAAAAACTTATTGCTGAGCCATACAATTAGAATCGAACTAACTGAACTGGAAGCAGTACGAGGAAAAGCCATAAGGGTGCAAGTTGATAAGAATGAGAAGGTTCTGGTGGTCAACTTACCTGGAGGAGTAAAAAAGGACCAATCATTCTATTTGTTCTACCTTATAGACGATAATAGTAACAGTACTAAATTTAATTAAGTCAAATCATTGTTATTATTTTTTGTTTGTTAATATTCTAATTAATTTGTTTTACAAAAATATGTTATGTCTGGTTTGTAACTTTTCAAATAATGATATTTCATATCAATAAAACTCTTTTGAGAATTGTTAGCCAAAAATATAATGTAATTTGTTTTTGTTCAATCAAATCGAAAACGCAATACATCGGTAATCGAGTAATAAAATTATATTGTTAGTTGAAATGACTGCTGGTTGATTACAATAAAAATTACTATTAATATTTTTATATTTATTATAGATGTTTGTATTTAAATTATAATGGCATATTATATCAATTTGTTTACTTAATCCATATTTGAAAAATCACAAAAGTACACACAATTTTATAAAAGTAATAAAAATTGATTTAAGATATTTTAGTATGCAAAGAATTTGCACAAAATAGACCAAATATAATGAAATTGTGTTAAACATTGATTATCTTAGTCAATTTATCAAACTTAAGTATACAAAATCTATTGCAACAATTATCTAATATTGATAATATTTATGTACAAAAGTTAAATTTAAAAAAGGAATAATTAAAAATTAAAATTTTGATGGTCTACTTAAAACAAACTACCATCAATAAATTTCAACCTAAAATAATTTTATAATACTAAAATTCTAACATTAAAATTACCATAGTTCCAAATTTTAATTCAAAAATTAACACAATTTTTTTTGAATATAATTTATTAGTCTAAATCTAACAATTTGATGAAACTGAAAAAAAAAAAATTTATTTTGGTAAAATTGATATTCGAATTATTTATATTTATACATTTGAGAGTTGGTATTGCAATAATTTGTCTGATTCTATTTCAGGTTTTATTTTAGGGCTAATATAATCAAGAATTAACGAATCGCCATTGTTAATAATCTCCTTTGAAATCAAATCAGAAAATGCATGTTCCATTGTTTCTGATATGTGTTTACCATCATTAAGTTTGAATAAATGTAGTTTAAGAGAATTGAGTTTGTTATTTGAATTTTCAATTTTCAATCGCGAAGCAAATAAATCTATAGTCCGTCCAATTGTCCAATTTTTACTAGTAAATAAGGGTACAGCTGGAATAATTTGGTTGTTTTTGAATGGTGGATGGATAGAAAAATAAATTCTATCTGACATTGGTATTTTATTGTCACCCAACGCTTTCCCTTTGAGTTTCATTAGACGAATTTGTTGGACCATACCTTTCTTTTGAGGTTGTAGTTCTGCTTGCCGTAGCGTAGCTTCAATCTATGTAAATAAATAATGAAATTATCAATTATAATTAAAATGAAGATTCAGATTCAAACAGGTACCTTTTTATCAGCTTCTTCTTTAACAATTGAAAATTGATTTTGAGATTTCTTGGCTGCTTCTCTTAAAAGTTTCTTTGTCTCTTTTGTTGTGAGTTCATCAAAACAGCCATGATGTCTATGGAGGAGACAGAAATGTTGAAGGCATTTAATACATTGCATTTCACAGCCATATTTTGTATTGCAACCATTGAATGTGCATTCGTACCAAGTTGTCGCCTAAAATCAGACAATTAATAAATAAAATATTGCAACGCAGTCATTAGTGCTTTTAAACAACCAAGTTTCCTCTGGCAAAGACATTTAATATTCTAATCATTTTTCACTGTCATGCCACAATATTTTCAAGACATGAACATTTTTTAAAATCCAAAAAGTTTAAGAAGATAAATGTATTAAATTCTTTTTGTTGCGCCTTTGTGTGGCAAGTTTTGGAATATGACTCAGTTGTATGAGACATCCAAGACATGGTAGCTAGGCATTTTTCAGATTGTATGTATGTGTCCAGAAGACGTTTTGTAGTCTATACTTTAAAGCCTGTTTCAAAAAGGTAGTGCTTGCCCCACGAACATCAGCCAATCCTCTTATAACTAAATCTCCTATCTCGTGTTGATTGCCAGCACCTAACTAACACTACTTTTCTTAAAAAACTCATTTCATGAGTTATAAACTCCTTAATTTTGTTGTCATTTATTTTAAGTCCCTTCTTGCATTACACGTCATAAAACACCATTTTTACCCTACATCATACAACTAATGAACTAACTTCCAGCAAAATAAATATAATGATAATACTTTGTTCTTCTGTTGAACGATAAGATCCATGTGTACTAGTTTTAAGGTAGAATGAGTTTTTAATTGTATTATTTTCTACTTAGGCAATTGCTTGGTTTACCATAAATAATACAGAGTGATCAATCTAGGGTAACACTCATATTATCTCAGAAATGATTAACTTTTCCAAAATTATTTTATAGAAAATTTAAGAAAAAAGCAGCTCTAAAATTTTACATTAATGTTATTTTTCGTCGCCCTTATTTTTGATTATAAAACCACTATATATTTTTGATTTTCAAACCATTTTTTAAATGATAACCTGTACTTAAAATTTCATAAATAAATTGAGTATTAATTAAAATAAAGTTTGGTGTTAACATTTTTTATTTCCGTAATTCTGTTGACAAATTATTTTATTTTTAAATTTGGGTCAGGAGAAGGTAATTTTACTGTGCATTATTAAAACACCGCATGCCGTGCGAAAAATGATTCTTCACTACTCTCCCTAAACTGACCTAAACTGAAAAGTGGCATACATATCTTGTCAACGATCTGATGGAAATCAAAAATTTCAATATCAAAATTTATTTTATCTAATACTTTATCTATTAGTAGAATTTTAAACATAGGTATCATTTTAAAATTATAAGTAGGTAGTGGTTTTATCCCTAAAAATAACAAAAGTGTAAAATTGTAGAGCTGTTTGCACCAAATTGATTACCCCGTATACCTATATATCTGTAAGAAAAAGTATTATCGGTTACCCAATACTTCTTACTTGTTTTGTTCGGCTTTCTGTATTTTCGACATGGGAACAAGAATGATTGGAGAATTCTGAATGGTCCATACAAAATACACCTTGACATTTAGTGCATTCGATTGGCAAAAAATCCAATTGTTCGCAGTCCTTGTGTGTGCATCGTTTTCCAAGATCTGGAAACTCCATAATTTTGATTGTTCGTGTTTAGCAACGTGGTGGTGGCGGTAATGGATTATCGATGAGTATTTTCGAAAGAGCTAAATCGGTCCACTTGGTGTCTTGTTGAGTGAGTGTCAAATGCGCCTCGGTAGCGTCGGCTTCAGGATCGGGTAATTCTTTAATAGGAACGACTATTTCGTCAAACGACAAATTTTCTTCACGCCAAGGGTCGTCTATTAATTTTTGCAAACGAGCGTTAACTGCCGGGTTACTGTCCATAACACGCGAAATTCAATTGTTGTTATATCACGATGTACGTAGCAATGTCGCATTAACTTGCTGTAATCACGTCTATGTCCGCAATACAACTTATGCGTAATTGCGATTACTTGCAATTTTAGAAGAGTCGAAAATGATTAATAAGTGAGCACAGTCTGTATTCTGAAGTGGTATATACTATATATATAGTCGCTAGTCAGTAGTGTATTTTGTACTTGGCAATTGGCAATGGTTTGGCTGTTTTGACATAAATAAACTATCACGAACTTAGATCACATACAATATGCAATTGTACATGATCTAAGAGATTAAACATTATTTAGCACTTTTGACGACGGGAGATTGGCTGTTGGTGGTTGTACTACAAAAAAAATGTTCCAATTGTTATTTGTTCCACATTGTTTTTGGAACACATCATTGGAACAAGTGTCTTGCGGAGAAAATAGTCATTGATAAGGAGCAATATATTTTGGAACAATTATAAATTGGAATAAATACGTTTTTCAAAATCTCAAAATTATAATTGTTCCAATTCGTAGAATTCATCGTGTAAATATAATTACCTACCCTGGTATATACATGTCGCGGTATTAATTTTCTGGGTTCTAAATATTTTAATATTACAATAGTATTAAAGTACGTACACTCGTAAATATACTATGCAAATTAATTAATTTTAATGGTACAGTTATTAAATATAAATATCAAACTAAAAAAATCTAGGGAACATGTAGTGAAGAATGATGTGAAAGAGCTAGGAAGAAAAACAGATTGTAAGGCACGAGCAACTCATTGGGATGGATGGAAATAGGTGATACCCTCCCCCCAATAAAACTAAAAATCTCACTTTAAATAATATTTTATTAATTTATTTAATATACAAGGCAAGTCCATAACAATGCAAGTAGATAATAAGAAAATAGGTTTCAGGTTGAAGGAGGGGTCCGAGTTGGCAACGCATATAAGGCGAGAAATGGGCGAGTTGAGAGCGGAATTATGAAAGGTGATGAAAAGCGGGTAAGAGGAAGAGAATTTTAAAAGTTAGTTGAGATAAGAAGAAGAATTTATTTTGCTGAAGATAAGATTAGAAAGAAAGTTAATGTTAGATAAGTACATGCGATCAGCAAGGTTAGTTAGTTGTAAATCTTGGAGAATGGAGGAATAATCATGAGTTTGGTGGGGGATATTGAAACGGAAGATGACTAAGTTTTGACATTTATGTTGAACATGCTTGATAGCGGATTTGCCACATGATGTGAAAGAGTCCCAGAGGACAGAGCTGTATTCTAGGATAGGACGAACAAGGGAGCAGGTTGTGACTGGTGAATGGTTTTGACTGGGGAGAGAAGATGGAACTATTGAGATGTTCGGTTAATGAACCCAAAGTATCTGAGGGTTTTGCAGCAGGCTATTTCAATATGCTTGAAAGGACAGAGAGTAGGTCTTTAAGTGAAACCAAGATTACAGAGGCTCTGGAAGATGCTATTAGCAAGTTATTTATGTGGTAGTTAAATTGAAAGACAGTATGCATGCAGGAAAGTCATGACTGAGAGCATTTGAAGAAATTTAAATGGAGGCCAAGGGATTCATCCCAAGAAACCAATCAATTTAGATCTAATTGTAATAAGTGACAGTCAGAGAGAGAAGAGATGCGTGAATAGTTTCAAGTCATCAGCAAAAATCATTAACTTAGCATGCTTGAGTACGGAAGATGTAGAGTTTATGAATAGGGCAAAGAGAAGAGGAGAGAGAACTACGCCTTGAGGGATACCAGAGGAAGGGTAGAAGGCAATGATGAGTTTTGAATTCTGGCGTACAGGGATAAGTTTTGTAAGGCGAGAGTGAATCCAGAAGTGAAGTGATTCACTGATATCTTACAAGTCCATAGTTTAGAAAAGTAATAAATGATCAACACGATCAAACAGTTTAGAAAAATCTGTGAAATTATTTTGAAAACTTATTGTTACTGTTATTAATAATGTAACAATAAAATAATACATTATGTATATTATATTGTTGCCACCATGCAAAGAGTGAATTAGTATTCAAAAAAGCATAATAAAATGTTTTATTTCATCCATGTATAAAAAAGAATTATCTAAGTCACATCATAAATAGTATTATGAACAACTTAACACATTTCAGTGAAATCAAAAAAGACGAAGAATAAACTTAGCTTGGAATATTATGTATTTTAATTTTAGGTTATACATTTTTGTTTTTGTATAAATAATAATTTAATGATATATTATAAAATTTTGGAATCATATCACACAATAATAGATTTAATAAAGAATAGGTAAAATATAATATAAAAGATAAAAAAACATTATTATATAAATTTAGTATGATTAACAGATCAAGTCCATTAAAAAATATGCGTATTGGTATGTCATGACTGCAATAATATTGGTATGTAAGATTTAACTACTATACAATTTAATATATATATAGGGTGACTACAAAAAAAAAAAAAAAAACACCGATAATATTTCTAGTATACAAAGTTATAATATCATGCTGAAACCGAACTAAAAATATTTTGGTATCTGTTAATTTGTAGAACCTAAAAAAAAAAAAACAAAAAAAAAATCAATATTAATATAATTGGTAATGAGGAATATTATAGCACTTTAACAAGAATGAAGAGAGCCTATAATTATCAGTATGTATTTGATTATAACATATTATAATAGTACCAACAAGTTATATAAATCAGATTGGGTTTCTACATTTTACACATATATTATAATTAATTAATGTTCCAGACGTTTAGCATTTTAATTTAATTAGCATTAAATTAAGCAGTTCTATTCTAAATTTATATTATGTTATGAGTTCAAATATAATATTTGAAAATACTTTTCTTGATTATTTAGAGTTTTTCTTTGTTAATTTTAAGTTTTATAAGACCTCAATTCTGGTTTTATATAATATTAATAGTTAAATAGATACAAAAGAAACTTTTTATGTTTGTTTTTTTTTATTTTAATTTAGTAATAAATAATAATATAAGTTCCTAATAATTTTCTTCTTATAAAATTAATTTTAATTATAAACAACTCTAATAAATATTATAAGTTAATTTTATATATTAGTTATTTTGTGAATATATCATAATAATATTTAATGTTAATAGAAAAATATAAAAATAATAATTTTGGGTACAATAAGAGATATTGATCAAAACTATTTTCACTATTCATCTGTTCTTTAATTAATCTAATATATTTGAAAACTGATGCAGATGGATGATTGGATGGGATGTTTCAAACAACCTTTTATCTGGTAAAAAAGTTACACCTTTAGTAAATGAAAAATCTGTCAATCTCATACGTATCATTATCTAATAAATACAGATTTCTTTCTGATTAATTAAGGAGCAAGTAGTATATTATAACATAAAACTTTACACATTAGTTACGTTAACAAACTTATCAGCACAATTATTATGTTTTCAAATAGGCATTATATATTCTAAACTCTGATTTTCAAATAATTAGAATTTTTTTGGTTTATATTTTGTACACAATGTAGGTTAAATGGTTTCATAATAGCGATTTTGATCAATGCCGTATCTGAGGGTGGGGGTTTAAGAAAAAAAATGTACTTTTAAAGTTTTTGAATTTAACACGATGAGTCAAATTTTGAAATTGATAGTGTCACTCTTTAATACTTGGTGCCTATATTAAATAGTTCTTATTAAACCTTTTTTTAAGATAAAATATCTACTTTTGGCATTCATGGAATATTGTTAAATTGGTTAAACAGTAAAAGTTTGCGTATATTACTACCATTTGGAATATCATATTTATGTGAAGCCGGATTTTCTATACTGGCTGTATTGTAATCAAAATATTGGTAAAAACTTAATGTTGAAAAAGAAATGTGCGTGGCTGTTACAACATTGTTACCTAATTTTTAAGAATTATTGAACAAAAAGAACACATTGTTCAAATTAAAATTAAATACTTATAGTTGTTGTTTTTTTTTTCATAAAAATAAAAATATTTGGTTACATTATAATTGAAATTAAATAATATTTATGGTTGATTTTTTTTGTTAAGAAAATATATAAATATTTAAGTGATACAAAATTGTAGTTAATTTATTCATTGGAGGAACAATTATTTATTTTGAATTATTATGATTGTGTGAACCAAAAAAGTTTGGAAACCGTTGGTGTATGTCATTATACACTTTCTAAGTGCCTAAGTAAATGACTTGTCTCCAAATTGAAGATGGGTAAAAACTGTATATCGATCAATTTATACTGATATTACTCATAACAGTAATTAAACCAGTAATTGATTTATAGTTAATTTCAATAATTAATAATTGAATGGATATGATTAGGCGGAACGTTTTCATCAAAATAAAATGTATAAAGTGAAACAAATTAATTCAACGCATATAAACAATAAATATTTGTTTCAATTACTTTGGTTTGTAGCCACCCGCTATTAATTAGCTTCTTCACACGCATCTACCCAATCGTTGTATATGTCCACAGGTTCTGACAAAAAGCTGGTCGTGGTTTGAAATGATTCCAGGCAAACGCGGCAATATACTTTACCTATATTACGACTTTTGTCCCTGTAAAATTTATAACATGTAAGTAATGATTTGTCGGCGGAAGAAAGAAATTAAATATTTACCAAACCGTAATATATGCGACCTGAAGAAAATAGCGAAGATACCACTCAAGAGATTATGGCCGAGAGACGAACGAGACAACTTTCCGCACACATTAATACATACACAATACTTACATTTTAACCTCACAAGATTTTTCGTGATTGCAAAACGGACAATTGAACTGTGTGTCCAGCGGTTCTATGGCTTTCCTTTTCTGGGGTGGCTTTCTTTTACTCTTCCTTCGACCCATGACACTTTATAATAATAAACAACGACGGCCTCGAGTTCTTGAATTTAATTGTAACTAATAGTTAATAAGATTCGGACGCCGGGCCAATTAAGATTGCTCAAAAGTCTCGCTCATTTAATAATAAAACGAATTCAATTCGAAATTTTCAACTACAATGAACGACTGAACGACAACAGCTATTTGATAATTCAACAATCGTGAACCGATGATAAACCGTCCGTAAACAACCGAAATCCAATGATTGATAAGTACAGTGTAGACAATACGATTTTAACATAATCGTTCCGTAATCGACGTGTTTGGCGTATTGTGCAACTTTTTAAACCATAGAGTAAGAAAAAACTCACGGAGTTAGAGGGCCTAAGTAATAAGCACGACAAAAGATTTACCCTAAATATATTTTAAATCGTGGTAACAAGAGAGTGGCCAACGGTACTAATCAGGATTTCACGGGGGTCGCCCATGGAGTAGTAGCACGATTAAAGATATACCTCAAATAGTTAAATATACCTATAGTCGTGTCCAGTATTAATGCCAAATGTTCGGTCGTGATCCGTATCGAGAGACCAACTGCTTTCTACTTGTCCTCTAGATCGCATAGTTACCGAAAAATTGATGCTTTGAATTTGTTATTATTAGAAGTCTGATTTTGATGATTTTACATTTTTACATATTATCTGTATGGATTGTATGTAATAGAAATGGTAATGTTCGCGGTTGAAGAGAGATTAGCTATAGATGCTGTAGGAGATTCAAATAAAACCAATTAGGATTAACACGGACCTTAGAAAAACGTCTACAAAATTGCTGTATATTAATGCAAGCAGACAAAATCGATTTGTTAGATGTCATTGATTGTTTTAGATTCTAAGTGAAATGAAGAAGCCTATGGTTTTAAAAAGATGTTTTTTTTTCTACCAGAAATCTAGCTCTGATTTTTAAGTGTAGCACCATTGCTGAAAGGGAATCGGTGTGAGTAGGTACTTTAGGGAGGTCATTTTTCGATTTTCTCAAGTCTTCCCATTAAATGTGAAAAACCGAAAAAAAAAGACCAACTAGGATAAAGGAGACGGGTGCAGCCACTATTATAGGTAATTTAATGTATATCTATAAGCAACGATAAACCATTACTAACGAGAAAACGATTCTGACCGTAGTTCAGAAGCATAAATCGGAGCAAAATTGCTGGTAGGTGTTCACAGGAAAAACGAAAGCCGAAATATTATACCTAAAAGTACACCTAAAATGCATTGGATTTTTCCCTGTTTAAAAACAGGATACCAATAGTGAATAGGGTATATAACTATTTGACTATGGCAAACATGCTGTAGATAAGACAATATTTAGTTATTGAACATATCATAAAATATCCGCATAATATCAGAACTTCAAAAAGTTACAATTTCGAAACTTAGTCAGTCCGTTTAATTCTGACCTCATCATCATTCTTAAATCGGCAATATACATATGTTAAAAAAAAAAACAAATTTAAAAATTAGGTTTATTCCAAATAATTTTTTACTCAAACGATTTTCGTCAACATTTGATGTTGAAATTCCTTTATAAAATATACTACATTAAATTCAAATTTGTTTTGACCACAAAATAAGATTCTTAATGAACCTTTTGTTAAATTTTCAAGCATTTCTGTTAAGTCTAAAAAACCTACCGAAAAAATTTTTTGTATAAAACTCACAAAATTAAAGTGTCTATAAATAGCTCAAAAATAACTTAAATTTTTTGAAAATTTTACCACGTCTATAAAAGGCAAATATACATTTTTGTCCAAATTTTAAGTCCATAGAGTCAATACGAATATTTTTAACTGAATTTCAACAAAAATATTAAAATTTGAATAAACAGCTTAAAAATGGCTCAAATGTTTCGAGTAATAAAATAATTTTTTTTTTTTTGAATTTCCTGGTTTTTTAAAAAAAGGTGAAATATTTTTTAACTAATACTTACATTCCATTTTTTTGTACAATTGTTTTGTTTAGGTTGTATACTATTAAAAAGGAAATGAAAAGACTCATGTTTGTTGAATATACAATTTGGTTATTTTGTTTATATTAAGTATTAATAAAAATAAAAAAGTAAAACTCTTCATGCCAATGTTATATGTACCTATAAAAAATAAACCAAAATACTGTTCATCTTATATTTTACTAAAACAAGTATAAATTTCAAAGTTATGAGTATTAACATTGTTAACATATATCTACCAGTGTTTTTACTATTTTAAATTGACACATTCCACCAAAGTATTTCTAAATTCTAGATGATCTAGTTCTATCATTTGTATAACTGTTGATATTTTTATTATTTACATTTATGTTGACAAAGTTCTTTATATTTATTTGAGCATTTTGCATTGTACTTTCGTATAGAAATATGAATATTATTACTAACCAAAAAAACAATAATACCAACAAGATAAAAATAGATGATTAAATATGTATAAAAAAGAGGTAACAATATTGTAAAATTAGATAAACAACAAATTTATAAATACAATAAATTATACTCCTTTTCTATTAAAAAGAAAAAAAAGAAATTATTTTTTAAGAATGTGAAATTACTTTGTGCATTAATCTTTATTAGTACACGTGTCTTGAGAATTTTTCGTTAATATTATTAATTACATATAAGTAATTTATGACGTCCATTTATTTTTTATTAAAAAAGAGCATGAAAAAAAAATCAATTGCAAAATAAATAGTTTAATATTTTTGTTGTTTTGTTAAAAAATAATTCAATAAATCAACAAGTTTAGAATAGATATTGAAAGCAGTTGACAATATTTTAAAATTAGATAAAGTAAAATGTATTATTCTTCTGTTGAAAGGAAAAATTATACAAATTGAGAAATTGCTTTTTGCATTTATCTTTATTTGTATATTTGTCTCGGGATTTTTTTTTAATATCATTAATTTATTATTCACAGTTAATACAGCATAACAATATGAAAAAAAGAGCTGATACTGGGGATGGGTGCAGCCACTGTTGTAGTTGGGAAGTTGGGAAGGTAGGAAATATAGGGTTATTTCATTTATAACTGTAAGCAACAATAAACCTTTGCTGACGAAAGACGATTCCGAGCGCAGTTCGATAATACATAATTTGAAGTGTCTTACATTTTTTTTGCGATTTTCGTTTAAATTTGATTTCAAAACGCTTATTAAAAAAAAAAAAAAAAAAAAAACCGGAATCATTAATAACAAAATTAATAATTCAACAAAAAAGGTTTCTTGTCGTTTTTTAACTGGAGCCATATTTGTGCTAGAAAACATGATAGGTACTTATTTAAAATAATGAAATCGTAAAAAGATCGTATTTTTTTTCCAAGTTAGTCGCTTTTATTTTAAATACCTTTACTAAAATCAAAATATGACCTTTGTATTTACCAATAAGATAAAATTTATTTTCAGAAAAGGTGCTACACTTATACATCGGAGCAAGTTTTTATGATAAAAGTGGTTTACAGTATAAAAAAAAATAAATTAAGAACCATTGTAAAAAAAATGTAAAAAAGGAAATAAAGCGGTCCGATGATTTTGGAAATTTTACCACGTCTAGGTAAGTTCAATATAAGTATTATTACCAAGTTTCAAGTCTCTATGTGTATTTGATAACCGAATTAAAGCAAAAAACTCCCAAAATGTATAATTCCTTAAAAGCTCAAAAGTGGCTCAAAAGTTTTGGAAATGATACCATAAATAAGTAAACCAAAAAGGCAACCAAAAAAGTATTTTGTAATTTTTTGATTAAATCATTTTTTCTGTAAGAAAACGTCCGTGGTTTTATAAAATAATGAAATCGTGAAATTTTCCGTTTTTCTACGTTTTTTTTCCATTTAAGTGCTTTTATTTAAAAAATGGCGTCGAAAATCAAAAAAAATGACCTTTTTAAAGTACAATCTAGACAACTTCAGCTTTCAGAAAGCAAAAACCGGAGGAGGAAAAAACATGCCCACAGACTAGAACAAAGAAAAAAAAAAATAAAAAATAAACAATATTGTAAAACCAATAGCTCCCTCGCTACGCTCAGAAAAATTTACAAGTATATTCATGTTCATCTATGCTTATTAATGATGATTTAAAAAAAACTCAATTGATAAATGAACAGTTCATAAACTGTACGATAATTACATTTATTTTTATAATCTTATACATTTATTTATGGGTATACGAAGTGTCTCGTGCAAAATTTATCATCTCAAAATCACGTTCAATTCAGTGCTGAAAGCTGTAGCGTGTTATAAAATAGTTGATAACACTGAGCGGAATTTATAACTCTGTTAACATTTTTACATTGTCGACCGAGAACCACTCATATGTGTATATATATTATAATATCTCATAAGTTATAAGTAAAAGCCGTGATCAGTTTGTAACGCTTTATTGAATTGCTCGTTACGAGACATTTAAGTTTAGCTAGGGGCAGAGTACACCAAACAAATTATGCTCCATTTCTCCCTCCCCCACCTAAACTTATAAATGTTTAATATCTCGTCAACGGGTTGACGGAAATCAAAATTATCAATACCAACATTTATTTAAATTAACGCTCTGTTATTTTTGGAATTTTAGATTTCGGTTGTTATATTCGAAAATCAAAACTAACTAACCGTTTTAACTTTAAAAATCAAAGTGAATAAAACAAGGACAATGCAATATTTTAGTATGTATAATTTCAAAAAGTTTTCATATAAATATCTCGTTTTTCGAAAAAACACGTACCGCATGTAATATTTGTCATGATATTTGGTAGACCGTGTATATGCGTTGTTGTAAACGAAAAATCGTTATATTTTCTTCTGCCATTTGGACAATAATTATTATTAACGAGATTAACAAGATTACCTATACGAGGGGAACGTATTCTATTATTGACCGGGTGTAGCGCCTACAACGCGTCTAGGCATATTTATTAAACCGCAATGAAACGATATAGATTCAATAACTACTTTTGTAACTAGGTAGGTCAGGTACTGTAGTTAAATTTTTAAAATTGTATTTTAAAATAATTTCCTAGAAGTTTTTTCCCGAAATTATAAAGGCTGTTTCACACGAGAAGCGAATGTTCGCGCGGCGAACGCGATTTGATATCACCAAACATTCGAACATTCGATCAAAATTCAACAGCTTTATATTGTAAGTCAACGTATTCACACGAAAATAATCGCCCGGATTACAAGCCACGAACAAT